TTGAGAGTGCTCCTGCTCTTGCAGAGGACCTGCATTCAGTTCCCAGCACCTACATCAGGTGGTGCATAACCAGCTGTAATCCCAGCCCAATAGGATCCAGGGCCTTCTTCTGGCTTCCACATGTGCTCTTTGGGCACCTGTGCATGTGTTACACATAAACTCACACAGGCACGAACACATAACATAAATTTAAAATAGTAATAAATAAAAAAAAGAAAGAGCTGGCATTCCCTTCCCCCTCTTGCTGCATGATGTGTGGGAGCCCACAGTGGTTTCCTAATGAGATCTGAGCTTGCTTTACCCAGCAGGGCTGCATAAGGGGATGGCTTGACCGTGTGCGTGGTTACCAGGCGTTTGGAAGGGTCTGCACTTGGCTGTGCAGTATGCTTTGATCTAGCAAGGGGGAGGTCTTTTGCAACATCCCTTGGTACTGTTATAAAAAGCCCTTTTGAAGAGATAGAAGGGGGCAGTGCATTTTGATCCAGGTCCTCCGGAAGCTATCTTGTGTTTCTGTCTGTCTCATCTCCACTATCTTTCTGTCTATAAATTCCTCATTCCTCTCTCCTCCTCATAGGAACCCTTTAAAAAGGTGAGAACTTGTATCCCACAACTGTAACACATAGCTCAGTTGGTAGAGCATGAGACTCTTAATCTCAGGGTTGTGGGTTTGAGCCCCATGTTGGGTGCCAGATTGTAACACAAATCTTAAAAGGTCTTGTTAATAAAAGCACTCCGAGCCAGGTATTGAGGTGAATGCTGAAAGATCAGAGAAACAGAACAAGCCACATCCAACTTCACCTTGCCAGTTCCTCAGCTGATCTTGTTGCCTCAGACTGAAAGCCTCTGAGTCCTCATCTGAATGGATCTCAGCTGAACTGCTGCTAAAAGTCTGAAAGCTGAAAAAGACTCTAGTTCCTGGTCCTCATGCCTTATATACCTTTCTGCTTCCTGCCATCACTTCCTGGGATTGAAGGTGTGTGTCACCATGCCTGGCTGTTTCCAGTGTAGCTTTGAACTCACAGAGATCCACATGGATTTCTGCCTCCAGAATGCTAGGATTAAAGGTGTGTGTGCCACCATTTTCTGGCCTCTATGTCTGTCTAGTGGCTGTTCTGTTCTCTGACCCCAGATAAGTTTATTAGGGTGCACAATATATTGGGGGGACACAATATTACCACACACAATGATGCCTTTTACAAGTTCTGATGAAGCAAAATGTCCTAACCTGACTTTCCAGTACCTAGAGCCATGGGAAATTAGTTTCTTTTCTTTATTAATTGCCTGATCAATGGTATTATGTTATTCTAACCTAAAATGGATAAGACAATAACATAGAATAAAATCCAGCTGCTTCTAGCTTGCTAGTACTTCTTTAGATATAACATTAAAAGCAAGATTCACAAAAGAAAGGAAGGAAGAGAGAGAGAAAGAAAGAAAGAAAGGAAGGAAGGAAGGAAGGAAGAAAGGAAGGAAGAAAGAAAAAGAAAGGAGAAAGAGAGAGAGAGAGAGAAAGAGAGAGAGAGAAAGGAAGGAAGAAAGAAAGAAAAAATAAAAATAAAAAACACAAAAGCACAGGAAAGCTGAACTTCATTAAAAACTAAAACCTTCAGAAGCATGTTCCTGCCCAGCACCATGACAGACTGAGCAGGGCAAAGAGCCCCACACACAGGCCTGCCCTTGGCTTTGAGGAGAAAATGTGTGCACTGTTATAGTGAGCAAATGTGTGGTGTTTTATGTGGACAGAGGCAGATCTGAAGAAGTCAAAGTAGTGAGGAGCAGGCTGAAGTGGGTGGCTTGGTTGCCATTCAGTGACATGGTGATGTCTGGGCCTGGGCTGCTCCCAGAGCCTGTGCCTAGGTTCATGGCCCTGGTGGAGTCACGGTCTGTGTTGATGTCCAATCTCCTTAATACCACCAAAGGCTGGGAGGAAAGGACTGTACAGAGTTGGCCCTACCCCACACTGGCTGAAACACTCAGGAGAGAGGGCCCTACACCTCACCTGGGCAGCACAGTAGAAGATGCCCTCCTCCCCTCACCCCTCAACACCTGCAGAAGGTGGGGGACGCGACCCAACCCCTCACCAGCTGCAGCATGCGGGAGAATGGACCCTGCACCTTGCCTGGGCAGCACAGTAGAGTTGACCCTGTAGGCAGGGACATGGGTGAGCCAGTCCTGAGGGCATGAGAAGGCCGTACCTGGTACCGCCTCCCCTGTCTGCAGAGTGGTGGTGGGGGTGAGGGAAAGATGCCCTCCTGCCTTCCCCCTACCTCCCCCAGCTGGTGAGGAAGCTGACCCCTTTACCAGCTGCAACACTCGGGAAAGCAGGCCCTGCACCTTGTCTGGGCAGCACAGTGGAGCTGACCCTGTTGATGAGGGCACAGGTGAGCCAGCCCTGCAAATGTGAGCATGGGAGAGCTGTCCCCAGTACTCATCTGTCATGTGGTGGCATGAGCAGAGGAGAGATTCCCCTGCCTCCTACCTGAGGTGGAAGAGCTGGCCCTGAGGTCATAAGAGCGGGAAGGCTGTTCCTGCCCCTCCTGCCCATCATCAGCTGCGGCACTTGGGAGAGTGGCCCCTGCATCTCAACTAGACAGCACAGCAGAGCTGGCTCTGAAGGGGTTGTGACCCTGAGGATGTGAAAGCAGGAGAACTGGCCACACCCCTTGTTCATCCCTGCAAGGGGTGAACTAGCCAGGGTAGTGCTGGAGAGCTCACTCTGGTGGTGAGGACAGGGGACAGCAGGCAGTCTGACCAATCCTGCAACTACCCAGGCCCAGAACCAGGGTTAAGTGTTGGCCCACCCCAACATCCACCCCATCTGTGATCTGCTGGAGTACAGGTTGGGGCAGGGGGTGGGGGAGTTGGTCCTGAGGACCTAGGGCTACATGATCTCCATGACACAGGGCAGCAACTGGATATCCAGGAAGAGTCCCAGTGAGGGCCCAATGTTGCTAGCGTAGCAGAGACCAGGGGCCTCAAACCAAACCAATGATTCTTTGTGATGAATGCCTGCATACACAAATGTACGGATAAAGGGGTCTACTGTGTGACTCACTGTGCCACACTGCAGCTTCTGTGACGAGATTTTCCTTTTCTTTCTTTTTTTCCTTTTTTTATCTTAAATTTTATTTTGTGTTATTTTGGGAGGGGTTGTAGGGGCAGAGGGCACATTCGAGGGGATGGGAGATGGGTGGGATCGGGATGCATGATGTGAACGACCACAATTCCCCATGCTTAGAAAGTATCTCTCAGTCTAAGTTCTTCACCAATGGGTCACCGAGCTCTGGGCCCTTGGGGAAACGCTCTTATCGCCTTGGAGGTTATTTAGTGTGGAAAGAGGCTTGGGGCTTTGGATACATAAGGACTTGCTACAGGAGAGAAGGTTCCAGAGTGTTGGAGCCTGATCCTGGAGTAAGACTTGCGTTTGTTGGGTACCTGGGGGACTTATTTGGCAGTAGGGACAATCAATGTCTTTGCTAAAGTGGGGAGGCTTTGTGAGCTGGACCACCAAGTGGTAGGGAGGGTATTAGGCAAACGCAGATAAGGGAGGTTCCTACGGTCCCTCCACTGAGGTTCTCCAGAGATCTTGGAGAACCACAATCTTGAGATCACAGACAAGCATGTGATATGTGCTGCAGCAAGGATTGGCCAACGGGAGTGGGCAGTCTCCTGTGTCAGTGATGCCCTGGGTCACGATGAAGCTGTCATCTATCACTCTGGCCATCCTCCTGCCTCAGGTAAACTTGCATCTCCTCTTATCATCACCCCACCCAGAGTCTGAGCTGATCAGAGTAGGAAGCAGGGAGGGTTCCACAGCTTTCCCTTTTGTTTATTTGGCAGCCATGCCCTTGGCACAGACCCCATCTCAGCACTCTGGTAGGCTTTACATGGGTTGTAGAAAATCACCCGCTGGTCCTGGCTCCTCCGCTAATGGCCTGGAACAGATGCACAACCCAGAGACAAAAAGGCATGTGAAGAAAAAGTGTCCCAGTGAGAGCCAAGCAAGGAAACAGGAGGAGGGGCTAAGGACGCACAGGCTAGGGACAATGGCCTCACTGAAATGACATCTACAGTGTGAGCAGCACAAGTCTGGGAGCTGTGTGTCAGCAACAAAACCCTACTGGGACAGACACTCAGTCAGAGGTGAGCCAGGCAGAGGAGGTTAGAAAGGCAGCCAGGGTGGGGCTGAGTGTGTCTGAGGGGACTGTAGGACCAGCTCCTGTGAGGCCAGGCTATCTGCTTTTCTCACAATTCAACCATGGTTAATGCATTAACAGTTCATCTCTCATGGCTTCTGAGGACCAGGAATCTACACATGGCTTCCCTGGGAGTCTCTGTCTCGGGTCCCTCAGGATGCTGGTGATGCACTCTCAGGAGGCTAGAGCTGGACTGTCTGTTACAAACTCACTAGTGTGGATATCAGAGAACCCTAGCTCCTGTCAGTTGGCCTGAGCTCTCCCTGGCTCTTCCAACATGGGCCTCCCACAGAGAGAAGCCCATCTGAATATGGACTCCTGGCTCCCCAGCTAAAGGAGGCTGACAGAGAGAAGTGAAGTTATGAGGGTAGAGTCTTCATGAGAGAAACTAGTTGTTCTTGAAAAGACACTCCAGAGAGCTCGTCCCCACTTTCAGCCTTGTGAGAAATATCAGCAAGAAATTGGCAGTCTACAACCTTGTAGCCAGACCTTATCAGAGCTAGTTCATGTTGGCACCCTGATTGCCAGCTACCAGCCCTCTGAGAAACAAAGTCTGTTCTCTAGGGCACACCCAGCCATGTGTTCATATAGCTCATGTCCGCAGAGACAGGGGTAGCATCCTACTGCTCTTGCCATATGATATTAGTCCAAAGTGAACCAATAACCACGCAGTGGTTACAGAAGGACCAGTCCACCATGAGTGGGAGATCATAGCATGCTGCTACATACCACACAGCCTGGAAAGGACACATGGTCTGATTCTGAGCACAGTGGGAAGCCATCAGAAGGCTCTGGGCCACAGGATATATGAACTTCCTTTTATTCCCACGCTCTCAAACTATAGAATGGAAAACAAGGACCACAGGCGGTGTGACTGGGCAGTGTCACAGGGTGGGGGGACCCAGGCAGATGTTTGTTTGTTTGGTTGGTTGGCTGTTTGGTTGGTTGGTCTTTCAAGACAGGGTTTCTCTGTGTAATAGTCCTGGCTGTCCTGGAACCTGCTCTGTAGACCAGGCTGGCCTTGAACTCACAGAGTTCCGCCTGCCTCTGCCTCCCAAGTGCTGAGATTAAAGATATACGCTATCACCACACAGGTTTTGCATCATCTCACATTCACCTAGTGTTATCTTTTAGAAGCAGACCCTAGAACAAGCCCCAATGTGCTGGTCTGGAGACGGGAGATCCTGAGAGGCACAGTGAACCGGTTAGAAGATTCCAGAACACCAGCTCAGTCTCTTCAGCCCTGCAGCCATGGATGCATCCAGATCTTCTCAATGACAGTGACCACATGCAGTCAAGGAAGGGACACAGGGGAGGACAGTAAGTGGTCACCAGGTCCGAGGAGCTCTGTAGGTTCCATTCAAAGAAGGGGACCAGGTAATGGAAACTTGAAGAAGTGATCTCACTTCCTGGTGAGAGATCTCAGTAGCTCTTTGAACTTTGGAAAACAGACTAGTATGTTCTATAGACAGTGCCCCGTCCATGCATCTCACTTGACCAGAGAGCCTCGGGGGAGCAAGATACTTGGCTGCTGCAGGCCTGGTGTTTGTTTTATTTGCTTTGACACACCGTGTGTGTGTGTGTGTGTGTGTGTGTGTGTGTGTGTGTGTGTGTGTGTGTGTGTGTGTGAATGTCAGAGGACTACTTATCATTTCTCTCCTTCCACTACATGGGTTCCAGGGATCAAACTCGGATTGTAAGACAAGCGTCCTTACCCACTGGGCCATCTTACTGGCCCTGCATCTGTGTTTTCAAGGCTCTGACACTGAGAAAATCTAGAATGAGAGTCTTTTCTGCAAATACTGGCTTAGCGCTCACCACTGAAGCCTGTGACCATTTGGAGAGGGTACTCCAAGCAACAGCGGGTAACCTCACAGCTTTCCCTATTTATGCGTGCGTGCATGTGTGCGTTGGAACCTCTGAAGCTGGAGTTACAGGTGGTGTAAGCTGCCCAGTGTAAGTGCTGGGAGCCCAACTCGGGTCCTCTGGAAGAGCAGAAGCTGCTCTTAACCACTGAGCCATCTCTCCAGCCTCAGGAACAGGCTTTCTAATGGTGGTGATCCCCCACAATGAAGGCCAGGCAGGCCCCTGACACTCCTGGCCTGGATGCCAGACACTACCTTATCCAATCTCCATCCAGAGAGTGAAATGAAGCACCGAGCATGCTTCTGGATGCGATTTCCTTTGATGTCCTGGTATCTACTGTAAGTGGTTGGGTCCTGGTACCCACCAACCAACCCTGCTAACCATGTGGACCCCCTTCCACATCTGTCTTCTTTACTGAAAGTGTCCTCATCTCTGATGAAACTACAGTGCTTGGGATGTAGCGCTGTAGGCAGATGGGCGGGGGGCAAATACAGGCTTTATTTGAGGACCGGAGAAGGATGGGTCACGTACAGGGACTGGATGGTCTCAAGGGAACGTTTCCAGCTGTCCTTCCAGCGCTGAGCTTCCAACTCCAGTGTTCTGAAGTGGTTCTGAACAGTCTTCAGTTCTTTGTCAAACAGTACCAAGTATTTCTGAAGGGAAGCAAGGGGAAGGCCTGTGGGGACTCCTGCCCTCATAGACTTGGGAGCCCTGAGCTCTGGGACCCACAGCAAGCAGCTCCTGGCCCTCAGGAACCAACACTAGTCCTACAAGTCATTTCTCAGGAATTCACCTCACAAGTTCTCAGGTAGGTGAGGTTATCCTCCTACCTTACAGATGAGAAGGCTGAGACTTGGAACCCTGAGGCCACACAGCTCTAGAGAAGCTGAGCAGGGACAAAGACCCATGTGTCTCTAGTTCTGGGACCTGAGCATTCCTGACCACTGTCCTGCATGGAGCTTCCATGGAGGCTCCTGGCTTCTTCAGAAGGCTGAGCCCGGGTCTCCACCCCTCACTGAATTCAGCAGGTAGAGTCTTTCCCTCTGACTAGGACTTAGAGTAGCATCTGGGGACACACAACACTGGGCATTTCAGGCTTTCTCCAGGACCAGTGGATATGTGGATAGGACTAGGTTTCTCCATGGGCACCAGGACCAAGGATCTGTATATCTTCAGATATACGTTAGGTGGCATTTGGGTGAAGCCTCATCGGGTCAGCCCCACAGTCTACCAGTGGGGATCAAACCCTGGCTCTGCTGTTTGGGAGTGGTATAGAAAGGCAAGTGTCTTCAGGCATCATTGTCCTTGTCAATGAAATGGGGGGGATTCTACATCCCTCAGCATCTGGAGAGGATTTGGCAAGATGGCTCGTGTGGAGAATAGGAGGTAATACTTAGCACCCAGAGGCTTCAGATGTTCCTGCTCTTGCACCCCAGTGCACCCCCACAGCTACGGGCACCTCCATGTCTGTCTGCCTTGTGCCTGACTCTGCTGCCCTCCACACAGCCTGTCTCCACGACCACTAGGTGAGGTATCTCTGAGCTGGGTAGAGCACAGGGTTCACACCTCAGCCAACATGCTAGTCCAGGGGGTGGACATGGCCCTTGGCATGTGTCCCTGTGCCTATGAGGAGTTGAGACCTGCAGCTCTGGGCCACACTGCCACATTCTGTTTTCCCCATAGGCCAGGTGTTGAGGTACCCAGTGGAGTGAAGTTCCCTCCTTCCCAGGGCAGCCAATCTGAGCTACCTTGTCCCCCCTGGGATACACTGCCTGACCCTGACTCACCAGGTACACAGCATCTCGGGCTTCTACGGCGGCCAAGTGGCCCAGGGTGGTCTTATGGGTGGTTATTGATTGTGTCTTCCGAGTCAGGATCTTGGTTTGAATTGTGATTTCGTTGGGCTTGATTCCTGGCCACTTCCTACAGACAAATGTGCTTAGCTTCATCACCGGTCAACCACCCAGGGCACAGCTTGGAGACTCAGCCGTTAGCAAGGATTTAGACGGCTTTGTTAAAGGTCCCCTAAGCTTTTCCTGTTGGATTCTTTAGGTCGTTTCCTTTTTCCCTGATGACCTAACAGGGTGTGCAGTCGTGGGGTCTGCTGCATGAGAAAGGGAAATGCCACACCTACATTTCTTCCTTGTTCTGGGCCTTGCTTTCCTCATCAGCCTGCCGCCCAGGCAGCAGTCATGAGCTCCTGGCCCCGGTTTTCCTATAGGAACGCTGGGAGAATTGCTGCTCACAGACCGGGGGCCAGGCACTTTGACAGCTGGAGTGGTTCACAGCGCTAGCGGCAGCCTGAGGCTGTACCTCCCCTTGGGACAGGCCTCCTTTTCTTTGCAGGTCGTTATGGTGGTTCTCGTGTGAACCAGTAGCCATGGAGTTCTCAGTATGTGCTGGGTAACCTCACCTACTTTCTCATCAAACAGCCTCGGTCATTTCAGAGAACGAAACTAAAGGCTGGAAATCAGTGACTTTCCAGGGCCATCAGGTCTGCCTGAGTTCAGAGCCTGAGCCCTCCCCACAGGCCTGCCCTCCCTGCAGTTGGCACAACCACTCACACGGCCCTTGTTTCCAGCCTCACCTGCTCCCACGTTCAATCAGGGGCCTCTCACTCTCTTCCTCCAGAGACAGTCTGGCCAGCTTCCTCCGGATGAGGATTGATATTTTCTGCTTTTGGGCCTCCATCCCTGACAGGAAAGAAGTGTGTTACTGACTGTGACCTCAGGGACAGCTTGGGAACCAAGGATGTGACACTCTGGTCATATTTAGAGAGAGGAGATAGGAAGGGACAGTCAAGGCTGCTCACCCGATGTCCAGCCCGGGGCTCCAACTTTGACAGCCTTTCCTGGTGAGGAGAGCAGGGCTCTGAGTGCAGAGTGAGACAGAGAGCAACAGAGCACTCTCCAAGAGAGCACCTATCAAGGCACACGCCTCCCGCCATCCGCCCATGTGCAGCCTCTGCCCCCTGACTTCTTCACCAAGCCTGATAGTTCAGTCACCAAACTGAAGCCAAGAAGCCAGCTGGCTATGTGTTGTGGAATATTAGTTAAGAATGTGTTACGATTTGTTGTTTAATGATGCAAAGATGTGTTGCATTCTTTTATGTTGCATTTGTTTAACTTTGTAAAGCTGTGTTACTGTGCCTGTCTAAAACACTTCATTGGTCTAATAAAGACCTGACTGGCCAATAGCTAGGCAGAAGAGGGATAGGCAGGGCTGGCAGGCAGAGAGAATAAATAGGAGAAAAAGAGAAGAGGGAGGAGTAAAAAAAGGAGAAAGAGAGGCAGACACCAGGGGTCAGCCACTCAGCCACACAGCCACACAACCAGCCACAGAGTAAGAAGGAAAGAAAGGTATACAGAATAGAGAAAGGGAAAAGTCCAGAGGCAATACACAGTTAAAAGTTAGACAGGATAATTTAAGTTAAGAAAAGTTGGCTAGAAACAAGCCAAGCTAAGGCCGGACATTCAGAAGTAATAATAAGTCTCCATGTATTATTTGGGAGCTGGGTGGCGGGCCCCAAAAGAATAAAAAGGAAAATAAACTACAGATACATGCCTATGATCCCAGGTACCAGGAGGCTGAGGCAGGAGGATCTCGTGTACTAATGGGTACTTCAAGAGTGTCTTGAGACACAGAGAGCTTCTGGTAGGCTCTTAATGTTCAGCTCTATCTCAGGCACACGTCCATGTTCTTCGTTGTAGGTGAGGGCTGACTGTCTTTTGCTGTCATTGCTACAGGAACTGCTTCTCTTGGGAAACGCCTGTGTTTGGTTTTCAACAGCTTTCAAGACTGACCTGTGAGAGTTCTTTGCACCCCAGGGACAGCTGGCCTTTCTCTGACTCACAGGTTGTGAGGAGGAATACTCTTCCGATTGGTGGTTTCTTTCCATATTGCACTTCTTTTTATTCCCTGTTTTAATCTTGGCCCAGAGAAGTACCACCACTTCCTTTACAACTTCTGATTCTTATTCTATGGTCAGAAAAAAGTGCCCTAACCCCAGGAGTATGAAGATATTCCCTGCCAGGGCTCTATTTTTATATTGACTCTTTGATTTGGTTGGCATTTACTTTTTCAGTCAAAACATTGTTTTTTGATGAAAATATGTAAAAGTCAGTCAGCCCACTTGTGATGTACATTAAATTAGTGAATTACCATGTGTCCTTTTCTCACTGAGAAGCTGGCTCTGAAAGCAACCACTCATGCCCCCTTCAGGCCCAAGCATGTTCGTCTCACAGTGCCCTCCAAGGACACTTATCTGGGACTAGGCTGCCTCAGTCCCACAAACTCTGTGACATAGAGAGAAGAGAACAGCAAAACAGCCCAAGAATATTGTCCGAGAACAGACGGAATGCCTTCCAACAGAGGTGACCACTGTTTGCCCCACTGTGTAAAAGCAGCTGCAGTGAGAAAGAGAAGCCAGAGGGAATCCCATCCGTGGGAAAAGCCTCAGTGGGGAATCCCAGGCCTGGGCCTCAAATTCCCAAGGTGATTTCTGCTGCGTGTTGTGAGCATCTGATTGGGACTACCAGCCTGTTGAAACAGTGGACTCCAAGAAATGGGAATTTCCCCAGGAATCTCATGCTGGGGAAGGAAATGGCCTCAGCAAGAGGGGTATTTGTCTCCTGGAGAGAGATTTGGCACAGCTCTAAGAACTTGTTAGATCACCTCATAGGACGAGACTGAAGCCGACAAGGCAGGTCAGTGGTGGGGGGGAACATATTTTGACCTGGCTTGCTTAGATGTGCATATACTTGGCCCTCTATTTAAACTCTGACCTCACTTCAGGACCCAGAAGATAGATTTGGGGGAGGGAGAGGGGTTGCTGGATCTCTTAGTCCCTCTTCTGAATATGACCACATTGAATAAATTTCCTTTTTCTGCTTTCCACTTAGTTTGGCTTATTTAATACGCTTATTAGGATAGAAGGCCAGATTTGATTTGGGGCACAGGTTGTGACCCCCCAAATTTGATAACAGAAGCTCAGCTAAGAGGACAGCCTGCTGTCCAGGATTATCCATCAGTAGCTCCAGACGGGTGCCCCAAAGGGACTTCCCCAGCTGGATGTTTTGACTACCGTGTGATAATGTTTTGCTATCCGTCTGTTCATCTATCTGCAACTTGATAATCACTTTTGTTACTTTGGCTTGCTATATACTCAAACTCACTCATTCAAAGTCATAAGTGTGGCTATTGTAGATCATTCTGGGGCCAGCACACCACTCAATGGAGAAAATGTTTCACCCTGACTGAGGGGCAGCAGAAAACCCCAACCCCAACCACCCTACACCTTATGATCCCTTAGGACCACAGCATGAGGCTGGTGTACCACTTACGTGGAACCTGGATGTCATCAATGGTGACCACTTCATCCAACTGCATCAGGAACTTCTCTGTGAAGGAGGCCAGACTTGCTATGAAGAAGCGGCTGTACCTCTTGGCAAATTCCTGGAAGAAACAGAGGTGAAAATGAACTTCATAAACAAAATCTCTGCTCCCAGGCGGGCAGAGGGAGGGTAGAGTTGGCTCTGTCAGAGAGTCTCCTGGCAAGGCACCCCCAGCACCACATTAACAACCACATTAGGGTTAACTAGCATCTGGTTCTCGGAGCCCAGAGACCTCCCCAACATCTGGTCTGGTTTGAGACTAAGAAAGGATTCAGAGGGGCTGGAGAAATATCTCAGCGGGTAAATAACTTGCCACAAAAGAATGAGGACCCAAGTTCAATCCCCACACTCACAAAAAAAGCTGGGTGTGAGGGTATGTGCCACAGTCCTGGCACTGGGGAAAGAGAAAGGGATTCCTAAGGCAGCCAGCCTAGCTGACTTGGTGAGTTCCAGGTTCAGTGAGACCTTGTCTCATGAAATGGGCTGACTGTTCCACTGCTCCTAAGGAACAACACTCTACACTGACCTCTGCTTTTCACATGCACGTGCATACGTGTTCACACACACCTCCCCCCAGCACCCACACACAATCCAGAAATGGCCAAGGCACATACACAGACAATTCACCAAACAGAAAAATAAAAGTAGGTATGGATCCTGAAGAAAATGGTCATCACTACTTTTTGTAAATAATTTAGTAGTCAAAGTATGGCCAGACATGGTGGCCCATGCCTTTAATCCCAGCACTTGGGAGATACTTTCTGAGTTTGAGGCCAGCCTGGTCTACATGGCAAATTCTAGGACAGTCAGGACTATATAGAGAGACCCTGTCTCAAACAAACAGATAAAATCAAAGTAATGCAAACATCCCATAATGACCAGTTAATCTACCAAAAAGACCTGTCATTTTGTGTGCACTGGCTCAGGTACCAACTGTCAGGTCCAACTTTCTGAAGGGGAGTATGGCCCTCAGCACCTGGGATGGAGACTGAACGGCAGCGCTCACCTCCATCTTCTCCAGGTTTGTGTGGATCACCCGGTCCAGCTCTTCCTGTCTTCGCTCCTCCACAATGTGTAGGGACTCCATTTGATGGGCATATATGGGGTGGCCAAGATTTGGATGGAGCTTCTGGGCATTCTCATCCTTCAATCAAACAAGTCAGAAATGAGCAGAGATTTTGAGCCAGACTTTGAAATCAGGACCAATGTCTTCTGTCAACTAAGGCCATATCCAGAGAGATATGTCCTGTGATCTGAGTGTAGAAAGAGGACTGAGTGGCAGTGAGGACAAGGTGGGAGGGTGGCTGGTACCAACTCTGAGGGTTGGAGAGAAGGTTGAGCTGAGCATCTGCTCCAGCCCAATCTGGACCTTTAGTTCAATAAAACCAGCACCAATCACATCCCATAGCACCAAGGCACATTGTGGAACTGTCACTGATCTCAATGACCAAGGCCCTACCAAAGATTTACAACACAGCTTAGAGTTTGGTGAATGCCTTCTGCCAATAAGCATTGGCTCAGTTACTAATTCACCAGTGTCCCCTGTCCTCAGCAATCCCCAAACCTAGTTCTTCTTCTTGCTCATGCCCTGCCTCCATTCTCAAACCCTGCACTCCTGGTCCTGGACTCAGCCTCCACTCACACCTTGCCTCCATTCTCAAACCCTGCACTCCTGGCCCTGCAACCTTCACCTTCTTCTTCTCTAGTTGATTCTGCTGCTGCTCAAACTGCTCCCGAATCTCCTTCATGGATGTGCAAAACTTGTTCCAATGCTGTTCCTTGAAGTTCTCGGTCACCAGCCAACACACCTGGGGCAGCAGCTCCTCAAACCTCCTCACCTGGGCACGTAATTCTGCAGGAATTGGAGGCAGGATATCAGGGACTTGGCAAGGGAGATGTAAGTTGCTGAGGCTATGTCTTCCAAAAATAAAAAAATAAAAATAAATAAAAAGGGAAAAGATTGGTCTCCAGTGTGATAAGAGCTACTCTATCAAAAGGAGACCTACAGTCGGACCAAGATGGAAAGTGATGGTTAAGCAAATGCAGAGGGATCCTTCTCCGTGTGCTTAAAATGTGTTGTCTTTCATCAGCTTGGACAAGTTCCCATCTATGACCTCTTTGGGCATTGCCTCGACTTTTCTCTCCCTCTCCTGTACCTCCAAACAGTCAGAGGCTAAGACCTACTCTGTCATTCCTATATCTCTACCTCTCATGTTTTCATCTCCCTGTCCTGCAGGTATTTCCTCTGTAGCTGCCTTCCAGTTTGCCAATTCCACCTTCAGCTATGTAAAACCTGGCCGCACACCCATTCATCATTTTACAATGTCAGCTCTTGATGTTTCCTTTTTAGAAGTTCTATTTCACTCTCTTTGGCATCTAATTGGTCATTTCTGTAGTATCTTACTCCTGTGTTCCAGTTTCCCCTTTTATTTAACTATAAACATGTCATCTCTATTTTGTGCCTAGTACTCCCCTCCCTCCCTCCCTCCTTCCCTCTCTCCTCCTCTCCCCTCCTCTTCCCATTCTTCCCTTTCCACCTCCTTTTTATTCTCCCCTCATTCTTCCCCTAGTCTTACCATGTAGCCCAGGCTACCTCTGACTTTGAAACCCTGCCTCAGCCTCCCTAGTGCTGGAATCGAAGGTATGGGCTACCACACGCTAGCTGTGTCTGAGGTTCCTTCAGTGTCTGGAATCTTTGCTGCTCTCATTCTGGGCCTCTGACTCCAAGTGCTTTGCAATCACAGTGAGTGCTTTGGGAATTTTATCTGTGGGAGGTGGAGAGCTGAGGCAAAGGCAGGTTTGAGGTCTGAAGGTGCCTCAGTATTAAGCAAATTCTGGACACTGTCAGAGAATGGTAGCTTGAAGCTGGAGTATCTGTCTCAGATCCTTTTGAATGATTTCCTTAAAATAGAATTTGTGTTTCATTGAGTATGAATTGGGTTGAGAAACCAGATCAGGGCTACACTTCTGCTCGGGATCCCCAGTGGAGCCTTTTATATCTTGTTTGCATCATCCATTACCAAGGTTTCTGCTGAGGTGTTTGATTCTAGTAGATGAGGGCCGGACTTTGTGCCTCACTGGCCTGAGCTGAGGAGTTTGAGTCTGGATTGCCCTGCTCTGCAGGCAGAGCCTTGTGGTCCTAGCTTTACATGAAACATCCCATCTTGGGTGGTCTGCTGTGGATATTGTTCTGTATGCTGTGAATGTGTTGCTCTGATTGGTTGATAAATAAAAAGCTGATTGGCCAGTAGCCAGGCAGGAAGTACAGGCGGGATAAACAGACAAGGAGAATTCTGGGAAGAGGAAGGCTGAGTCAGGACTCACCAACAAGACACAGAGGAAGCAAATGTGAAGGCAGAACTGGGAAAAGGTACCAAGCCATGTGGCTAAACATAGATAAGAATTATGGGTTAATTTAAGTGTAAGAGCTAGTCAATAGTTAGCCTGAGCTAATGGCCAAGCAGTTTAATTAATATAAGCTTCTGTGTGTTTACTTGTGTTCAATTGGCCCTAGGGCCGCAGAAGCCTGGCAGGACCAGGAAAACATGGCTGCAGGACTGGCAGGTGAGAGAGATTTGCCCTGACCACGGGCCCGGATGGACCGGAGAAAACTCCAGCTATGGTGGTCTTGGCATGTATCTCCTCTTCTTAGTGCCCTGACTGAAAGAGGGGGCTCCAGGACCTATGAATTTAGGGCAGAAGCCGGGGTCTCTGGCCCATTTATTATAGTTTCTGTTCTCACTTAATTTTTGGTTTTTGTGTGTCTCATACTTTATGAGAACTTTAAAAGATTTTATGTCCCAAATACTGTTTCCAGCACTTTATATGTCCTCAGTAGGAGACAGGGCGGGTGCTGGGCTGCTATGCCAAAGGGAATAGAAATCTCCACCAATGGATTATGTAGTAGAATATTTTTTAAGGTGTATTACTTTTGTTTTTGTTGCATTTGTTTAACTCTGTGAAGCTGTGTTACTGTGCCTGTCTGAAACACCTGATGGTCTAATAAAGAACTGGCCAATAGCAAGGCAGGAGAAAGGATAGTCAGGGCTGACAAGCAGAGAGAATATATAGAGGGAGAAATCTGGAAAGAGAGGTGGAAGATCTAGGGGCCAGAGGAGGAGGACTCCAGTGGTCAGCCACCCGGCTACACAGCAAGCCACGGAGTAAGATTTACAGAAGTTAGAGAAAGGGAGAAGCCCAGAGGCAAAAGGTAGAAGAGATAATTTAAGATAAGGAAAGCCGGCTAGAAACTAAGTCAAGCTAAGGCTGGGCATTTATAAGTAAGAATAAGCCTCCATGTGTGATTTATTTGGGAGCTGGGTGGCAGGCCCCCCAAAAAGAGCCAAAAGACCAACCAACAACAGGATTAGGCATCTACAAGAGAGGGACACTGTCTACAGTACTTCCCAAGACCACCTGACCACAGGGCCTTTGCTTTGAGGACCAACAGAGAATGGGATCCCTCTGAGTTCACTAGGAAACGCTGTCTATGGCTTGGCTTTTTCTCATTCTACAATCACTGGTTCTGGCCAGTCATTCCCCGTGAGGGATTAATCCAAAAAGGAAGCCTTCGTGGCAACTTTGTTACTTCCTCCACCTTACAGATAAGAAATGGAGGCTCAGAGAGGTAGAATTACTTTGCCAAAGTCATACAGCTGGGAGGTCACAGGGCTTGGTTTTGACCCCAGGTCTGGCTACCTCCTAATTCCCCCCCACACACACCTCCCCTACTAACTCTGAAATCACACAGCAGAGCCCAATAAAGTGTGATAGATCTGCACAGAGGAATATTATTCTGTGTTTTTTTTTTTAAGTACTATACACTCCACAACATGCATAACCTCAAAAACATTCCATAAAAACGAAAGAAGACAGTCTCAAGGGGCCACGTGACTCCATCCCACAAAAGGACAGAGAGAGAAATTACAGATGGACGTGGATGTTGTTTGCTTGGATCTGGGAGGGGGTGGGTTGATGAGGGCTAACATCGGCAGTGGTGGCAGTTAGGCAACTGGGGAAAAGAACTAAAAGCCACTGAATGACTGGTCACAGCCCGTGACTGTAGAATGAGTGGAATCCAAGCATTAGACAGCGTTTCCCAGCGAGCTCAGAGGGATCCCATTCTCTATGGTTGTCCTCAAAGCAAAGGCCCTGCGGTCAGGTTGGCTTGGGAAGGTCAGCTGGGCTGTGAATGGAATGACAAGCTCTGAGACAGAGTGGAAAACCAACCACATTTCTGAAAAAACAATGAACCTTTAAAATTTTTTGACCCAATTAAATTCAATAGTGCTTTCTCTTAACCCCAAGAGGTTGGCTTTTCACAGGGCTATTCCTCTGTCTCCTCAGTGAGTCAAAGGGAGGGGTGGGGTGGGCTGAGGTCCACCCCTGGCCATACCTGCTCCTGTGTTCCTTCTGCGGGCTGAATGGCACTTACCCAGAAGGCAGGAGTTGTGGTACTCATCCGCCTGATTCTGATATTCCAGGATCTTCTTGACGATGTGCTCAGCACACTGGTCAAAGTTTTCGTACATGCATTCAGGCCTAGTGACTGGGCGTTTCTCTTTGCGGTAAAAATCCTGCCAGAGAGAGGTGATCACGTGTGGCCCCGCCAGCCCATCTTGACTTTCACACCTCTGCCCGGTCACCCTTTCCCCACCCCAAGCCCACCAAGCATGGCTACAAAACAGACCATGTTTGCTATTTGAATGCCTGCATGGCAAACTCCTAGTTAGCCCTAGAGACCCAGGTCCACGGCATCTCAACCTGGAACAGGGCTGGGTGTTTACTGGAAAGCATCGGGATGTGGACCACAAAGGTAGACCAGCTGGTTGTCCTGCCTGGTAGAACCCAGCCCTGCTGAAGGCAGGCAGGGGACCTGGGTATGTTCTGGGACATGCCAGAGCAGCACAGCATGCAGTCTGTGCCCAAGCCCCACAAGGCTACCTGTGTCCCACTACTGGGAGCCATGTGGCCTAGTTTTGGATCAGTATATGAGTGCTTGTCCAATGGGTCTCCATGAGGCAAAGCCGTGGAGACAAGTCTCACTCGGCAAGGACCAGTGGACTTTGAGATAGCGCAGAATACTGCTGGAACGGCACAGCCTGTGAGCTCTTTTCTCTCTCATAGTATTGATGATTCTCCTGGTGGTTTTTAGGGTCACTTTGTCAGTCACTCATGGGACAGAGGTGATCATTCATAGAAACACCATTTTTTTTTCTCAAATGTTTTCCCCTAAAATTCTTTGGGAACTGATACTTCTCGGGTTTCCTATCTGGAAATACCAGCTGTCACTCCAGACCCTGGGAACTGTTCTGATTCAGTGCTGACCGGATTGGAGCCAACAAAAATTAATGGGCAGCTGAAGAAGTACAAGCTAACTGTATACAGGCAGCTTATGGCAGATCACCCCTATTTCTGTAAATACGCTTTGTTAAGTTTGGAACGATATTATTGTTCTTGAGAGTGTGTGCCTATGTTTATCACCTTTTGGCCTTGTAAAGACAGGATGTACCTGGCTCAATATTTGACCAAGCTAGCAAAATGATAAGCGTCGTTTTTGGTTTAAAAGATGTTTTGATGTAAAACGTATTTGTTTTTGCCAGAGGCTGACGCTGGAGGGTGAGACAAACATGTTTGTTAGTATGGAAAAACATGCTTGTTTTTGAAGTGTAAATAAAGACGGCTGGAGCTATTCAGGGCCGGCCACTTGTGTGAAACTCATCTGGCTGTCGGACACTACTTCATTCCTTCCCACCCATGCCTCTCCCCTGTCTCCGGACTTGAACCCGGGCTGTGGCCGGATCATGGCATCCCACCATGTCTGGGTTGCTGGGGCCCTGAGGGACAGAGGTTGGGTTTGTTCCTCTTGGTGTACTCATCAACTGACACCCAAACTGTGTCCAAGCAGTGTTTGCGGACTGGTTAGATAGATGAATAAAGACACGCTGGATGGTTTAGTTTCTAGGAGGAAACGTTAAAAAGAAACGAACGGACAACAGACTCAGGGTCCTGAGGTGGTGGGACCCTCGGGTGCCCTGCTAAGCAGACTGCATGCGGCAGAGGGGCTGGAGGGGCTTCCAGGGCAGGCAGAGGGCCTGCAGGCGGCTCTCACCTCCACCACGAACAGCAGGTGCTCGTTGCTCTCCCAGAGGAGAGTCTGGATGATGTTTTTGAAGTCCCTGCAACCCAAACAAAGCAGGTCTGTGAGGTGCATCTTCCGGACCACCAACACAGACAGGAGCAAGCAACTGAGTGTTCTGAGTGTTGTTCTCCAACCCTGTCACTCCTAGGGATTGATTACTCATTACTGCCAGGACCTTGGCCTTTGAACATCCCAATTAAAAATAAATAAATAAATAAAAAGCTGAGAAACTTCTTGGTCTCATTCGTCATTTGTTCCTTTTCTTCTGATCCTCGCTCTGTGCCTAGTTCTCAATTGCCTGATTCTGATACTCTCTGCTCCTCTGGAGCGCCCTAATCCGTGGGTAGGGGATTGATTGGTTTGACTGGCTAATTAATCTCTGTCTCTCCCAGCAGACTGTAAGTCTACCAAGTATTTAAAATACTGATTGGGAGATTATTGGATGGATGTATCTCTGGTACCTGAATTTCCTGCATGAGCTCAGAATGAACAGATGGCCACAGTCCACAAAAATGAAACTTAAGTTTAACTAATCAGAAGTAGCTCATGGGCCTCTAACTAGGGACTTTGCACAGTAACTAATCAAATCTTTTCTTCTGGCTTTTGTGAACATGAACACATTTTCCCCTTGGTGCCTCCTCCACGGAGCTCTCGACCACACAGTCCACGGTCCCCATTTATGAATGCCTATATGCACAAGTCCACTCAGTGGTTGCATTTTAATATGCTGGAGTTCTAACTCTGAATGAAGACTGTGGAGTGGAAAAGTTTCTCAGGGGGCACTGGTGGTCTCTGCACTGGTTGGCCCCCTGCACTCTTTGAAAAAGGAAGGAGCTGGTCATGATAGCCTGCACCTATAATTCCAGCAGGAGGTCAAGGCAGGGTGATGAAGAGTTCAAGGTCGTCCCATAATGAGCAAGCTAGTAAGCAGCACTCCTCCATGACCTCTGCATCAGCTCCTGCCTCCAGGTTCCTGCCCTGTGTGAGTTCCTTCCCTCACTGATTTTGATGATGAGCTGTTATATGGAACTGTGTGTGAAATAACCCTTTCCTCTCCAAGTTAGTTTTGGTCATGGTGTTTCATCTCAGCAATCATAACCCTGACTAAGACAGGCACCTCCTCCACTCACTCTAAAGAGCCGTTAGGGCATGACTCAGACACCAGAGACTTAAAAGCAAATTTCTGTTGACAGGTTGATTTTCATGCCCCATAAGCTCAACTGTTTTAAAAGCAAAAATGAGATGAAGAACCAATGTCTTCAGAGTGCGTGGAGTCTTGGCACACTGACACTTCACAATGACTCTGAAGTGTCCCAGAGACTGCTGCCCATATGTGGTACTACTACTACTTACCAGATTCTAAAATCTATGTACGTTGGTCAATGGTCTATCATTTCAAAACTTACTCCTTGTACTTTTAAAAGATGCAATTACTTCAAGGTGAGGAGAAATTAACACCAACATTTTAGTGCATTCCCTCCAGCTAATTTTACTTACAATCAGACACAATTAGCTTCACATGGATTTCACATATTCTCTGTCCATTTATCAAATTCTGAGTGCCCCTGGATTGGGATACGGTCTTCAATGGTTGTGGAGTATCATTAAATACAGATGTACCACAGTTTGCAATCCTTTGATTTGTGGAATTTCAGAGTTTTTTCGCCACTTTCACTTGGCATGAAAAGCACTGCATGGATGAGCAGGAGATAGAGCTGAAGGGCTGAGAGCTTGCTTCGCATACATGAAACCCTAGGTTCATCAAATTTCTGAAAAATCAGCACAAGGTATTGCATGGTTTTTTGTTTTGTTTTGTTTTTTGCACAGGAGGCAATGTGTTTTGCCAGTCCAATGGAATCTTAGCCTTAGGTGACTTCCTTCCTTGAGAGTGACAGGAAGATCCACCAATCAAGTTCACATATTTCACAAAGGCTGAGAAACATTCTAGTTCCCAGGGGAGTTCCCAGGAGAGTTTCATCAGATTATAGGTAGAGAGAACTCTAACAGAACCCCAAACAACTGAACATTTGGTGAGTGTAACCTTGAGTAACTTCCAGAGAGATGACCCCACTCATCCTGGTCACCAGACACACTGGTCCCAGGTTCTTGGATAAACCCTAAAAATAGTGGCAACTAGGTCCCACTCTGCCAGGAGCTGGCTCTGGATCCCCCTCTAGCATCACATGACCTTGGACCCGATGGTATGTGTCATAATTCCCCACTCTCTAGATCGTGTCCATCCACCACTGGTTTGTCCTAAGTGGTCCCACGACAGTGATCGGATCTGGCCTGAGGCTGTGAGTCATCTTTCCTGCTGAATGAGGGTGTGGCTGTTCACCTCAGTGCTGTGAAGGTATTTGTCCTTGTGGCTAAATACACTCTCTTCCAGGCCTTCCTCCACTTAGAACACCAGTGGGTGTTTTCTTGCTGAGAGCGCGCATTTCTGTCTCCTGTAGGGCTCCTCCTTGGAACAGAGTAGTTCCAAGCAACTGGCTACACAACGCAAGCTGCATGGAATAACTTTGAGGAGTTTTTTCCTTCGTGGGGAGGCTGAGCTCTTAGGGAGGAAGGTATGAAGACTTGTAGATGGCTGCTTTGATGGCCCCCATTAGCCTCTGCTGATGGCTTCTGGGATTTCTAGAAGGATGATTGTTGATGACCCCTGCCCTCAGTGCAGGGCACCTGCTTTCGCTCTCTAAGCTGGCCGCCCCCTTGCAGTCCTGGCTTAGTTGGTGATTGAATCGCAGGTGAAGTACGGGACGGGCTTGTCCCCTGCTCATTTCCTGGTGTCCCAGTGAGGCTAAGCATTTCCCTTGGGTGTTTATTTCTAACAGTTTCTTCTTTTTGGTGTGATTTTTTTTTTAAACTCAAGGACAATTTTATCAGAGTTTAAGAGAAAAACATAGTACAGGTTAGGCAAAAACCCTGGTAGCCACCAGGGAATGGAGAAAAAAAATCATGCCTTTAAGTTAGCCATGGAATAGAAATAGCTGGCTGGAGCTGAAGAGCTGGACTAGTGGTTAAGAGCACTTGTTCTTCCAGAGGACCTGGGTTTGATTCCCAGCACCCACAGGGCAGCTCACAATCACCTGTAACTCCAGTTGCAAGGGTTCTGATGCCCTCTTCTGGCCTTGACAGGCACCTGCATACACATAACCCAGGCAAACACACACATAAAATAAAAATAAAGTTCATGTGTTGTGTGGTCGTTTGAATGTATTTGGCTCCCAAAAGCTCATAGAGGGTGGCACTATTAGGAGGCGTGGCCTTGTTGGAGGAGGCTGGACAACACAAGCCTTTAATCCAGACCATGAAGATGGAGGGCACACCTTTAATCTGGGCCACACCTTCTGTTGGAGGTATTATGTCATTGTGGGGGCGGGCTTTGAAGTCTTTTTCTCAAGCTTCACTTGGTGTGACGGTTCTGTCGATTTCCTCCTGCCTGCAAGATCAGGACTGTCAGCTCCAACACCACATCTGCCTGCACACTGCCATGCTCTCTTTCATGATGATAATGGACTGAACCTCTGAAACTGTAAGTGAGCCACCCTCAAATTTTTCTTTATAAGAGTTGTCGTGGTCTTGGTGTCTCTTCACAGCAATAGAAACCCTAAGACATGCTGGAAAATCAGGGTGTGGGTTAGTTATCATAGGCATGAGGTCCTGATGAAAAGATCCATTTGGAGACAGGGTCTTGCTATATAGCCCAGGCTGGCTAAACTTGTGATCCTCATGCCCCTGGGTTCTAGGATTACAGGTCAGAACCACCAGGCCTGGCTCCATGCTGGTAGTTCCTCCCTGAACTTCCCAACTGTAAGAAATAAATCTCAGACATTTATACGTTCTGCAGCCTTAGATACTCTGTAAAGTAGCCGAGTGAGATTAAGACAGGACTCCGGGGCATTGTGCCATCACTGAGAAAGTCAAATGCTGCAAGTCCTTTTGTTGACGTTCTCCAGCTGACAAAATTACAAGGAAAAACCAAGGAAATTTCTGATTGCTCGGTGTTGGGGTGGTAGAAGGAATCATAAGAGGGAGTGTTTGGAGAGGTGGGACAGTTCTGTATCTTGACTGTTGTGGGAGTTCACCTCTTTAGAAATTAAAATGACACAGAACTGGAGGGAACCGAGTCAGGGCGGCTGTGGCACAGGATGTCACACGCATAGGTTGAGGACACACCAGGCTGCCAACGTGAGGTCTCTCCTGAGTCACCTCTGGTTTAGACAGCCTTCCTCACATAGTTCCCCAGCTCCGGAGGTAAGATCCCCGTGGGGGTCAAAGTCTGCCAAGAAGAGAGAGTGGGGCTCCACTCTAGAGCTTGGTGTTCTCCGAGGGCTTCTGATGTCTTCAACTTGAGATTCCCATGATTTGCCCAAAAAGAAGCTAGATTAAGTAAACTGACGTTTGCTTTAGTCACTGAAGTGCTGATAAAGGAAAAGAGGAATGAAGCAGAGGGTGGAAAACTGTAAGAAGAAAAACAAAAACAAACCAACCAAGAACACAAGCGAAGCCCTCGAACCTCCAGAGTGCCTTGGCACCATGAAACGCTGAGCCTGGAAAATGGGAGCTTTTTGGTGAAAATGTCTCTCAACAAACACACGTCTAAAGCTAAGACAAGCTGACCTTGATGTGTAAGTTTACCCCGCCTACACCCCCACTGTCCTTACAGAGAAAAAGAGTTCTCACAGAGGGAAATGGTTCCACCAGGGGGAAACAGTGTGCCACTACTTACTCAGCCTGAGGAGGAGGCCGTTCCCCAAGCACCTGGTACTTTTTGTCGACTCTGATGATCTTGGTATGTCGTGTCATGCTGTGAGACAGAAGATGGTCAGTACTTTGTAGTGGGGGGGGGGCGGATGGGGGCGGGGCAGTTCTGTACCCATTGGACCCTGCCCGGGATGCCTGAGAGCCTGGGATGCCTATGGGGCAGGATGACTGGATCTTAGAACAGCTCTACAGAATGCTTCCCCACTCTTCAACTTCTTTTTTCTCTAAAAAACCCATAACTTTGGGTTTATTGCTGAGTCTCAGCCAAGGCCAGATAGACAGCAAGTGGCAGGGGTGGTCAGGTCCAGAAGTTTGCATCCTCTCTTTCCCGTGAAGACTCAAGGAAAGCCGTCAGGGTCATTAGATAATTATACAATGCTTCTAGTTAGGTGTGAATTCATTTACACAAGGAATAATTCACACACACACACACACACACACACACAATCCAGGGCTTAGCAAAGAGCCAAAGTTGGCTCAGCCATTGACTTCTGTCATTTGCTTTCCCTAAAATATGTGGGCTAGAGCTGGTGGCCAGAGGCTCATGTGTGATGGATGACCTCTCCAGAGCTTAGTTTGTGACCATGGACTTAGCCACCATGTCCTGGTCCCCCTGTAACCCACCTGCTCCCGTGCTCAGTCTGTCCCCCCTTTCTAATGCTGTCCAGCTTGTGGAGAGATTGCAGGACTGTCATCCCAGTGATAGCTACCCAGACACTTCTCTAGGTACAAACGTGTGGGAGCGGTGATCCACCCCTAAGGAGGAGCCCAGCCCTGAATAGAGCCCATGTTACAGCGCCCCTCCACCTCCTCCCCACACAGCTCCTGAGCGTGAGTACAAGTGAGACTGGAGACCAGAGTCTGAACAAAAGACATGCTGTCTGGCCCTTGTCTGGGGACAAGCGGGCCCAGGGCGTCTGGGGAGGGGGAGTTTGGGATGGCCTTGCATCCTTACCTCCCTGCTGAGGTGGCACTGGAGCTGGCCAAGGCCTTCTTCGCGGACTTTTCTCCCCGGTACCGATGTTTCTTCAAGGCTTTGGGTGACAGGTGTCCAGGACAAGAGCAGAGAAGAAGAGGAGACCAAGAGGGGACCACGGGCTGCAGCTGCCGCCAACCTCCCTGCCACTCCCTCCCCCGAGACCCACAGGCCTGGCTCCTACCTGTGTGGGAGCGGTCCTTGTCACACGGGCATGCCGATTTTGTCTGAGGAATTCTGAAACCCAAGGGAGGGAAGTGAACTTTTCCATGGTGACCATGACAACAGCCCAGGCCAAGCCCTGGGTAACAAACTGTTGGTCCTCCATACCACTTGCATACCCAGGAATTTGAGTGAGTGACTGAGGTGTGAGAGGGGAAGCCCCTGGCCTGAGGTCACAGGCTCCTGGAGCAGCACTCCTGTGGTACTACGGTGAGTAGGGCCCCCGAGCCACAGGGGTAGACACTCACTGAAGGATCTTCTTGACCACATCCACGGCAGGGTCTTCAATCATGGGCCTCCCCATGCGGGTTGGTTGGGCAAAGGACTCAGGGGTCACGAGGCCCACCTTGGCTTCCTCCTCAAGGGCCTCTGAAGACACGTGGATGTCACTCTCCATTTCCATATCCATCAGGATGGTGTCCTGCAGTCCAGAGAGAAATTCTAAGTAGAGGGACCACAGTTTCAGGAGGCAGCAGACACTGTCCGCTGCCGCCATCTTGTCCGAGTGACGGCTGGAGGCAAGCTGCCTGGCCGCTCTGTCACAGGGTTGTGCTCCTGTCCCAGATGTGTCCAATTGATGTCTTGACCACATGAATGGAGACACGACTAAGAGTGGCCACCTGCCTGTGAGAAAGGGCAATAAAGATGTCCACGAAGAGTAAGTCTGGCTGTTCCGTCGTTTATTCTGAGTCTCCTCTCCCGTCAGGCCTTTGAAAGGCCACAGGCTGGAACCCTGGAGCCTCTGTATGGCCTTCAGCAGTGTAGGAAATGGCTGTCGGGGGAGGGGGGTTACCTGGCTGCACAGTAGGGAAAGCCTCCCCTTGGAAGAGTATAGCCAAACTCTGGCAGTGAGAGCCGAGGCAGCAGCAGCCGACTCATGCAGCAATTGGCTCTTGGGTTCCCTGCGCGTGGCTGGGAACCTCACGGCAAAGCCTGATGTGGGCGTGGGGGGAGGGGGCAGGTCATGCAGGCTCTGCCCATGCCAGTGCTCAATCTCTGGCAGATCAGATAGCTCCTTAACCAGAGACCTTACCTCGTGGTGGGTGGAGTCATGGGGAAGTGGGAGGTACCCCAGGGCCAGTAGTCCCACCTAGACCAGAAGGCAAGAGATGCCTTTGCCGGGGAGAAAGGGATGAAGGGCACTGATGACAGACCATGGAGGTGCCTGTGTGACTGGCTCAAGGGTTTAGATTCGACACTGAAGGCAGGAGAATGGTGGAGTTATTTGGGCCTTTGCTGCTGCTGGACAGGGACTGGGTATCGAGTTGTGGGGGGGGGAGACATCGTAGCTAGAGGAAGAGACATTGGGAAGAGACAACCTCTTGTTGGAGGTTGAGGGTGTGACTGTGCATGGCATATGGGAAGGCAGAGGCTGAGGTGGACGGATTTGATTGAGACCACATGCACGGGCTAACTTGAGAGCCTTTGGTACCAAAGTCAGATGATTCCACAGTATGCCACCCTTCCAGAACATCCCAGCAGGCCTGATAAATCCTGGGCATCCCCTCTCCTCTCATGCTGCACTAGATCTCGTGGGGTCTCCTGGGATCCCAGACTATAGCTTGTCTACATTTTCCCCGTTCTCTCCATGTTCCTTACCGTAAAGACCTCCTGAGTAATGCACACCACATCCAGGCTGCAGTTGAGGTACTTAATCCTCTGGCTCAGTTTTTCTTTCCAGGATCGGACAAAGACAAGGAGGTCATCTGTGGTCACCATCTAATGGGAATACAGAGGGAGAGAGCCCCAGAAAACAGACAGGGTCACCAGAAGTCCAGGGACAGGGGCTTATCCAGGGAAGGACAACATTTGGTTCTTCCAAGTCCCCTCTCTTATAGGAAATGGTCCTGGAGGATTGGGGGTGGGGGGTTGTGACTGGCTGTCTCTCTTGGGCAGTTGTCTAAAGGTGGCAGATCCTTCACTGATGGGGAAGTTCTGTTCCTGGTCTTATAGGTTCAGCTATAGGCAAGTGATTCAAAATTGCTTGACTTAGTTTCCTCATCTGTAAGATGGGGATATGGAACACCCCCCAGTGTCTCCTCTAGCTCTAAAATTATATGTTTAAAGGACACATTTGGTCCAGCTGGCAAGGGTGTGGATCGTTGGGCAGGAGGGCTGACTGTCCGTCTCTAGGCATTCCCCTAGCAGCACCCTACAGTTTCAGGCATCACCCTCAACCATCTTTATCCTCACTACACCCAAGACTTTACCATTGTTTCCTACTCATTGCTCTGCAGACTATGAACCAGGCTCCTCCATCCACACAGGAATGGGTCACCCAGCTCACTGTCCCCACCTAGCGGGAGGCTGGGGAAGTCTCCTGACATCCACCCAGTAGGAAAGAACCCGTGGAGCTTGGGAGGGGGAAGAAATGAATCCAAAATGTTGCTATTCTGGACAGTCAGGACTTGCCTAAAGGACTTATTGAAGGTCCTAGCAGGAAAACTAATTTGTCCCTTGATACCAGGAAAGGGAGACCAGGGAAGTGATGGATAAGATGTAGGAACACCTTCCATCTACACATCATCTCTTCAGAATGATTAACTCAATGGATGTGTAGGAAACTATATGAAGGCAAACAATGAGACCGGGAGTGTCTCTGTCTCCAGAGGGACATTCATTGTTCATGTGATGCCCTGTGGGAACTTTTCTCAAGAATCATGTGTCATACCATACAAAAATTTACAGTGGAGACAGAAAAATAAATGTTCTCTTGGGGTTTTCATCAGTGGAGACACAGCTCGGAGCTGACAGGAGAGAAATGGAGCAGGAATTCTCTCTTCTTCTCTGCTCTTGCAGGCCAGGCACCCAGCTCTGGGGGCATCTGGGTGAGCTGCCCAGAGATACCTTGTGAGACCAGGGCACATGTGGATTGGGGCAGAGACAGGCACTCATGGCCAAAAAAACAAGTATGCACACACTGAGAGACCTGCACTGCTGACTGGGGGAACCAGAGACACTCATAAACATGATCCTGCTGAACTCCACTACAATTCCAACTTTTCACATTCACAGATTAGACAATGAAAAATCAGTTTATGTGCTGTGGTGAAAAGGAGTACAGAGCGCCTGCTTCTCTCAGTCACTGGGGCTGAGCTCTCGGTGCTGAGAGGGAGGCCTGATGGCATTGCAGAGGGAAGTAGAGTCCCCAGATGCAGTCTCAGGCCCCCACCCTCACTAACCTCTGCACTCGCGTCTGAGGCTGGTAGTGGGGTGTGGTTGCTTGTTTTTTTCTTTCTGCCTTCCACTGAGTAACACAAAAGTTAGCCAGCGAGGCTCAGAGACACCCCACCCTCTCTGCGATGGAGAAATCTGGTACCCAGATGCAAGTCTACATCACTTTGCCGTTCTCGACTGGACACATTCAGAATCTGTGATGCACTCACGCCTTTATCTCCCCGGTGCTCTCGACACGTTTGTATCTTGCACTGAAGCTGCTCCAGAGAAGAATTTAATCCTTCTGCTTGCAAATTGGACTTGGCCACCTAGAAAACCAGTTTTGAGATTCTGTTTTTAGAATATCTATCAAGAACAGGAAAATGGTCTTCAAGATACACAAGAAATTGAGTAAACACTGAAAAAACAACAGTAAGAGTATATATTGATATGATATCAGAAAGTAGATCAATATGAGTTTAAAAGGTTTGTTTCTCTATCAAATAGGTATGGTTTAAATGAAACTGGTGCCACAGAGTGTGGTTAAGTATGTAAGACCTGCCAGAAGGCATACAGAGCTTTGGAACACCCACACTCTGTCACAACATTCCAGCTTACAGCTGAGGACATAGGCATCCTGGGTAAGGATGCTTCTTACAGTCCTGGGCAGGCATCATGCCAAAAGAGGATTAAAAAAACAAAACAAAACACACACACAAACACACACACACACACAAAAAAAAAAACCCAAAAAACAAAACCTGACAGCCCAGCCATGACAGGGAGGCTGCTCAAAGGTTATTTATGAAGAATCTTTAAAGAGTATGCAGGGGCCTGGAGAAATGGCTCAGTGGGTAAGAGAGCTTGCTCTGCTGTCTAAAGGAAGCGAGTTCAAATCCTCTGGACGCACACAGAAAGCTGGGCACAGCCATTGGTGCTTGCAACCTCAGAATGGGGAGCTGGCTCCAGAGAGTTCTCTGGCCAACCAGAGAACCGGCAGAGCAGTGAGCTGGCTCAGTGTTGGACACTATCTCAAGGCTATGGCAAGTAGGAGAATGACAGGAAGGTGCCAACACCCACTCTGGCCTCTGTGCGTGTGTGCACATACACTCACATATGTGCATCACATGTACACTACCACACACAAAATAAAGAATACACTGCTTATAAAGTCACATAAGTCATACGCCAGCTTGAATAGATGCCCATCTTCTCACATGTAGAATCAATCATAAGTCAGCATCTTAAACTTGTGACTGTGGAGCCTGGGAAGACGGCAAGGGTAATAAAGTACTAGCTAAGGCGTATGACTATGTTACAGAATCACAGTTTGCTGCTGTCACCTTGTTGTGTTTATCTGCATTTCCAGGGCTGTCCCCACTTCTGAGTTGCTTCTATGGTTCCCAGTTCACAGATGGGTAAAGAAGTTCCCTCGAGTGACGGAGCAGGTGACTGACTGAGTCACAGAGCTTGGGAACCTCGGCAAACACTTCTTTTGCCAGAATGTCTCCCAGTCTCAGGAGACAGACAGGTCCTCCTCAGTTTGGCTTGCCCCACCCTAGAAGGTCCTCAGACGCTGTTCCTTGCATGTGTGCTGGCCTAGAGACACAGGAGCTAGCTCTCTGGGTAGTAAGGGAGAGGAACCCATGACAGAAGCTGTAAGTCGCCCACAGACGTTGCAGTGAGAACAGAAGCTGGTGTTATAAGGAAGAGGAAGCGCTTCATTGGCCCAGTCTACAGCACTGAGGAGGATGAATCCGAAGGCTTGTGGTTGTGTAGACAACCAAGAGGGGTGGATAAGAAGAGGAGAGGGTTCTGGGGCACTGAATGCCACCTGGCTGGCCCTGTGATGTTCTTAGGGAACAGATAAGTCACCACTGTCCTTCAAACATCCCTGCTTCACATAGCTAGTTACATCAGACTAAAGCATAAGTAAGGCTGGCTTCTAAGAAGCAGCCTCCAGTACGCGATCCCTCACACACCCTGGAGACGGGAGCTCCGTGTGAGATAACTCAGAAAGATGCAGCTCCATCTTGGTGGCCTGGTAGAGTTAGCTCTGCCATGATAGAGCTACACTCTGGTCATGTAAGTGTGAGAACAGAGAGAGAGCGGTATAATAACCAGCAGGACACCTTCGAGGTCAGGTAGCAACACCAGTTAGTGACCAGCAGCTAGCTGACAGTAGAGGTCAATAACTAACACAGCCAGAGTCAGAGACGGACAGAGGAGGGCTTCCGTCGCCTCAACTCAGTGTGCAGCCCAAGAACAGCACGGGATTGTCTCTCTCGTTGGGCTTAGGAGACATGGGTTCTGGGATTGACCTCAGGGCCTGCTGTGGGTCAAGCGCTTTAAGGACCGAGCTTTCTCTCCAGCCCTTGTCTCTGTTTCTTTTATCTCTAAAATGGAGATAAAAGCAGTCCATCTGGTTCTGACATGGACAAACAATGCTACATAAAGTAAGTTGGGGACTGTGGAGTGCAGTCACTCAGTGGCTGAAGTACCCCGGGACAGACGCCACACTGCCGGACAGATGCCACACTGCCGGACAGACGCCACACTGCTGGACAGTGAGTACTGGTGTGCAGGTGTGTGTGTGTGTGTGTGTGTGTGTGTGTGTGTGTGTGTGTGTGTGTGATGGGTGTCCACTAGACGGAAGATGGACCTGTCCTACCTGACACTTGATGTTCACTTGCAAATTCGTCATCAGCCGTTGGATTTTCTCTACGAAAATCAGGTCTGAAGATAGGTTATGGAATTTACTCTCAAATTTGTTGATGACGTCATTGGCCTGTTAAGGAAAGATCAGAAGTAAATTGGAGTGAACTTGATCTGGAGCATTAGACCTTGGAAGAAGGGGGAGCTTAAGTACCCTTTCTTCAGAAGTGACAGCCTCTGGCAGGCAGTCCTGGAGGCTGTTTGGAGGGAGGAGAGGGAGCCCCCACCTGGTCCAGGTAATCCGTCTCCATTTTTTCCATGTGGATCATGATTAAACTTTCAACAAACTCAATCCGGGTGGCCTCCTTCTCCAGTCGATGGCACAGTGACTCAATCTCTTCAGGGGAAAAGTTGCCCCCCTCTGAAAACAATCTGAGAACAAGAGGGAGAAGCAAAGGCCACCAGTCAAACCGAGCATGCCTGCACACCCCAAGGCCGTGGCTTTAGATCTGAGTACAGGTGACGGAAAGATAAACGCAGGTTATGCAAATGCAGGGGCAGTGAAAGGAAATTCTGTGCAAACTCCAGACAAGCTAAGCATGGCGCTCAGTGGTAGCATGCCTGTCTAACATGCAGGAGGCTCTGGGTGCAATTCCTAATACCACTGAGTGAATGAGTGAGTGAGTGAGTGAGTGAGTGAGTGAGTGAGTGAGCGAGTGAGCGAGCGAGTGAACGAATGAATGAATGAATGAAAAACCCACATAAGGAAGAGAAGTCTGCAGTCTCCAGATGAAGTGAAACTAGAGGGTCCCTTGGGATATGGGTGGTGCCAAAGCTGACTTGACCTGGAGACGTTGATGCTGAGCCTCCATGACTGCATGGGGGAAGAGCCAGCTGGGTCCTGAGGGTGGCACTTTCAGTGTGGGATTGAGTGACACATGAACCCCACCAGGTTCCAGGATCCTGAGATCCCAGGGCAAGGGGGAAGGAAAGCTCTTTCTAATCTGAGATTCTGTTTACCAACTGAACATGTGTTCTCCAGAACAACAAAATGAAACAAAACCTCAAACAGATTATTGTAATTGGTCCTGAGTAGGTATTGCCCCAAGTGGTCCAGTAAAAACTAATATGGACTCTCTGAAGGAATGCCATGTGAGTCCAGGCCTCAAAGAGGATGCTGCAGATAAAAATCCAAGAGAAACAAGTGACATCTAGTCACAAGGAAGTAAGACACCATGAATAAGAAGCAAAGGACAACAGGAAGCAGAACACAAGAGATGTTACAATGCTCTGAAAGAAATTACAAAATAACTAAATATAAGATGTTTAAAGAAATAAAAGAGACCCCCTGCTTCCTGAAGACAGAGGCAGTGTGGCCAGCCCCCTCAGGCTCCATGCCATGCCTTCCTGCTGTGGTGGACTATCACCCTGTAAGTCCGAGCTAACATTTACCATTCCTTGAGTTGCTCCTGCCAGGTGTTTTACCATAGCAACAAGTAACTGACATAGAAAATTAGCAGGAAGGGAAGCTTGAAAACACAAGCAGGAAGCAGTCAATTTGGAAAAACAATTGATATAACCAGGATATTGTAACAGTGAAGTTTTAAGCCTCAAGGAATAGCCTTTACATTTTTATTTATGAAATTGTGTGTGTGTGTGTGTGTGTGTGTGTGTGTGTGTGTGCGCGCGTGCGCTCGCACATGGCGCACACTCACATGCCATGATGCATGAGTGGTTAGAGGAACATTTTTTTTTTAAAGATTTATTTATCATGTATACATGTACCTGCATGTACACCTTCAGGCCAGAAGAGGGCACCAGACCAGATCTCACACAGACGGTTTTGAGTGACCATGCAGTTGCTGGGAATTGAACTCAGGACCTCTGGAAGAGCAGCCAGTACTCTTACCCTCTGAGCCATCTCTCCAGCCCTAGAGGGCTATCTCAGGAGCCAGTTCTCTCCTGCCACCTTGTGGGATCCTGAGACCAAACTCAGGTCAGCAGGCTTCTGTACAAGTGCCTCTACCTGCTGAGCCAGCTCACCACCCCAAGGACCAGATCTATCAGGTGGGCAGACACAGTTACAGAGGGAGGCTAATGTGAACAAATCTGCTAGAACAGAGCTAAGATACAGGAGAGTGATGCATGCAGGACAGAGGTGCCTGAATAACATGTCAAACAAATGCAAGCCTTGCAGACACAGCCACGGACAGTGCATGCTGTGACTCATGGTTAACCTTCACTGTGAGCCTCCCAGGATCTGGAATCGTCAAGTGACACAGCACTGGGTGTGTCTGTGAGGCTTTTCCATTAGTTTCACTGAGGAGGGAAGACCCGTCCTAACTGTAGGCGGTGCCATCTGGGTCCTAGACTGAAGAAAAAGAAAAGGAAAAAAAATGGAGAGGCGGTTGGGGGGGGAGGAAGCTAGCTGAGTACCAGCAGCCATTTCTTTCTGTGTTCTGACTGGAGGCAATGTAACCAGCTGCTTCATGTTCCTGTCACCACGCAGACCATGTCACCCTCAAACCATGAGCCAAAGCAAACCCTTCTTCCTTAGGTCACTTTTTCAGGTATTTGTCACCATAACAGGCAAAAGAATTAACAGGCATTAGTAGGATTCTACTTCAGAACAAACCAGCAATGTTTGCTCACAGAACGTGTAGAAAACACATTTTTTGGAGAATGTCTATTTTTAACTTTTATGTTTATTTATGCTAAATGAATAAAAGATTTTTCAAATGATCTTCAGAATTTTCAAATTTCAAAACAATATAAGCTTTTTAAAAAAATGAATCCAGGAGCTAGAGATGGAGAGGATGGTTCAGCAGTTAAGAGAACTGGCTGCTCTTGCGGAGGACCTGGTTCGGTTCCCAGCACCCATGTGGTGGCTTACAACAATATGTAACTCCAGTTCTAGGAGATCTGATGCCCTCTTTTGGCCTCCAAAAGCATCAGGTATTGTGGGATATTTGCACACTGTGTGAAAATATATTACTGTGATTGGTTCAATAAAGAACTGAATGGTCAATAGCTAGGCAGGAGGTATAGGTGGGACTTCCGGGCAGAGGGAAAGGAAGTAGTAGATGAATCTAGGTGTGTATGTGTGAGACACCAATGAGACTTGGAGGGAGTCAGACATACAGAATGAAAGAAAGGTAAAAAGCCACAAGGGAAAATATAGATTAATATAAATGGGTTAACTTAAATTATAAGAGGTAGTGGGACGAGCCTAAGCTAAGGCCGAGCTTTTATAATTAATAAGAAGTCTCTGTGTCATTATTTGGGATCTGGAAGCCAACAAGAAAACTTGCTACAATAAAACATGCCATATGTGATGCACATACATGCACACAGGTAAAATACTCAAACGCACTGAAAAAAGAATCAAGTATAGCTTGTTACAAATGTCAAAAGCTAAATCTGGTATTAGAGTCAGGCAGGAATGAGCAAAGACCGTGGGGGAAAGGCAAAGGGGAAGAAGGGCCGGTGAGCATACAGAAAGACACCATCACTAGTTACTAGGGGAATGCAGACCAAAACCATACACTGCCTCACATCCACTGCAATTGAGAAAGAAACTCATACGTGTTGGTGAGGCAGTGTTCAGAGAAACGAGAACTCCTGTGCTGTGCTAGTGGGAATGTAAAATGGAAGTCACTCTAGAAAATAGACATAAAAACGACTCCTCAAAAGAAAAGGGATGGGACCACCACGTGATACAGCTGTTCTCTTTCTGGAAATGGACCCACCGGACTTGAAAGCAGGACCCTAGCAGATATCTACAGTGTCTCTTGTACCACTATTCACAATCACCCAAAGGTGTAAACAGCCACAGACTCATCAATAGGCGGGTGGGAAAATAAACTGTGGGCGTGCGACACAGCACAACGGAACATCGCTCAGCCTTAGAAAGGAAGGGCGCGCTGACACAGGATATAACACAGGTGAGCCAACCTCAGAGAGGATGCGTGCAAGTGAGATACACCAGGGAGGGAGGGGCAGACGCGGGAGGCCCTCTCCAGGAGGTGCCCGGGGTAGGCGACTTTTCATTTCTTCTCTGACAGTTTCATACCCGTATACAATGAATTTCAGTCATAGTAACCCCCACGGCCCTCTCTCGTCCCTCCTCACCCTCCTGGCTCCCACTTTCGTAGCTCTTGCACATGTGTAACCCACGGAGTTTAATTAGGGTTGCTTGTATGAACATGGAAGGGGGGGCTTGTTTACAAAAACGTGGGTAACAATTCAGTGGCACCCCACTGAAGAAGGTGACACACAGAAACCATTGACTGTCAGCGGTCCCCTACGGAAGGGGCCTCTTGAGTCCGTCCCCCTCCCAGGATGAAATGTCCAATGGGCTCAGTCTTGTGCAGGTCTTTTTTTTCCCCCTTGGGTAGCCACAGCTCAGTGAGTTCACGGTGCAATAGACGTGCCCAGAACACGTCTTTTAATAGCATACTTCCCCATCCTCCAGAGCTCCATCTTCTGTGGAGATCTGAAGGAGGTGATTATAGGGCTGGCATGGAACAGTCAGCTTCATAGAGACGGGAAGTAAAATAGTGGTGGCAGAATCATGGAATGTTTATGATATGGAGTGTTGGTCTGTGATAATAGGAAATTCTAGTGCCAGTGCTGGTGTTAATAGCACTCTGCATAATACCACTGAACAGCACATCTGAAAATGGTTAAAAATAAGCTAGGAGAGAAACATGGCCACCTCCCAAGAGCAAACCCTGGTGGCTCCCAGAGACATAAGATATCCATTGGTTCCCACCTGCAGTGCTTGACAAAGTCAATGTTGGTATAGCGGAGTTTGCCCAGACTCTCTTCCAGGTACTGCCGGAAGCTTCGCAGGGACACCTGGATGACATCCACATAGCTAAGCAGCTCCCGGTGTAGTGTTTTGGTGAGACTCACCAGCCTGTGGGGACAGGGGAGATGTAGGTGGTGGTAAATGACCAGCCTGGGAGGCAGGAAAGGCCTGGTGGGAACCCTGGGCCTCTCAGATCCACCACCCAACTCCTCTGGCCTGCAAAGAAACACTAGAAAGGAAATTAAAAGACAAGTGTGGTGTGCAAGCCTGTAATCCCAGCACCCATGGGGCTGAGGCAGAAGGATCACAAGTTCTAGGCCAGCCTGTATGGCAGTGAGCTCAAGGCCTACCTGGACAATTTAGTGAGACCCCTCCTCAAAATAAAAAGTAAGGAGGCATTGCCAGCAAATTAGTAAAGGAGTCCCAGGCTCTACTGAGTCCTCGTCCCACCAACAGACCACCTGACGACTCCCCAGCAGACCACCTGACTCCCACCAACAGACCACCTGACTCCCCAGCAGACCACCTGACTCCCACCAACAGACCACCTGACTCCCCAGCAGACCACCTGACTCCCCAGCAGACCACCTGACTCCCACCAACAGACCACCTGACTCCCCAGCAGACCACCTGACTCCCACCAGCAGACCACCTGACTCCCACCAGCAGACAGACCACCTGACTCCCCAGCAGACCACCTGACTCCCCAGCAGACCACCTGACTCCCACCAGCAGACCACCTGACTCCCACCAGCAGACCACCTGACTCCCACCAGCAGACAGACCACCTGACTCCCCAGCAGACAGACCACCTGACTCCCCCACAGTGTGGCACCCTCACCCTGTGCCCTCCTGTAACAAAAGTTACTTCTCTGCATAAGGGCCACCCGAAATTGGCTGCCCCTATGACTGAATGCTGCACAGATACCTGCCATGGTCCTTCCTGTCACCCGAATGAGGCCCCTGCCTTACATCTCTGAGTGGCCTTTGCTGGAGCCTCTTGCTCTACCTGCCCTGCCGATGGCCCTCCCCTAAGTTTTGGCAGGCACCTGTGGGTTCATCAGCCACGCCCTTCTAGACAGACAGGAAGCCCTTCCAGATGCCCCCAAAGGGAAACAGTCTTTATCAACATGGACATTTCCGAGCACAGCATCTGCACCTTGCACGTGGCCTGTGTGTATGTACTTCTCCCATCCCAGACGACGCACCCGCTGCCTCACACACAGCCAATGCTGCCCATGGAATCTGTTGTGGTTGTTGTTTTCTTTGCTCTGGTGAAAAGGTAGCTCAAAAGCAGGCTCCCCAAAGCTTTCTGCTCCTTTGCCAGAAGGAGCTGGGCCTCTAGAGCCAGGCCTGGGAAGAAGACACTCCAGCCCCTTACTTTTGGCTCTTGCTGGCATTCAAGAAGATGTGCTCCATGTCGTAGATCTTGCGGCGGAAGTTTTTGCTCCGCACAGCTTGCTCTTCTTGGAACTGACAGAACATCAGTCTCTCTCTCTTCAGCGTCTCGATCACACCTGCGCAGTGGTTGTCCAGTCTCTCCCGGTGGAGCAGGAGCTCAGCTGCAAGAGGGTAGGAAGAGCGGCTTCCCTCTGCGGCCATTCCTTCCTTGGAATGGGCCCACCTGTTGCATCTCCTAGGCCAGCCCGACAGGAATCACTCCTGTCAGGCAAGGACCCATACCAGGCCCCAGCTGCCCTCTCCAGGGTGGGGCGGCATCTGGACTGGGACCCCGAGGAGGCCAATGAGCACCCACCTCAAGGTCCCATACTGAAGAGGGGCTGTGAGCCTGCCCTGCCTGCTGGAGGAGCCCTGGTGCTGATTGGGCAAAACTAGGGATAGAGAGAATCCCCGGGAGCAGAGGATGGCTGGGGGCATTTGGGGAGCACTGAGATCTTGGTAGGAGTACCTCAACAAACACAAAGCTGGGAAGGCTTGATCTGTTCCGTACACCAATGAATGCTATGCCCAATAGCCCAAATTCCAACTGGCTCCAAGGTGAAGTAGAACGTAAAAGGATCAGGTTTCCAGAGCCCCTTCAGAGGCCTTTAAGGCAAGCAGAAAGCCCCACATCTCCCACCTGAGTGTTCTACTGCCCGGAGTGATGGACAGAAGGGCTGTTCTAGCAAAAATACATACAGTTCTATAAAAACAAATGGCGTCAGCAGACCAGAGACACCCGCACACCCATGCTTATTTCCTCACTGTTCACAGTAGCTAAGGTGGCCTGGGTGGCCATCAGCACACAAGTGGATAGCTGCACTGTGGTGTATGGGCGTAATGGAATTCTACTCAGTCAGAGGAGAACGAAATCATGTGATTTTCAAGTAAGTGGGCAGAACTGGAGATTGTGTTAAGCAAAACAAGCCAGTCTCTGAAAGTTAAATAGCACGTGTTTTCTCTCATACGTGAAATCTAGATATTATATGAATGAATATATATTTATATCTATCATCTATGAATGACATAAAACAAGAAAGGGGACTATTTTGAGGAAGGAAGGGGACCAACAGGAGCATGAATAGGGACAAAAGATGGTAATGGGAGATGAATATGGATAAAATACAGTGACATACACATATACATGAATGAGAAAAATGCCATCATGAAACCCATTATTCTGTATGACGGTTAATTTTTTTTTTTGGAGGGGGGAGGTTTCGAGACAGGGTTTCTCTGTGTAGCTCTGGCTATCCTGTAGACCAGGCTGGCCTTAACCTCAGAGATCTGCCTCCTGAGTGCTAGGATTAAAGGTGTGTGCCCGGCTGATAGTTAACTTTTTTTAATTTAAAAGCAGTGTGGAGCTGGGATTCATTGCTGTGGTCTGAGTGTCCAAGCTGAGCATCGGGCTGGGGAGCCAAAGCGGCAAACGGGGCCGGCCTCTGGTGCAGTCCTTTCATCCCTCCCTGCATTTAGTTGAGGTTTCCAGAACTGGAGACTGCACATCTCAGAGCCTGTCACCACCACTGCTCCAGGCCACGGGAGCTTGGATGGGATCACATGCAGGCTCCAGGAGAGCCTTAAATGGCTATGGATTCAAGCGAAGCATCCACAGGGGGCCACATAAGAGTCCGACTCTAACTGTGTGCACCTCCCCATTAGTGGAGCTTCCTACCGAAGAAAGAAAAGGTTGGTCTTTCCAAGACCAGTGATCGGGTGAGAATAATGACTTCCACCCTGGGGCATCGCATCCCAGACCACTCGCAGCTCCTCCCTACACCACATCAACACCTTCTCCTGTAGAGAAGGGTAGGTAGGGAAGGGTAAGGGTGTCAGATGATCTGTTCAGAGTTATACAGCCAGAGAAAGTGAACCCGCGAGTTCTGGTTTCTAAGCTGGAGACTTGCTGCTAGAAGCATCCTCCAGACAGGTGTGGAAGAAGACCTGAAACCCAAGAGCAACAACAGGACAGCACTCTTCCTTTTGCCCCTGACACTCTACAAAGGAAGGGAGGGAGGAAGAGAGGGAAGGAGAAACACCCATGAGTGTGAGACGGGGAGATTCCCACAATTCTGAGGCTAGCTCGGGATACATGATGAATTCTGGCCAACCTAGGCTACCAATTGGAGATCTTGTTTTAAGAAGGAAGAAAGGAAAGGAGGGAGAGGGGGGGGGGGAAGGAAGTGAAGAAGGAAGGGAGGAGGATTTTAAAATCTCATATGCTGATTCTGGGCATGCCTTCCAAGTGTGATGACAGTCTATCATTACACAGGTGAACTGGGGGCATTTAAAAAGAAAAAATAAAAAGGATGAGTTCATGGGTCAGTAGACCCTGTAGGGGATGTCTGGGGACAAGTGGACCTCCCCAGGATGGCTCTAACCTGCTCTGACGTTGTGAATATCCTTCTCCACGTGCTGGAGTCTTGGCTTGTGCAGGTGCAGACGCAGCTCCAGTTCTGAGTCCAGTTCGTCAACCTTGGCAGCCACAATAATGCGAGCGTTGAGGGCACATTGGTCAAACCACTTCTCCAGGTGCTCAAAAAAGCCAGCTCGAATCCTGGAGAGAGAGGAGCAGTCATCTCTGGCAGCAATCAAGACCAGTCGATCGGCCATACTGAGACCCACAGTACTTTGTGCTCTCATACCTCATTTGTTCCCCATGTACATGTTATCTCATTGAGTGGATGAACACCATCCATCCACTAAGACTCCTGCTGGGCAGTTTCCAAACTTTGGCTCTCACAGAGAAGGCTGTGATGAACAACCCTGTACTTATGTCAAGTTCAGAAGAGCTCAAAGGTTAAAAGACATTGTGGTTCTACATTTCTTCACATCTCCTTAGGAACAGACCACAGAACACTGGGCTACAGAGTCTTTTTTTTTAAGACCACACGTCAGTCCTCCACTGTTCACAGTTCTTTTCCATTTTCTGTGTTGATCACTACAAAATGCCACACGAGATGTAGCATGCCTTTGGCTTATATCTATTGGGCTTTTTTTTTTTAAAGAAATATAAGGGGCTGGAGAGATGGCTCAGTGGTTAGGAGTACTGCTGTAGTGCCTCTTGGTTTGGTTCTGAGAAGCCAGAAGATAGTCAACCATGTGTGACTCCAGTTCTTGGGGTTCTGGTCCCCTCTTCTGACCTCCACAGGCGCTGTATACACATGATACATACATACATACATACATACATACATACATACATACATACATACATATATACAGGCAAACACTCATACGCATAAAATAAATAAATCTTACAAAAATAAAAGAAACTTTAAAGTCATAGATATACTAGGAAATAGAAGCCAGAAGTAGATGGCTTGGGGAAAGTATTTCTATGACACAACCCAGACTAGCAGAGCACCCTGAGAAGGGCACAGGGGTTACACTCACCAAGGATATCCATGTCTGTGGAGCATTCTGGGACATTTGAGATTTTCTATGGTGTTTTCTCACCCCTACCCTCTCTCTGTTACCGAAGCTTTTAAGTTTTCTAGCTAAAGTGAATCTTTAGTTCCATCACCTCATGCAGAAAGTTCAGAGTAAGAGAATGTGAATGTGACCATTTCCACTCACCGTTTCTTCACTTTCACGATGAGTTTGTGAGGAACAGTCACTTGCTCTACGTACTTGGTGCTGAATGCGTCGTGGAAGAGCACAAGGTGGTAGGAATTCGGCCTTGTGTGTATCCTTTGTTCATCTTCCACAGACAGGAAGGCAAAGTAAGTGTTCCCACTGGCAGTTGTGAAAAACTCCATTTCATCATAGGCCATCTCCTCCAGGCTCTCTTCCTTGTCTTCAGCCTATCCGGAGCACGAGACTTGAAAATCAACCGTCAGCCGATGCACGTGACACCACAGACTGAGCCCCTGAGGCCCAAACAGCCAATGCGAACTTTCCCTAACCTCCTCTTCCCCACACACAGTGTTTTTACTTATTTTTATTTGTTTGCAGAGCTGACCTCAGGACCTATTGCATGTGAGCACTGGATCCCTGAGCTACATCCTCAGCGGTTTTAAAATGGAAAGGTTTCACATATAAATCTCAGCTCCCCATTCTTTGAAACAGCACTGAACAACACTGTTGGCTGAGACTGAGTAGTGATGGCACACCTTTCACTGCTTGTCATTTTTACCTATGGCCTCCAATCTTCTTTTCTCAACACATGTGTGAACATTTGAGTTTGGAATTATAAAAAAGTCCTATGTACCAGTTCTTCCACAGCAATATAGGAAATATATCTTCTGTCATTCTGCACCATAGAATTCTGCACACCACAGAATATGGTTTTGTGCATTTGGGTGTGTTTTGAAGACAAGGTTTATTAACAATGAGCTATTTGCCAACCCTCAAATGGGAGGTCCTAGTTGCATTTCCTATTGTTATGATAAAACATCCTGACCAAAAGCAACTTAGGGGAGAAAGAGTTTATTTTAGCTCCCAGTTCCGGTTACAGACAGGAAGTCAAAGCAGCAGGAAGCTGACGCAGTTTGTCCCATCACATCCACAGACAAGAACAGAGAGGAATGAATGTGCATCTGCTCATCTGCTTACTTACGCTCAGCTCGATTTCTCCACTCTTACACAGTTTAAAATACCCTGCCTGGGGGATGATGCCGCCCACCGTGGGCTGGGTCTTCCCATATCAATTAATATAAGATAGACATGCCCACAGGCCAACCTGATATAGACAGTCTCTCACTGAGACTCTTTCTAGACGATTCTAGGTTGTATCAAGTTGACAACTAAAACTACCCATCAAGGAGAGCTTTTCCTGAATGTTTTGTTTTATATATATGGTAAACAGGAAGAGAGAAGGGTTGAAGTAGGAGAGACTGAGGCAATCTGTGCAATAAACAGGAGGTAAGAAAGAGACCCCAGGGAGAGATGAAGAAAGCCATGTGAAAGATGACTCCAGAATAGGCTGTAGGGGCACGAGAAAAGGAAGGCAAATTTTAAAAATTATTGCTGTGAGGGAAGAGTCAGATCTTTGTTGACAAAAATAGAAAGGAATAAATACTCCTGTAGCTCTTTATCTGGACCTCTGTGGAGCCTGGGCCATTGGGGTCCCCAGTTTATCTGAATATATGCACAGGATAAACACAGCAGACTTCCTTCATACCCAACAACGAGCCGGGGGGCTGGCTTACCTGACCCATAAGTAAGCTCTCTTGAAAGTACTCGGTCACCTCTTCCTTCATGTCCTCAGAGTCCTCCTCCTCGTCTTCCTCTTCCTCCCTTATCTCCTCCTCTTCTCCTTCCTCCTTCTCTTCCTCCTCTTCCTTCTCCTCTTTTATTTCCTCCTCTTCTCCCTTATTCTCCTCCTCCTCTTCCTCCTTATGCTCCTCTTCCTTCTCCTCCTCTTCCTCCTCCTCTTCATCTGCCTCTATCCCCTCCTGCTCTTCTTGAGACTTCACATTTTCTGGTTCCAGGGATGACTCTGACAAAGTCTCTTTCATGCTCCGCATTTCTTCAGTCTCTTGGATAGACTCTTCTGTCCTGTCACCCTGTAGGAACTTGTCCGGGTGGCCCCGTGCCTCTCCAGCCATGATGGGTTCTATCTCTTCCCCCGCTTCCTCTTCCGTCTCCTCTGCTGGCTTCTCGGAACCTGTCTCCTGACCTGTGCTTTCTTCAGCTTTGCGGATTTCCACTCTCGCCCTGTGTTTTCTCTTCAGCTTACTTACTCTCTGCATGAAGACCTTTTCGTGGGTTTCTGTTGGTGATCAGTAGTAAAGGATAAGCAGACAGCGACCAGTGTTGCCTGGACTGAGGCCCCCACCCACAGGTGTACTGGAGTGATGGCAGGGAGGCTCAGGTTGTGTTACCTGGTTGCCTGAACTTGAAAGTCACTTCCCCACTCAAATTCTACAAGGAAAAAACACAAGTCACTACAGGGCCAGCAAAGCCTTTCTGCAGAACACAGTTACTAAAGCTTCATGACTCTTTAGGTAAAAAGGCTCTGATGTGCCGTGACCAACTCCATTCACTGGGGCAATCGATGTGTCTTTAGTCCAGGCACTTTCTTTCCCTAATTCCCAGCAGACTAGCACACCCTGATGGTAAGCACTAGGTAACAGAATCGGGGCTCATTCTGACACAGTCTCTGAAGTAAACCAGAGGAAATGGTGAGCAGCGGGGTGAACCGGCTTCACTGGTGCCCAGGGAGGGCGGACAGAATGAGCCTGATTAACATGATCATGGGTGAGCTGCTTTCGATGGGATAGAGCTGGTAAGGAACATCCGAGGGAAGAGGGAATGGGTCCTGGCTTAATTTTAGTAGAATCATGTGCCAGTGAGAGACATCATGAATGGAACACAAAGCATTATAGAAATTAGACTTTTCACTTTAAGGTTGGAGCCTATCTATCATATGTGTATGTGAGACAGAGAGAGAGAGAAAGGGAGGGTCATTGTGGGGGGGGGGGGAGGGGCACACATGTGCATCTCAGAGAACAGCCTTGGGTGCCAGTCCTCATCTTCCCCCTCAAGACAGGGTCTCCTTACTGTTCACTGGAGTATATATCACACTAGCTGGCTTCTGAGCTTCTGGGGATCCTCCTGCCTCTGACTCTCATCTCCCCATAGAAGCACCAGAACTACAGATGTGGGCTACTGTGCCTGGCTTTGTGTGGGCTCTGGGATTTGAACTCGAGTTTTCCCACTCGCCCAGCAAACACTACAGTACTGCTGAGCCACTTCCTAGCCCCTGACCCTTCTAAACTGAGAAGGTCTCTGTTCGGTCTCTTCACCCTTGACATTCTGACACGGTTTCCTACTTTGCAGGATTAAGGACGGCTTCCAAATGGTTTAAAATGCCCTGCCTGGGGAATGATGCTGCCCACTGTGGGCAGATCAGACAGAAAGCCATCCTCTCCCCTGTCCTACTTACTGAGTGGCCCGGGTGTACCATCTGTCCTTGATACCTGTTCAAAGATTTCACGAATGAAGAAGTGTCGGCTGAGGGTGAAGCTGTAGCAGTTGAGTTCTTTGAGTACGAACCCTGGGTACTCCATCACTTCTTTGGTCAGAAGGACGTGAAAATATTCATACCTGGGAGGGAGGAAGGGGAACTCTGTGGGAGACCCTCACTGGAGCCGTGCCCCCAGGCCTCCATCTGGCAACTAGCATTGTATAGAGCTGTCAGGTGGCTATTCTTCTCATAGAAGCAGTCCTTGGGCTACTGTACTATTTTCCTGATCATACAAGGAGCACATGCTCTTTGTAGAGAATCTGGGAAGTTTTTCATTTGTAATGTGGGCTCACTTTTCCTGTCCATGATCCTAACTCTGTCTTTGAACTTAATCGACAGTATTCCATCAAACCCTCAAACACCACCAGGCTCAGAAATGTTATCTGTTTCTCAGGCAAAGTAAACAGGTTCAGGAGCTTACTTAGTTACCCAAAGATAAACTCCCAGATCTATATGCAGCAATCATATGGAAGGTGGGCCTCTTTCTGTGAGTGGTCCTTACAGAATCAGCTGTACAGAGGCACAAAAATATAATGCAGTTCACAGAGAACTGTTAGTAATTCTGTATGGAGAAAAAGCTAATCACGAGAAGGCTGACATATGGCCAAGTATCTTAGAAGTAATTATAGTAGTAAACTCTACACGGTCACTTAAAAATAGATCTATAATTACAGAATAATTTGCATTATATAACTCATCCTTTATTTTTAAAACACTGTATTGGTATGTATCTGTGTCCATAAATGTGCATGCTCATACAAAAGAACAGCGGGGTAAGAGTGAGGGAGACATCTCTGTTAAGAGTGAGGGAGACATCTCTGTTAGCAGAAGTTGACTTTTCTGTCCCTTCAACAAAGCGTATGAATGCTTACATTTAACAGGGAACCCAGGCTCTTGGCCTTGACGTTTCTCACTACAAACTTGCCACAGTTCTCCCTAGGAAATTCTATGGGCTCCTGGGTGAGGAGCAAAGGGTTGTTAATATTCTCCAGTGTTGAGGGCACGGCTTTTATCTGAGTTTGCTGATCACAGCTCTGGTCTCCTGCGCTACCGGGTGTTCCCTTAGTTATGAATCCCGGCCATCTCCTCCTGTCTTCTGAGGTCTGGTCAGCCTACCTGGACTTCATGTTCTTCAGAAAAGTCTTGGCCTTTTCCAGGTGCACCTTCAGCGTCTCTTCTTGGCTCTGCTGCCTCAGTTGGTCTAAAAGCTTATCGAGGGTGATCTCTTGGGTCTGGCAGCCATTCCCAAAACAAGAGAGGCACAGGTGAGTGTCCAGAGGTGGCAGAGTGTTAGTGACATGCAGATGCCACGTTCTCCAGAGCTGAGATGGAGGCAGAAAGCCTGGGAGGAGGAGGGCCAAGTCTGTGACCGCCCTGGCTCTCTCCAGCACACACTGGCAGGCTCTGTTCCTGGAATCTTCTTTTGTCCCCACCCACCTCCCCAAGGACCCACCTCAGAAGAGCTACTTCAGGGACATTTCTCTTGGGCCTTGGCCCTAGAGTCAAGCCCGCACTACACATTTCTGAGGCATCTGTAAGTGACAACTTGGAGCCAGTTCCCTGAAATGCTACCTATACCTCACTTTATCAGACCGCATAGGCGAGTTCGCAACCTCCACGACTGGGACTTCAAAAGGCTTACGATCTCAAGCGTTAGATACTTGGTGAGCTCAGGATGTGCCAGGCATCACTGTCAGCTACTCCCCTGTAGACGAAGAGAGCTCCGACTGACACACACCTGGGAGCTCTGAAGTCACTGGCTGACGCTGCCTCTCCTCAGAAGGAAGCAACCTTACTTGTCATGTTGGGGGTGGGGTCTAGCCAGTTTCCCCTGAGAAACTTCTCATAAAAGATCCACCATAGTCTTTAATTAGGCAAAGGTCTGCTTTTCCCCTACTCGAACAACTGCATATTAGTAATTCTGCAGTTCACTGTAGGGGCAGGGCACCTGTCTATCACATGCAGTCCTTGGGAGATTTGTCACGCTGCGGTCTTCTTTCAACACTGTGGGGAAAATTTCATTCTCTTTGGCCAGCAGTAAGCTATGGCTCGGGAAATTATGCTTTGATCATCTTGTTCATTTTCTTATCATTTATTTACTTAATCCTTTATGGTTTTTCTGTGTGTGTGTGTGTGTGTGTGTGTGTGTGTGTGTGTGTGTGTGTGTGTTTCCAGGCATGTGAAGGTCAGGGGGCAGTTCTTGGAAGAAGCCTCCTCCTGACACTTTATGGGAACCAGGGATTGAACTCACGTCACGAAGCCCTGCATGCAACCACGTCTACCTGCTAAACTACGCCACCAGCACCAGGTCATGCTATTTTAACGACCCAGACTTCTTCCCATTCAATCAGTCAGTCTGTTTTTCTGTCTCTTTTGCTTGTGCACACTCTTAGAAACAGGCTTGATTCACAAGACCTATCACAAGCTCTGGCCTGGTTCAGGATCCTTCTTCTTGCTCCTCCCATTTCCCCCCAAGATCAAGGCAAGCCTTGGTGCCTCCATGCACATACATTTTGCAATTTAAGGGTTTTACATTTGAGTCTATTTTCACTTCATTTTTTGTTTATGGTGGGTTGTGTTTGTTTGTTTGTTGTTATTGTTAATCTGAAAGCCCAAAGCAGCAGTCTGAGTCCAGCCCACAGCTCCCCACAGGGCCCCCGCAGTCTGGGTCCAGCCCACAGCTCCCCACAGGGCCCCGCAGTCTGGGTCCAGCCCACAGCTCCCCACAGGGCCCCTGCAGCCTGGGTCCAGCCCACAGCTCCCCACAGGGCCCCGCAGTCTGGGTCCAGCCCACAGCTCCCCACAGGGCCCCCGCAGCCTGGGTCCAGCCCACAGCTCCCCACAGGGCCCCCGCAGCCTGGGTCCAGCCCACAGCTCCCCACAGGGCCCCGCAGTCTGGGTCCAGCCCACAGCTCCCCACAGGGCCCCGCAGTCTGGGTCCAGTCCACAGCTCCCCACAGGGCCCCCGGTTTGGGGCACCTGGTTCTCCTGGTTGTGCTTCTGTCGATGTTGCTCTATCCTCTTCTCCAGCTCCAGCTCTTGGGACAACAGAACACTCTGGTGCCCCTCCCACAGCCTCACAGCCTCCTGGAAGTACCGGAAGAGGTCCGCGCTCTGCAATTCTGTCTGCTTGGCCAAGGCTTCAAAGGAGCTCTGCAGGGTAGAACACAGAGAAGGTTACCTGGAGGACAGACTAGCCCAGGCCCCAAGGACGACCTGTCCACAGGGCCTCGTCTCCAAAGGCAGAAGTTACTACCTGAACACCGTCCCTCAAGGTCAGCTTTAGGCTCTGTGTTGGTTAGTTTTGCATCACCTTGACACACGCTACAGTCATCTGAGAAAGGAGACTCTCAGTTGAGATAACACCTCCATAAGATGGGCCCAATAGGGCGCTCACCAACCTAAGACAGAGCGCCTGTGTGGCCTGGGCAGGCGTCTCCATGACGGGTAAGGTGACCTGCTGACGGCCCACGCAGCCTAAATCAGAAGCTCATTTTTTAGTAAAAGGGGGACTTGTAGGATCCTGGCCCCCGTTTTGGGTAACTGTTGCCTTGCTTGCTGACTTTGACCTTGATATCCTCCCTATGCTAATTCCCTGCTGGGTTCCACCCTCCTGAATGCTTAAGGGAAGTTCCTTGTCTGTGTACCCTGCATATTGGGCGTTAACAGCTTAGATGCAAGATTATAAAACATCTGTAGCGAACTTCTGCCCTCTGGGGTTCTCCCATTGTGCTGTAAGCCTGTATTTAAGACCTCCTCCCTCCTTCAATAAACGGCATTTGGCATTTAAAAAAAAAAAAAAGATGGGCCCACAGGAAAGTCTGTTGAGCATTTTCTTGATTAATGATTGATGTGGGCGGGCTCAGCCCACTGTTAATGGTGCTACCACCCCATGGACAGCTGGTCCTGAACTGTATAAGAAAGCAAGCTAAGCAGACCATGGGGTGCCAGCCAGTAAGTCCCTCACGGCCTCTGCTTCAGCTCCTGTTTCCAGAAACTCCTGTCTGAGTTTCTGCCAATTTCTCTCAATGATGGACTGCAATGTGGAAGTGTAAATAAAATAGACCCTTTGCTCCTTCAGGTGATTTGATCATTGTGTGTTAGCAATAGAAACCCTAACTAAGACAGGCTCCTGGCCTTGCCTGCGTGGGGTAGCTGGACCGAACCACCTCAGTCTGCAATTCTTTCTCTAAGAACACTCTGTCTCTTAGCATCTGGGTACGATTCCGTGCCTGCTGTTTAAAATCTCACATACAACTTCACCTTTTAAAAACTGTGTGTCAGGGGCTGGAGAGATGACTCAATGGTTAAGAGTGCCTGGTGCTCTTTCAGAGGACCTGGATTAGGTTCCCAGCAGCCACAGGGTGGCTCACAACCATCCACAGCTCCAGTTCTCTGATGCCCTCATCTGGCCTCCTCAGGCACCAGGCACATACATGGTGCATGTACATGCGTGCAGGCAAAACATTCATATGTTAAATAAAATAAATCTAAAGGTTTTGGAAAAGCCCTGCATGTTAGGACTGGAGATAGTTCACTGGCAGAGAGCTTTCTTGGCAGAGGTGAGGACTTGAGTTTGATGGCCTGCACCACACATACAAGACACAAGAATGCACAGGTTGTATGCCCTCATCTGGGACAGAGCCTGGTAGGCTAGGCTGCAGGGTAAATTTGGCCCTCCATCTGCTTTGGTTTTGGACTTGTGAGCTAAGCACAGATTCTCCAATTTTTAAACAATTTTTAAAACAAATCAAAAGGGGGCTGGAGAGATGGCTCAGAGGTTAAGAGCACTGGCTGTTCTTCCAAAGGTCCTGAGTTCAATTCCCAGCAACCACATGGAGGCTCCCAACCATCTGTCATGAGATCTGGCACCCTCTTCTGGCATGCAGGCAGAACACTGTATACAGAATAAATAAATCTTTAAAAAAAAAAAAAATCAAAAGGAGTGGGGAAAAAAAATAACATGAAAATTAAATGAACTTCAAATCCTGGCTTCTAATAAAGACATCGGAACACATCCACATCCTTTGTTTCTACATTCCTTAGGTTGATACATGTGACAAGTTGTGACAGACACCTGTGGCCCACCAAGCCTCACACAATCACTATCTGGCCCTTCACAGAAAAGGCGTGCCGGCTCTAGATCAAGACCATAAATCTCTCAGGGCTGGGAGCTCCTTGCCTTCCCCAGCCTTCGACACAGGGGCCAGCAGTGGCTCCGGTACACTTATGACCCAAGAGGCTTTCCCAAGCCTGAGCAGCCCTGACGTCAGGGTGGTTTCCAGGACCCAGTGTCGTTAGTACAGGAGGCCTGGGCAAGAGGGGACAGGTGAGGGCCAGGAGAGGACACACCGGGGACACCCTAGACTTCTAGGATTTGCACGCGGTACTCCAGAGAGGTGCCCCACCTTGAGGGTCCCCAGCACCCCTGTACATACATCCAGGAGCTCCAGCTTCTTCTCCACCTTGCTCTGGAACTCCCCCACCATCAGAAAGAAGGTTGGATTCACCAGGCTCTCTGCTTCTGCTTCCGAGAAAGCTTTCCAGTCCAGCAGCTGCTTCTGCAGGGTGGGAGAGCAAGGCAGAGCTGCTTCAGGGCCCCCCCAGGGCTGCAAGTGGCACACTGACTCCCTTTCATTCTGCTCCTGGATGGGGAGGGTGCAGAGCAGGGCTGGCCAGAGGTGTCTGGAGAATAGTAGGCTCTTGGGGCTCAGAACTTTTCAAAATGCCTAGGCTTCTGTAGGTTTTTTCAACTACACACTTTTACCAAGAAGGGGGTATTTGACAAACTATTTCCCAAGTTCCAGAACATCTGCCACTGTCCTGGACAGGTTGAGAATAAACTCACTGCTTTACCCTGCCCAGAGGCAGCCAGACCAGAGAGAACGGTGGGGCTGGAGCCAGGGTCAGCACTAGCTATGAAGGGGCATCGCGGTGTGCCCTTAGAATATGGCCCCCGTCTTTGACATGGCCCAGTGCTATGAAGAATAGAGCCGAGGATAAAGACAGAGATGGCTTATGAACATACAAATCCATTTCACAGGGGCTTGCAGAGGAAACAGTGCCGAGCTAAGCTCTGGAGGCTACAGGGTCAGTCAGGTAGAAGGAAACAGAATACCCAATGACCAGTGAGCATCTGGTGCCTCACAGGAAGAAAAGCCTCCATCGAGGCTGAAGGGTAAGGGGCAGGCAGAAAAGGCTGGGGGAGAGGGGCCATCAGGTCCAGTACACCGCTCCTCTTCCCAGGCCTGCAGAAAGGGAAGGCTACCTTACAATCCTGTACGTAGGCCAGGCAATCCTGCCAAATCTTCTCGTACAGGAATCGTACCAGGGTCATGCAGTCCATGTGGTAGGTGTCTCCAGGGGCAGAAAAGAAATGGGTCAAAGGTCAGATGCTCTCCCAAGAGGAAGGGGAAAGTCAGAAGAAGAGGTGTTCCCTTTGCAGAGGGAATCAGCTCTCCCTCAACAAAGAGCTTCCACAGCTTAGGTTGCTCGGCTCAGATTCGTCAGGACAGGGGCTGGTGTCTCCCTCCTCAGAGAGTTCCTAGAACCCCAAGAAGATGACCTCACTTGAGGAGTTCATCTCCAGCAGAAGCTTCAGGCTCAGAGGGTCTTCTGGGACACAAAGACCAAGGTGCACATGGAAGTTTTGAATCTGAAATGCACTGCCAGCTGGTGGCATTATTTTGAAAGGCTTTGGACTCTTTAGGAGGTGAAGCCTAGCTGACCTAAGTTGGTCATTGGGGGGGACCTTTAACAGTTACAGCCTTGCCCCTGGTTCAAGTGCCCTCTCTGCTGCCTGGTCCACTGTGATGTGTGGAGTCTCTACCACAGGCTCCCACCATCTTGCTTACAGCCACGCCTTTGAAATCCTCTAGAACCCTGAGCCGCAACAGACCTTTGCTCTCTTCATTTATTCGTCAAGCATTGTGTCACAGTAACATGAAGGACTAGTGCGTGGCCACTGGCCTCCCTGGCTTGTGGTGAACCTCAAGGATAGAAAAATGATTACACTTTCTAAAGTAAGGCTTGGCCCACTTCTTCCACAAAACGACTGAGCCAGTATTTCCAGCTTTGTGTCACGCAGTCTCTGCTGCAGTGAGCAAGCAGCCAGAGAACAGACAAACGAGTGTGACCACGTCCTGAACTTATTTCCAAACCAGGCAGCTGGGCTATGGGTTGTGACCTGACCCTCTCAATGTGGAGTCTTCTAAACAGTTACCATTTACGGTTCAGCCGTCTTGCTGTGAGCTAGGGACTAACTATAAATAGACATTAATTCACAAGGTAGGAGCCATGATTAGTTCTGTTCATATCTCTGCTTTACAGAGGAGGACACTGAGGCCATGAGATGTCTTGGCTTCCCTATGGGCATGCATCAGGATGCAGCAGAATTGGGCTTTAATCCCATACCTCCAACTGTAAGACTCTCGGGACATGGCCATTGCGCCATCCTGAGAGTTAAGCAGAGACTTTATGTCTCTATCCCCATTCTTGGGTCAGGGGTCAGATGTCAGGGGTCAGAATTTGTGGCTAGCATGGCTGTGGACTGGGCAGTGAGTAGAGGAGGGGTCTTCAGGGCTCATTCATCCTAAAGTCCCTGAATGGAGGGGCTACCACGCCTTCTCAGATACATGAACGGAGGACTAACTATATAACAAGCTACTACTTGGACAGAGTTCTGGAAGGTTTTGGAAATCTCACAGACATTGCTCACCAAGCTGCTTGTTCAGGGACGTGAGAGTATCATACCACTCAGTCAGCTGGTTTTTGCTATAGTTGGGGGGCAGGAGGTCACTGGGGAAAGAAGAGATGACGGGTAAGCCTTGCACGCACAAAACTTGCCAAAGGGGCCAGCATAGTTAACATCCTGTCAGTAAAATACTCAAGGAGCTGAAGAACCTGCTGGGATCTCCTGGTGCCCCAAACAAGCCTCAGAGAAAGGCCCGTTATTATTCCCAAGGTTGCTATCACAAAGACCCTGAGCTTCCCGTGACAGCAGCCTCCCAGTGTTGTGGCCTTCTACCCACTCTCCAAAGTGCCTCAGGAAGAGGCTCAAAGCAGCTTCCTTCCTCTCTCTCCTCCCTCCTCCTTCCTCTCTTTCCTCCCTCCTCCCTGGCCACTGCTTCCTAGTGAGCTCTTTGGCAGGACCAGTGTAAGCCTCTTTCCACAGCAAATGAACTATGACCTTCCTTGCCATCGGGGGCTGGGGTGGCCAGCCCAGCCCTCCAGCACCAGGAGGTGGCCTGGTGTGGGAGAGTTCTAGGGGAAGATCTAGGCCACATGGCCTCCCTACTGAACCCTCAAATGTGCTGATCCCAGTGGTCCTTCCTACACACCATACCAGATGGTGCAGAGGTGATCCAGTCTCACTCTTTGAAGGATCTCCTGGTTCTTCAGCATTTCGTCCAGCTCCTTCTGCACAGCTGGGGGCTCCTGGATATTACTGCTAGCCATGAACTCACTGGACAGCCAGACCCCGAGTCACAGAGGGAGAAGTGGAAGGAGACTCAGGTAAGAACACTCTGAGCCCCATGACCCTGGCCCATACCACCCAGGCTGTAATGGCCCCACCTCAGACCCCGTGACCCAGAACAAGTTCCTCTTCCACTCCAAGCCTTGGACTATAACTCAGAGCTAATGGCAGCACCCATCCTCATTGGGAACTTGTGAGGACCCAGAAAGATGTCAGACAAGGCCCTGAGTCCCATGCCCCCTGCATCATGGGAAGTGTCCAGGAAAAGTCAGCTGTGGCCATCAGTACTGCTCTCGGTGACTTCTGTAACAGTCCCAAACCTGGGCCCAGACAGGCCTGTTAATAGAGTATCTCACTGAGTCATCATTGAGACCCCACTACGAGGCTATTAGGGTGCCTACAGTGTGGAGGAGGCAGGCTTGGCATCCCTGGGGACTTCATCAAGGTCACATGGAAGGGCAAGGTTAAGCCTCAGCACACAAATGCAGAGGTGGGTCCTCCCCTCCTCCTTTCTCCCACAGAGGACACGTATGTAGTGAGTGGTAAGTTTCTCTGGTCCCACTCGGCCCTGTGGTCCTGCAGCTGTTTATAAAATGATCATTCAGAGGCTTAATGTTATTTACAAACTGTATGGCCTATGGCAGGCTTCTCGCTAGCTAGCTCTTTCATCTTAAATTAACCCATTTCTATTAATCTATGTTTTGCCACATGGCCATGGTGTTACCGGTCTGCTGGCATCTTCCTGCTCCTTGGGTGGTGGCTAGGCATCTCTCCCTACTCTCCTTTCTTCTCTCTGTATGTCTGCTTGGACTTCCCGCCTGCCTCTAAGCTGCCTTGCCATAGGCCAAAACAGCTTTATTTATTAGCCAGTGGGAGCAACTCATATTCATAGCATACAGAAAGACATCCCACAGCACATATGTGCTCCTGAAAGGTGGGAGGTATCCACCTGAGAGATATCTGTCCTTCCAGGCCCAGGACCCTCGGTTATAACTAATACAGAAGAGTGGAAATATACAGACAATTACATAAACACTTTCCAATAATTCATAATGAGCTCAGAGAATGGTTGTGAAACAGTGTTCATGAAACAATAAGGTCTAAAACAGCACGGACTCGGTGGGTCTAAAAGTGCTCGAGTCTTAGCTGTACCTCCCCTTCTAGGAGGGGTCAGTGGTGACTTTTATTTCTTTTTTGATGCTTTTATCTATTTCTAACTTTAAATACAGGGGCATAGAAAACAATAACATTTCTAAATAACGATGAAGAGAGCAGGAAAAAGCAGTCGGGTGGCTGGGAGGGAGTTGTAGGTGGGAGTGTGGAAGGCCAAGGGACGGGAGGGGTGGGTGCCTCCACTGACCTGAAGCTTTGCTGCAGGGCGTCCTTCTTGAGAGCCTTCCAGGCATCCACCAGGCCCTGCCAGCGGTGGCGATTGTCAAGCTCCTGCTGCAGGGTGGCTTCAGTCAGGTTGACCAACAGCTGGGCGATGGCCCTCCGGTTGCCCAGTAGAGCCTGGTTCATGGCCTGTGGTCAGAGGTGGGTATGGCTTTAGATAGGGCAGTTTTCTGACCAGAGTGAGGCTCAGTAAGACTGGGTAGGAGATGGGGGTGGGGGTGGGGGGACGGACACTAAGTGAAGCAAGGCTGTGGTGAGATATGGGGAGTGCTGGAGGCCAGGGACAAGGAAGCAGCTGTGAACCACTGTTCATTCTCCAAGGGTCGTCTTTGAAGGCTGAATCATGTTCCTGATAGCAGAACCCCCAACCCAGAAATGTAGGTACAGTGAGTGGGTCACTGCTTAAAAATGGGGGAGCTAGCCCTCCAGTTGGCTGTTTCCTGCTTGTGTATAAATTTGTTCCAAAATCAGAGCTCAGCCACATGTGATGTCTTTGAGAGCCAGACCTGAAGAGGTACTGAATCCAGACCCAAAGCTGATCCTCTCAGGAGTGCTCATCTGCATGTCCCTGGCACAGCACAGGAACCGCCCATTATTGCACAGCGTGAGTCCGCCCTTTGCCTTGTATCAATCCCACCGCTAAAATGAGAGCAGCTTCCCCTCACTGCTCCCAACCCATCACGTAAAAAAAACCTCAATGCCACCCGCTTCCCAAGTCCTCCAGCTAGTTGAAGGCCCAGCCAGGCTCAGAGGGAAGGAATTCCAGCATGGCTTTCCAGCGGGGCCTGAGGCTTCATGCCAGCGGGGCCTAAGGCTTCATGCCAGCAAGCAGTTGCTGGGGCCTAAGCAAGTATGTCTTTCCCCTGCAGGTCCACAGTCGTGCTGGAAGGGTAGGGCCACAGCCGAGGAACTTTGCAGTTGGATGAGACAAATGCACACGGTGTGAGTAGCGCATGCCAGGTGGCAACAGTGAGGTGATCGGGCGCCAGGAAGGAAGCGGGGCACCGAGTCAGAATCCAGACTGGAGGGTCTCCAGAGACACACAAAGCCTAGACTTCAGGATGAAAATTACTATACGAGGTGAGATGACCCAGACTCAGAAAGACAAGTATTACATATTCTCTCACATGTGGCCCTAACTTTTAGTATTTCTCTGTGTTTAATGTACACATGTGGGTGTGAGTGTAGGTACAAATTGTGAAACCGGAAAGAGGACCCTGAGAGGAGAAAGAGGTGTTAAGAAAGGGGGAGGAGCCACAGGACCGGTGATAGGCAAGCAGAACGGAGGTCAATGGGGTGGTCGGAGGGCGCAAGGCAGTGTGGGGGAGGGAGGGGCGAGACCCAGGTAGGAGAGGATCAACAAAGCAAATCATGTTTTAAAACACTGTAGCAAAGCATATTTTATATGCTAATTTAAAATTAAATTTAGGGGGCTGGAGAGATGGTTCAGTGGTTAAGAGCATTGGCTGCTCTTCTAGAGGACCCGAGTTCAATTCCCAGCACCCACATGGCAGCTCACAACTGTCTGTAACTCCAGTTCCAGGGGACTGAAACCCTTATACAGACATACATATAGGCAAAAAAAAAAAAAAAAAAAAAAAAAAAAATTAAATTTAGAGGCCGGAGAGATGACTCAGTGGTTAAGAGTGTTTACTGCTCCTCCAGAGGACTTGGTTTGAGTCCCAGCACTTATGTTGGGTGGTTCACAACCACCTGTAACTCCGGCTTCAGGGGACCCAGTGCCCTTTTTTTTTTTTTTTTTTTTTGGTCTCTACAAGTATTTACATACATGTAGCACATACACACAGGGACACACACACATACACACACAGAGACATGCACATATACACAAATTTAAAAATATGTATTTCTTTAAGAATAAAATTTTAAAATAAGGATGACTGGCATTGTCAAGACCCCTGCTGTCACCCACCAAACACGTCCCAGCAGGGAACACTGCGATCCCAATTGAAGACCCAGGGTGAGCTCAGCTCTGCACAAACACCATTGCAAAATGCACCTCTGAGCAGCCCAAGCGAGAGCCCTGGAAAGGCTCAGAAGAGTCAGACTTTACTCCGGACACATCATGAGTAAATAACCTTGAATTTCTTACTTCCCGTCACAGACAGCAGTTGGGGAGACTGGGAGTCAAGAGACAGAGGCAAGAGGCAGGTGCATCCACAGCCACCACTGCAGCCGCTAGGAGAGGCAGGAAGAATGAGGAAACCAGAGCAGCTGTGACTGCCGAGGGTGGGGAGCCCTGGGACAGTGAAGCCCTAAGACAACAACCCCACAGTGTAGCGCCCATAGCACCCACCACACACACACAGTAGCTGGGACATGGGCCAGGAAGTGATGGCTGAGTGCTGGGCATGTAGCCGTAGACAACAGGAAACCATGAACACACTCCTCAATGGCTGCTATTGAAAATACAGTTACAGGGCTGGAGAGATGGCTCAGTGGTTAAGAGCATTGACTGCTCTTCCAGAGGTCCAGAGTTCAATTCCCAGCAACCACATGGTGGCTCACAACCATCTGTAATGAGATCTGGTGCCCTCTTCTGCTGGGAAGGGATACATGCCCTCTTCTGCTGGGCAGGGATACATGCAGACAGAACATTGTATACATAATATATAAATAAATCTAAAAACAACAACAACAAAAAAAAACCCTAAAAACCTAAAGAAAATGCAGTTACAAAGATTTGATTCTCAACCAAAGAAGCCTACCTGAGTTACCTAGGGACACCAGGCATTCCTGAATACCAGGCTCAGGACACCCTGAGGCACGCTCTCCCCCACCACAGAACATCACTCACCATGGCTTCTTTATCTATCAGCCTATATACATCAGGCTTCAGGAGGTAGGCGGTCTTCTCTATGATGTCAACATATTTCTTCAACACATCCTTTAGCTGGAGAGGAGAAGGCATCACTGTGAGTGACTCTCAGTTCCTAGAGCACTAACAAACAGGAAGAAAGAAGGATGCCCCACAAACCCTTCTAGAGAAAGCCAACTTGCCTTCTCGGCTCGAGAGACCTCCAGGGCCAACAGCTCTTGGTCTAGGTTCTTAATCTCCTGCTTCTGCTGCGTGAATCTCTCGGCCACCTTCTCCCACAGCTCCATCAGGGTCTGCGCAGGGGAAGTGCGTCAGGCCAGGGCCCTGGAGAGGTAGGAAAGGCAGGCAGGGCCACCGGGGAACCCCTACCTCAATAGTGTAGTTTTCAAGGTCCGGTTCATTTTCGACTTTTTTGAAGAGCTCGTCAACATCCTCATCGGTCGCGGACATCTTTTTCAAAAAAAGCTCCCCTTTCTCCAGGATGAGAGGTTCCATCTCCTGCGACAGGCCAGGAGGCTGAGGGTTAGGGCATTAACACCCCAGATAGGAGGTGGCCCTCCTTGTAATGGGCGAGGTGCCAGGCCCCATCATGTCTCAAGAAGGGGCATGATCTGGACCTGGGGAGTTGAGGATTGGTGATGAAGTCACCCAGAGGACCAGGGCATCTTGCAGCGCACCAGACGCAGTGCCCGTGTGGCGCGTGCTGCCCCTTGATGCTCTCCTCAGCAGCTGACGGAGGGGCTGCCGTCTGATCTAGCCTGTCAGCTCCCAAAGAAACTCAGGACAAATGGTTAACTGTGGTGCCTCTTAACATCCCAAGGTGTCTGCTTGGCCTCCAGGCTCATTCAGTACCCGGGGCTCCTCTCAACACTTCTCACCGTGCCTCCTGCCCTAAACTTCTCCAGCCCCAGGGCTCTGCTCCCCTCCCCTCGGCTTCTCTCTCTGTATAACCCTGCCATTTGGGCCGGTCCCTCTTGGTGCGTCTTTCTCGGTTCTCGTGCCTGCCTCTCTTGGTCCTCTCTCTCTCTTCTTCACTCTCTCTTCCTCTCCTACCAACCCCTTCCTCTCGTAGCCCTGTTCAGTCTGGACCCTTCCAGACGCCTCTGGCTGTACTCTCCCCCATATTTACAATAAAATCCTTCTCCTCAACTGTACCTAGGGGTGGGTCACGGCCTCATTTCACGACCCTAACTGGTCATCAATGAACAGTAATCAAAGGATGAGAGAAAGCCACGTTTACTTTGGATCTGAACATTGAGGCCGACGGACGTGAAGGGGCGGTGATGCCAGGGCTGGCATCTGGTTGGGACATAATGAAGACAAGATTGGAGTCTGCTCTCAAGGCCTCGGACACACAGCCGGCACTTGGGATTCAAGACAGGGAGTCAGAGAAGAGGGAAGTGGGAGAGGCAGGCTTCTATCTCGGAGAGGAGTGTGGAAGGAATAAATGGTCTCATTTAGAACCTTCCAGATGAAGTTGAGAGAGGAACAGGAGCCAAGAGTGGGGAACTATGGGAGAGTCTGACTGTCCCCCAGAGTCTCAGTCACTTGAACACTTGGCCCCCAGTGGGTGGCGCTGTTTGTGAAGATTGAAGAGGTGTGGCCTTGTTGGAGGAATTATGTCAGTGAGTGTGGGCTTTGAGAGCATAAGGTGCCACCCTCCTTCCTGCCTGCTCTCACTGCTTAGTGCTTGCATGTGGAGGGGTGAGCTCTCAGCTTCCTGCTACCATGCCTGTCACTTGCCGCCCTGCTTCCTCGCTGGGATGTCCCTCTGCAACGATAAGTCGCCTCTGTCATGTGTTTTAGCACAGCCGCAGAAAAGGAACTAATACAGATCCCACAGTGCTGAACGGTCTGGGGTGTGTCCTTAGACCCCTCTGCCTCTCCATCACCAGGACGGCTGCGAGTCAAAGGCTGGGCTTCGGAGCTAGACGAGCATAGCTCTGATTCGGCCCCTTTCATACCTGTCCTGGTTAGACTCTGGACCTCTCTGCAGGATGAGGTGAGAGCCTCTGACTTACAGGGATTTCCTGAGAGTTAGGGGAGCCTACACTTAGGACATTCCTGTAACAAGCCCCTTGAACATGCCCTTTATGATTCCATCTACGTCTATGTTTTGGTGAGACACTGAGGACCACCCAGGTAGTGAGCAGGAGAAGGGAGACTAGGGACAATGACAACACACCTCCCCACCCAGGGCATGCCACAAGAACAGAGGAGAGAGGAGCAGGGCCTCACCACCCCTATCTGCTCAATCTCCTGCTGGAAGCTCGCCAGCGCACTCAGGTGTTTCTTCTTCTTGTATTCTTCTTGTCCTTGGAGGGTGATGGAGCTCCTCTTCTCAGAAACTGCAGGGCAACAACAGAGCTGATGAGCCTGCAGGGAGAGAGCGGTGCTCCCAGGGAGGCCACATGGCAGAGGGCATCCGCATGCAGGCCTGAGTTCGGAGGGCAGACCCCACAGCCAGGCCAGCATGGCAGAGACTTGAGGACAAAGAGAAAAGATGAAATGACCCATGAGTGCCTTGGGGAACAAGGTTCAGACTCACAGGCAAGGACTGAGGAGGTGGGGGTGGGGATATAGCTCAGCAGTTGAGCACTTGCCTACATGCTCAAGGCCCTGGGTTCTACCCCCTGTACCATAAACAAGTAGACAGACAACTACTGGGGCAAAACTCTCCAATGGTGTGTATAGAATGATAAGATTTGTGGTTTTCTTTAAACAATTTTAGCCAAGCGTGGATGGTGCATGCCCGCGATCCCAGCATGAAAAAGGCAAGATCTTGCCGGGCGGTGGTGGCGCACGCCTTTAATCCCAGCACTCTGGAGGCAGAGCCAGGCGGATCTCTGTGAGTTCGAGGCCAGCCTGGGCTGCCAAGTGAGTTCCAGGAAAAGGCGCAAAGCTACACAGAGAAACCCTGTCTCAAAAAACCAAAAAAAAGAAAAAAGAAAAAGGCAAGATCTTAAGCTTCAGGCCAGCCTAGCCTACTTGGTGGGACTGTGTCAACAACAACAACAAAAGCTTTATAGATACAAACACACATGTGTCTGATTCAAGGGAGTTCCAACCTGGTAAAATCATTATAAAGAGAAAATACTGTAAGCTGAAAATATATTTAATTATACCTAACCTACTGAGCAGCGAAACTTAGTCCAGCTCACCTTAAATGCACTCAGAATACTTACATTAGTCTACAACTGAGCAAAAATCATCTAACACAAAGTCTGCTTTGTGACAGAATGTCGACTGAGCTGAAATCTGTACTGAAAGTGACAAAGAGAAACAGTTTATGGGCATGCTTTTGTGCCACTGTGAAGTTGAAATAAGGTAAGATAAAGCCAGGAGTAGTGAGGGGCAGCTTTAATCTCAGCACTCGGGAGGCAGAGGCAAGTGATCTCTCTGAGTTCGAGGCCAGCCTGATCTACATAGGGAGTTCCAGGACAGCCAGAGCTACATAACAAAGAGACCCTGTCTCAAAAATAAATAAATAAATAAATAAATAAATAAATAAATAAATAAATAAATAAATAAATAAAACAAGCAAGAAGGATACAGTAAGATGACCCATTGTGAACCAGAGAAGGACCATTTGCAGCAATGTTAGCCCACACTAGAGTGTGCTTACCACGTGACAGCATCATTCTAACTCTATGGCATCCAAGGACCGACCCAGGAGACTGGGGCTGTTACTAGCCTTCTGTAACGTGCACACCCTGCCTTGGTGGTTAAAGAACTAAGTCACAGGTGGCTGAGCAGGATGTGAACCTGAACCCTCAGCCTTGAGCCTGCACACACACACACACACACACACACACACACACACACACACACACACACACACCCTGCTGCCATCACCTGCTCTGCTTTGCAGTGGTTGTCTAGGAAGCCGGAAGCTGGAAGCTGGCTGCCCCCTGGGGTAGTGGGGCTGGGGCTCTCAGCAGAAGGGCACTGCTGCCGACAGGTAGTTATGCCTTCTGTTTTTCTACAATGAGCATGGGTTACTTTTTAATAATAAAGACACAGGGCACCCACATGCGGATGATGTCAAACTAGGACATTCAGCGAGGAGGAAGAAAACATGACTTGGAAAGCGGCACTTCCAAATCACACACAGTAGTGGGCTCTGTCCTTCCTAGGAATTGCCCACTGTTCAGCAGCCACTGGCTAGGGGTGGGAGTCGGGGGTGCCCAAAAGACATCCTCTGGGAAGCTGAGCAGAGGACCCCAGTGAGGGCAGCAGGAGCCTCTCACGTGGAACCACAGCACACACTGCCATCTGGAGATGTTCCTGCCTGGGACAGTCCTGCCCTTGGGGCTGAAGGACAGGAGGCTCACCGATGTGGTCCATGAGGCCCCGCACCTCTCGGGCAGCAATCATGTCCTCGGTCTCACGCATCTTTTCCCTCCTGGCTTGTTCCTTTTCCCTGAGGAAACAAGTGGAGAAGAGTAAGGCCTGTCCCCACCCCCATGCAGGACAGCACAGGCATTGGCAACTGCCCAGGCCTCCTCCTGTTCCAGAGAGCCTTGGAGGCAATGTCCAGGCTCCCAACCAATGCTGCTGACTGTGCCTCCAAGCACAGTCCCTGAGAGTCCCTGGATGGAGAGTTAGGTTTCTGCTTTAGACACAAGCTGTAAATCCCTTACCTGGCCAGTATTGGGGGGGGGGGGGCATTGCAGCATTTCCAAATTGGGAAACTAAGGATCACAAAAGTGAACAGCCCAATAAAGCATGAAGTTCTCAGCATGCACTCTTATTTGGTCCTTCAGCAGGTCTGTGGTGGTTTGAATGAGAATGGCCCCCACAGGCTCATATATTTGAATGTTTGGTCCACAGTTGGTAGAATTGTTTGGAAGGATTAGGAGGTGTGGCCTTGTTGGAGGAAGTAAGTGTGTCACTGGGTTGAGTGTGTGTTGAGGTTTCGAAAGCCCATGCCATTCTCAATTAGCGCTCTCTCTCTCTCTCTCTCTCTCTCTCTCTCTCTCTCTCTCTGCCTCATGCTTCTGGCTCAGATGTAATCTCTCAGCTACTGCTCCAGCACCATGCCTGCCTGCCTGCTGCCATGTTCTCCACCACGACGGTCACGGACTCCAACCCTCTGAAACTGTAACCAAGACAGCATCCTGTGAGGCAGCTGGAGTAAGGCCATTTTCTGGAAGGGTATGTAGAGCCATTGTCTGAAGCAGAGCTGGACTCCCAGAGCCATTCCATGACACCAAGGCCCATAGGGCTTGGATCTAGGTGGAGTGAGCCGAGATCCCTCAGTAAACTAACTCATGGGGAGGACCGGGAGGAAGAGTGTGACATCAAGTCTGGGATAAGGTCTGTGGATGCACCATCGCTGAGGCAAGAACCAGAGAGACCCAAAGGGCCCTGCTGTTCCCCAGGGCCCCAGGCGAGCGCCTTTGTCCAGCTGTCCTCTGTTGCGTCCTCATGCAGTCCCGCAGTTAGAAGACTTCGGGTCTGGACTGCAGCTGAGGAGGGCCAAGCAGCCATGCAGCATGGGGAGGGTATTTCAGACCTTGTTATTTCAAATGTCCCTGGCCCAAAGCAGCGCCAGAGGAGCCCGCAGGACGATGAGGTCTGCTGTCAGCTCTGGTTTCTCAGCCACTTGTCCCCCAGGATTGGAGGAGTTAGTTTATATAGTGGAGATCTAACTCTCCCTGCCCGACCCATACACACCGAAAGCTGGTCTCCCCCAATCTGAGGGGAATGAACATAGATTTACTGTCCTGTCACTATTCTTCATGGAATTCTCAAGCCCTTGCTCAAGGGCCTTGAGGAAGATGGCACTGTAGCTCTGCCATCCTCCCGTCCGAGGTGACCTCTGCCAACCCTGGAGGAACTTCCCCACAACCTGAGCAGGCATGAGAGCTCTGACTGAGAGAGAGAGGCAGAGAAAGGGCAGGGACAGTCAGGGACACAGCTAGAGTTGGCAGAGTGCCCAGGAGACCTCAGCAAAACCAGCTGGGGTGGGTGGACAAGGGATGGGGGCTGCAGATGAGGTAGAGGCTCTTCCGGGCAGACACAGGCGGAAGGCAGGACGGGGCAGTGATGAGGCAGGTTCCTCTTTCAATAGGGCAGGTTGAGAGCTGATAGTTGAGGACTCCCAGGGGAGGGAGAGGGAGGAGGCTGGAAGGGCTGGTACAAGAGGCCTAGGCTGTACCTTATTTGTTCCCCAGCCCCTAGAAATCCCAGGAGAGCAGGTAGGCCCACCTGTGGCCTCCCTTACGTGGGAAATAGAGGACTGGATGTGTGTGTGTAAAGGATTGTGGCAGGTTAGGAAGGCTGCTAGGAGTCTCCTGGGAGTTTGAGCATCCAGATAGAGGGATTGGATCTGCTGCATCTAGAAACAGCAATCCCTAGGAGCCAGGTGGTGGTGTCCAGCCACTCAAGAAAGTGGGTAAAGCTTTTGGACCAGGAGGAGAATGGGGACTGACAGGGTAGCAGTGACCCAGCCACTGAGCCCCGCTGGTGGGGGAGGGAGACATGAAAGCAGGAGAGACTGTGGACAGAGGAGGGGAAGAGAGCTGACAGTGGACGAGGGACCTCAGAGAAACTAGATGTGGAATCAGTGGCCCCAGTCATGTAAGCAGGTTACAAACACATCTCAGTTCCTGCCCAGGCTGCAGGAGCTGTGCTCCAGTTCTGTGTGTGTCTACGACACAGCTGGGCTTGTCTGTGTGTCCCAGGAAGCCATCACAGCAGCAGACCATTCCGTTGCATAAGGAGTAGCGTTCATAGAACTCTGTCCTACAGGAACCTAGCTCCTGGCTGGGGCTGTGTCTACATTTAAAGTGATAGGTGATCTTAGGTTGAGCCCAAGGTAAGAGGGAATCCTTAGGGGACCCAGAAAGATGTCGGAAGTCCCTAGGACTTGATGAAAACAGATCAGCTCAGATGGGGCTCAAGACCCTTAGGGGCCAGAGTCACAGTTGGGTTGCTACACAGCCTTCCAGGAGAGTAAGGAGGTGGTAGGACAAGCCCCAGACACCTGTGCCCACAGGTCTTCTTCAGGGCATCATATAGGGGACCACATCCAGAGAAGACTAGCCTCAAGTGTGGATCTGGGTGGCCAATGGCTGTTCCCAGGATGTAGAAAGGGGTGCTGAGGGACAGAAGGTTATCCTAGGAAGTCAAAGCCAGGGCAGGGCAGAGACCCATATCAACACAGGGTCCTCTCCCTGGCCCATCTGGGTGAAAGGCACATAAACAGGCCTGATTTCCAGTTCCCAAGTCCCAGGCTGGTGTATTTGAGGTGCTTAGGGGAAGCCTGGCTTCTGTTGCCCTGTCCTCTCCCCCCTCTGACCCTCCCTCTGGTGGAGGATTGAGTTTAAGGTTAGCAAACAGAGATGACATGCTTAGGAATCTCTGGCTTAACTTCTGAACATGGGAGAGCACCGGGAATGACTGATCTCCCTGTCCCATCTGATCAGGTCCCCTATCTTGAGGAATAATACCTTTAGAGCAGTGGTTCTCAGCCTTCCTAATGTGTGACCCTTTAATACAGCTCCTCATGTTGTGGTGACCCCCAACCACAAAATTATTATTGCTGCTACTTCATAACTGTAACTTTGCTAGTTATAAACCATAGTGTAAATATCTGATATGCATAATATTCTATATGTGACCCCCCTCCAAGGGGTCACAATCCACATGTTGAGAAACATTGCTCTACTGTCTACCCAGTGAAGAGACCTGAGACTTGAAGAGCTTTCCCTAGTCATCCAGTCTGTCACTAGACTCAATGGGTTCTTCCAACTAAAGACCCTCTTCTCCTGTCCCCATACCAGTCACCACCTAGATCGCAAGGATGAGAAGTAGGGCATCTTCTTTGGCTCTCTTACTACTTTTTAAAAAAAATAATCTTTTTGATGTGTTGCTGGATTTGGTTTGCAAGAATTTTATTGAAAATGTTTGCACTGGTGTTCATAAAGGATCTTGTGATTTTCTTTTCTTTTTTTTGTTGGCTCTTTGTGTAGTTTGGGTGTGAAGGTAATAGTGGCTTAACAAAAGGAATGAGGAAATTCCTTCAGTTCTATTCTGCAGAGTAACTTGAGGAGTACTGACTTTAGTTCTTCTTGGAAGGAATCAATGAAATGAAGACTTGGTCTTTGAGAAAGTCGACAAGACTGACAAACCCTTTCCCAAATTAACCAAAAGACACAGAGAAGATTTAAATGAATAAAAATAGAGATGAAAGGGGGCACATTACCAAAGACACCAAGGAAATTCAGAGAATCGTAAGGACGTACTTTTACAATCTGTATACTACCAAACTGGAAAGCCTAAAAGAAATGGGTGAATTTTTTGGATGCAGACAATCTACCAAAGTTAAATCTGGGTGAAATAAGCAATTAAAATTTTAGTGAAATAGAAACAATAATTTAAAATCTTCCAACCTACAAAGGGCCAGATGCATTCAGTGCAGAATTCGACTTCCAACCACTTCCTGTAGGTCTCTCCTCCTTTCTGCACAGACTGCCAAGGGGACCTCAGAAATGCAAATCAACTCAAAGCTCAAAGCTCTGACCAGCCTCCGCTCCTGCCCTCTCTCTAGACCAAGACCCCAGCCTTCTGCAATGAGTCAAGCCCCTCCTCCTTCTCAGAACTTTATCCCCACCCTCCTCCCTCAGCCTCCAATCTCTACGTCTCAGCGGCAGCTCCTCCTCCCTAGGGAGTTTCCTGGACCCTGTCCTCTAAGTGGCATTCCCACTTTTGAGGGAATGTGGCTATTCCCTATTGTTGAGGAATGAAGTTTCATGAGAGCGGGATTTCTCTACCCAGACACTGGCACCCCGTCAAAATTACTGAGGGAGGAGAGAGACATCTTTTCAAGCAGATGTGACTACCTCCCTGTTTTGGAGGAGGTACTTGCCACAAATCTTCAGTCTTTGAAGACTGAGGACCTGCAATATGGCTTGACAGCAAGACTTACCTATAGAGAACTGGGTTTTCTGTGACCCAGTCATTGGGGAGGCTGTGCACCCACTTCCTCTGCCGAGGGGTCATTGTTTCCCCTTCAGGGAACGCCACCTTTTTCATCATGGGTATCTTGACATTTTTGGGGGTCCCAGAATGCTCTGCAGCCCGCTTCCTGGTGGCTGCCAGAGATTGAACCAGCTGCACCTGAGGGCGTGAAAGATGGGAGATAGGGTATTTCGAGAGTCTCAGCTGCCCAAGCCCTTCATGATAACTGCATTGTCTTGTCTTAGAAGGACGTGTAGGCACCTGCCACACAGAAGGCACTTTACACAAAGGTCCTCAACTCCACACCCTCCTTCCCTTTTACAGGCACGGGCTATTTCAAGGAAGGTGTGTGTAAAGAACTTGGAACGAAGATCCAGATTTAGTCTACACAACCATCTTCGTAATCATAAGAAACTGAAAAAATGGAAAAAAAAAAAAAAAAAAGCCCCTAACATTCCAGTAATAGGAGATTGGCTGAGTAAAACTCCTTAGGGGCTTATTAAAGACAGAAATTACAGCAAATTTCTTATGACAAGAAAATCGTTACAAGATAATGTATACTTGAACATATCAATTAAAGTATAAATTACAGGGCTGGAGAGACGGCTCTGCTACAGGTCTTGCTGTTCTTACAGAGGACCAGAGTTCCAGTTTCAGCACCCTCTTGGTGGCTCACAACCACTTGTGACTCCAGAACCCCTTGCTGGCCTCCAACAGCACCAGCCAAGCACACATGTAGAGTCAAAACACTCTCACACAGATAAATCTTTACTTAAATCATAAATTAAAAATTACAGGCAGGTGGCACTTTGGAGACTGCCAGATCTGCTGTCCTTTTCGATAATTCAAGAAACCCACCTTCTTTTTTTTTTAATTACAACCAAATTACTGTGGTTTCGAATTTTAAAACACATGGAAAAACAGTGTGCTGAAGGTTAAGAATAATAGCTCACTTATAAGGAGCTAAAGCATGAGGGTAATTTCAGTTTTTGGCTTTCTCCATTTCTAAAGGTTATACAGACAGCATGATTTATGGCTCAAATTAGGAATAAAAATCCTACTTAAATAAGCAGCACACTAGGTTTTTGGTTATGAATTTTTTTTAAGGTCTCTTTGGTCTGCAAGGTACATTCCAGAAGAGATAGAGATCTTTACAATAGACTTGGCCAATAAGCCTTTAATGCTGTAAAGCAAGTCCTCGATGGAGGAGGCCACTGGGTACCCACTGAGGTGTGTGAATACCCCAGTTATTATTATTATTATTATTATTATTATTATTATTATTATTATTAGCTACTATTGTTTTTTTGAGACAAGGTCTCTCTATTATGTAGCCCTGGCTGTCCTGGAACTTAGCATGTAGACCAGGCTGGCCTCGAACTCACAGAGATATACCTGCCTCTATCTCCCAAATGCTGGGACTAAAGGCATGTGCTACCATGCCCGGCAAGACCCACTTTTTAAACAGAAAATTATGAATTGCTTTTATGCTTGACAAAAAGACTCAGGCACAAAATGGTTAACTCAGACTAATTCTGAATAATTTCAATTAAATTTTTATTGAAATTAAGTTTTTAATTTTAAGAACAAACGTCCTGATGTCCTATTTGTACACTGTAGTACCCAATAGCAATTATTTTTAAAAATCAAAGTAATGTCAAAGCTCTCCTTTTTAAAATTTGGGTCTTATAGGTAAGATATGGGAGTAGATGAGGGAGGAAAAATCGCGATCAAAATATATTGTATGAAAAAAATCTACTCTCAGTAACAAATAAACAAAATTTGGATCTTAGACAGGAAGTCACACAGAACAAAAAGAATTAGAAGGGAACAGGAAACTTAGGCGGGGACAGAGGGAAGAGGAGCGAGCCTACCTGGGCCTGGAAGATCTGCTGGTAGACTTTGCCATTTTCTACCTGGGACACTTTCCCCACTGGCGACATCTTGGCTGCTGGCCCGATTCCCCTTCGTCCTGGAAACGCGCCTGGGACTTGATCTCAGTGTCCACTCAGAGATTGGGAACTGACGACCTCCGGCCCGAAGACAGGACTAGATTCCACAGGACACCTAGGGAAACTTAAATGTCGAAGAACATAAGAAGGGAGGTGGGAGGAGGGGAGAGAGAGAAAGAAACAGAGACAGAGGAAACAAGTTCTTCAGATAAGCCCTGTTCACTGAAGACGTGGGTTCTCCCAGTGTGCAGGGCGTACATCCCACAGGCACTTTCTGGAAAGGGCAGAATTATTGACTGCGCTCTACTCTAGCTCTCCTGGGGACAGTCAATCCGCCTAAGGTGTCAGTCCGGGAGAAATGGGGAGTGGCGGGAAGGGATGGATTTGATTCTGCTAATTAGACGCCTACGGTATGCGACCCGCCCTTCTTCCTAGCTGCGTGATCAGCCCGCTGCCCTCCAAGCCCAGTGATCTGGAGAGAGGCCCTGACCCAAGGCTGGCTGCTCCCGCACCTGAAGTTCAGATTCACCCGGACGGCCCCGCAGCAACTGCAGCCAGACGCTGGTGGTCTCCTAGGCAACGCGAGGGGCGGAGCTGGCCCTGCCCACATTTCCCTTCTTCTGGAGCCGGGTCACTCCAGAAGAAGGGAAATGTGGGCAGGGCCAGCTGCCCGAGTGGAGTACTGAAACTCAACCCAGTACTTCTTTCAGTGTTGTATTCTTGGAGCGCCCTTAAATGTTCCCAAAGCTAGTAGGAGATCAGAGAGCCCGCGCAGATCTCTTGCTGTTGTGTCAAGGAATCCAGTCTCTGTTGTTTTGGTTAAAACAACCTGTGCGGGGAGGTAGCACAAGGTGGTTCTTGCTTTTAAGAATCTGAAAGAGAGCTGGGCGGTGGTGGCGCACGCCTTTAATCCCAGCACTCAGGAGGCAGAGCCAGGCGGATCTTTGTGAGTTCGAGGCCAGCCTAGGCCACAGAGTGGGTTCTGAAAGAGACCAAATCTTTCCCGATTCAAAAGAGGTTGGAGAGCTCAGAATTCAAGGCTCGAGACCTGCCTGGCCAGAATGAGAAACTCACTAGACACAATCTAGAGTTTCTCGTGTACTGTGGGCCACTCCGCTCCTTTCCAGAGAAGCCCCACGGCAGCAGGGATCCAGGAACAGGCCTGCTGGGAAGTCCTTCCCAAGGACTTCCTAGAGTGAGTGAACTTCCGCAGCTGGCTGCAGCATCAGAAATGCGAGGTGATGGCTAGAAAATGCTATTCTCATTCTTCGACTCAGGTGAAGGAGGAAGCAGTGAATACCAAACCCTTTTATTTGCTTTCTTTGATCCAGGGTGAAACAAAATAAAGATTGGACTCACTTTAGTTGAAAAGAAAGCGTGTAGGTGACCCAGGGAAGGGATGGAAAACACTTTTATTTTATGTATTTTTTTTTATTTGGTTTTGGTTTTTCAAGATGAGGTTTCTCCATGTAGACCTGACTGTCCTGGAACTCACTCTGTAGATCAGGCTGACCTCGAACTCACAGAGATCCACCTGTCTCTGCCTCCTGAGTGCTGGCATTAAAGGCATGCGCCACCACCGCCTAGCAAAAAGCATGTTTTTTTAAAAACAGACTTCTCTTTCAGACTCTGGTTGTTGGTTTGTTGTTTGTTTTTCAGTCTCTGTTCTTTTTCTCATCCAAGGAAAGGCTTCTGGCTTAAGTTTCAGACATCAGGAGGTTGCCCCTGCCTAGGCGTTTTCTGCTCTGGTTCTTAGCAGGTATAGCTGTCTGGGAGCTGGCTGTGGTAACACGTGATCTATAATAAGCAGTGAGACTGAAACAGTCATTTAAAACCTCTGTACTGGCTGGTTTTGTGTCAACTTGACATCAGAAGAAGTCATCAGAGGAAGGAGCCTCGGTTGAGGAAATGCCTCCCTGAGATCCAGGTGTAGGGTATTTTCCCATTTAGTGATCAATGAGGGAGGGCCCAGCCCACGGTGGGTGGTGCCATCTTTGGGTTCTATAAGAGAGTGGGCTGAGTAGGCCTGGGAAAGCAAGCCAGTGAGCAGTTCCCCTCCATGGCCTCTGCATCGGCTCCTGCTTCCGGGATCCTGCCCTGTTTGAGTTTCTGTCCTGTCATCCTTCAGCGATGAACAGCAATGCTGAAGTGTAAGCCTAATAAACCCTTTCCTCCCCAACTTGCTCTTTGGTCATGGTGTTTCGTTACAGCAATGGAAACCCTAACTAAAACACTTCCTAACTAAAGAAAATCCTGGTACAAATGGAACCACTGGGGAATTTTACCTTTGCAGAAGAACTAGCATCAATCTTTATCATCAAATAATTCCATCAAACAAAAAAGTAAAGAGCTTTGTCAACCTCTTTTTATGAAGCTAGTATTATCTTGATTCCAAATATAGGTAAAGAAGCAACAATAACAACAAAAAGAAAATTGTAGACCAAACTCCCCAAAGAACATGGGTCCAAAAGTTCTCAAGAAAATACTTGCAAACAGAATTCAAGAATACATCAGAAAGATCATTCACCGAAATCAAGTTGACTATATTTCAGAGATACAAAGACAGCTCAATCTATGTAAATTGATGTTATAAATTACATAAATGGACTTAAAGGTAGAAATCACGTGTTCATATCTCAATTATAAAAAACTTGGCAAAATCCAACATCCCTTCATAATTTCTAAGTGTCTTCCTCAACTTCTTTCTTTGATGTTTTAATGTCTTTGTTACAGAGTTTTTTCAAGTTTTGGGGTCTTTCACATTCCAAGGTACTTTTTTTTTCCTTTATGAATGGAATCCTGCCTGCCTTATTTCTTTCTTAGTGTGCTTGTCATTGTTATATAGCAGTGCTGCTGATTTCAATGTTGATTTTGTATCCTGCCACTTTGCTGGAAGTATTTATCACTTCTAAGAGTTTTCTGGTAGTCTGCTAAGTTGCCCTTGTTCCAGAGAATAGCCACACCCATGCCTATGGAGGTAGTACTAACTGGACTTATGGAGTTATATTTTCTAAAATATAAAAAGAACACATTGTGCCAATTAGTATTTATTGCCAACTTAACACAACTTAGTCTCTTGGAAAAAGGAATCCTCCATTAAGGGATTGCCCAAATCAGATTGACCTGTGGCTGTGTCTAGGAGGCATTGATGATTGATGCTCCCAGCCCACTGTGGGCATCGCCATCCCTTAAGCAGGTGGTTCTGGGTGGTATACAAAAGCAGGGTGAGCATGACGCAGAAGGAGCAAGCCTGTGAGCTGTGTTCCTTCATGCACTCTGCTTCAGTTTCTGCATCTAGGTTCCTGTCCTGCTTGAGTTCTTACCCTGACTTCCCACAGTGATATACTTTGACCTGGAAATAGAAATGGAAATAACCCCTTTTCTCCCTAAGTTACTTTGATCAGAATGTTTTATCACAGCAACAGAATGCAAACAGGAACATACACAAAGGCAGCAGGGAGAGATGTGTTGGGGGCATGTCTGAAAGGGGAAGAGGGGATGGGGGTGTGGGGGTACAATTAAGACAAAGATATACATATATGAGACTGTCAAAGAATAAATGAAAAATATATTTAAAAGAACCTTTCTCACCATAAGAAGAATGTGCTTACAGTCCACCTCTGACAGTAGTCTATAGTATAGAAATAGAGTCCATTTCATGTCGTATTTTCAATGCACCTTGGGTGTTTTCAGTTTCAATTTGGAGCTGGGTCATTGCCTGGCTCCAGGGACTCAACCTTGTTGGGGAATATTATTTTAAGGTGTGTTAATTTTTGTTTATGTTGCATTTGTTTAACTCTGTGTTACTATGCCTGTCTAAAACACCTGATTCTCTAATAAAGAACTGAACGGTCAATAGCAAGACAGGAGAAAGGATAGGCGAGGCTGGCAGGCTGAGAGAATAGAAATCTGGGAGAAAAAGAGGAAGTAGCCAGAGAAGGAGGAGGACTCCAGGGGTCAGCCACCCAGCTACACAACCAGCCATAGAGTAAGAAACAAAGAAAGGTATACAGGAATAGAGAAAGATAAAAAGCCCCCAAGGCCAAAGACAAACAGGTTATTTATAGTTAAGAGATCTGGTTAGCAACAGGCCAAGATAAGGCCAGGCATTTATAATTAAGAATAAGCTTCCATGGGTGCTTTATTTGGGAGCTGGGTGGTGGGCCCCCCAAAGTAAAAATAACCAACAACATAACCTGACTGGAGACAAGAGGAAATTTAAAAAAATGATAGACAGCCAACACATGGACAGAGAGCTGTGTGGTTGTCCAGGCTCTCAGATGAGAAACTACAGCACTCCAGAAGCTCGGCTTGTTGCAGAGAGTTGAGCAGAGAGACGGGATTATTGCATGCAGGCAAACAAGAAAGCAGAGTTCATGGTATACATCTGGATCAAGGAGACAAGTTTAGCTAATCCCATTAGGAGCCACCTCTGTAGGAGGGCAGGCTTCGGGCTGTAAATATCTGGAGGGAGAAGCTCTGGTGGACATTTTCTGCACACACTGTCAATACTTAAACTCAGCCCCCACAAAGAAGGTTTTGCAATCCCTCTGAGCCTGGGGCTGTAGGGTGGGGTCCTATGTCAACAACATACATTCACTCAGGATTTCCTCCATTCTCTAGAATTTGGGGATTTATCCAAATCACTGCTCTAACCATTCTTCTGTATGGTGAGCATGCACAGCCACTTCTACTTGGCGTGCAATTAATATTAGAATTTCTGTGTCAGAGTGTGTGTGTGTCAATCTCAGGAGCTACCTCCAAAGGTTCTGAAAGTGGCAACAGTTCACACACACCACAGTGTGTGCCTAGTGGTCTGTATCCTCACCCACACTTCGTAGTGTCACTGGACTTTATCCTAGCCATTATATGGTAGTATAGCATCATGGTTTTAATTTGCATTTTCCTGATGAGTAATAAAAGTAACAATATGGAACACAGACACACAGGCTTGCACACACACACTTGGATATTTCTGTGACATGAGATCTGTATTAGTGCCCTGTTACTGCAATAACAGGGATACTGAATTGAGATAGTGAATGTATGAAGAGAAAAGGTTTATTTGGGCTGATATCTTCAGAGGCTGCAGTCTGTGATGGAGTGGCCCATTGATTTTGGCTTCTAAGGAGAGTATCATGGTAGGAATGTCTAGTGAGCAAAAATACTCATCCCATCAGCTAAGAAAACAAAGAGACCTACAATATCCTTCAAGGTCATGCCTCCAGTGACTTAAGGACCTCCTATTAGGCACCACTCCCCAAAGGTTCCACACCTCTGCATGGTGCCGTCCCAGGGACCAAGGCCTTAACAGGTACCTGGGCCTTTGGGAGACTGTAGCACAAATCCTAATTGGTCTTAATAATAAAAACCCAGAGCCAGACATCGGGGTAAATGCTGAAAGATCAGAGAGACCAAGGAACAAGCCACAGCCACCTCTCACCTCACCAACTCCAAAGGAGAGAGCTCCTGTCTCCTCCCGCCTTATATTCCCGCCCAGCCATATCACTTCCTGTTTCAGTCTCCCCAGTGCTGGGATTAAAGGCATGTGCCACTACTGCCTGGCCTCTATGGCTAGCTAGTGGCTGGTTTTGCCCTCTGATCTTCAGGCAAGCTTTATTTGTTAGAGCATACACAAAATATCACCACAGGAGACCCTGCCTGCACTCAAACCATAGAGACAACCAGTCGGATCTCTCTGCCTTTGAGAGTTTAAAGTGACAGGCACAAGCTTAAAGGTGTGTGCTTTGAACAATTTTATTCTCATGATAATCCCCGGAGTGGGGGTGTTGCCCCCCTTTTGTAGATACAGATATCTGTGAATAGAGAAAGACAAAGTCATTTAGCCAGAGGTAGAAAGTGATGTGTGTGTGTGTGTTCTCCATTTTATCAGCTTCTAGAAGCAAAAATTGTCCAAGAGCCGTTGTAGAGATTCAGCTAAAAGGGACAATCCCGGCATGAGCACCAGCAGGACCAAGTGCACACAGAGCCCAGGTGCAAGCGCTCTGAGACCTTGGGTCCTCACAGCACTTGTTCAGGTTCGGGAGGGACTATCAGCCATCAGACTGCTTCTGTCCTGGGCCATTTTTTTTTTTTTTTTTTTTTTTTGGTTTTTCGAGACAGGGTTTCTCTGTGTAGCTTTGCGCCTTTCCTGGGACTCACTTGGTAGCCCAAGCTGGCCTCGAACTCACAGAGATCCGCCTGGCTCTGCCTCCCGAGTGCTGGGATTAAAGGCGTGCGCCACCACCGCCCGGCTTAGTCCTGGGCCATTTTTGAGCGTGAAGATTTGGGTAAGTGCTGGGCTCTGCGTAGGGACAATGCCCACACCTCATAGCCTGACACTCGTGTCTTTTGAATGGGTTCCACCATCTTTCAGCACCTGCACCCAATGTGCTACATGGACACCATCATCGAATGCCTCGGGCCTCCTGCTCACACAGCAGATGGCCTGGCCTTGGAGCAGAAGTTGGTGGCCCAATCAGCAATCCGAGCAGGTCGGCAGGATCTGTGCGAACTCTCGGGAACCGTGCCCCGATTTTGATTTTCTCAGCACAATGAGCCTGGGGTTGTTGACCAGTGTCTGTAGCAGGAGCCACCTCATCTGGGCCCTGGCTGAGACTCGGGGACCTAGGACAGAATCAGAGAGAGCAGGAGTGGGGGTGGGGTGCTGCCGCTGCTATTCTCAAGGACTTTTGTTACCTACAATGCAAAAGGTGTATAGGAGGCATTGGATCAGGACTCCCGGGGAATGAGAGGCAGAGGATATGAATTATCCCACAGACCTGTAGGATGTATTAGTGAGGATATCTGAGCCCTTAAGGGGCAGGAGGAACTCAGAGTACTTTCTTTTTTTTTTTTTTTTGAGCTGAGGATTGAACCCAGAGCCTTGCACTTAGCTAGGCAAGCGCTCTACCACTGAACTAAATCCCCAATCCCTCAGAGTACTTTCTATAAGCAATAGGGCAAAGTAATTAAAACTGAGCTCCATTTTCGAAATGGCATCTGCCAGTAGCCTGAGATGTACGCCGGCATCCCAAGACAATGGGATTCAGATAACTGTGCTAGCAGAACTGGGACTCAGTTCCGGAACAGGCGGGTAAGCTGATCTGCAGGACAAGGCCATGCCATTTGACTTATGGGAGCTGTGCCTCCTGAGCAGCCAGGCCTAAAGGGATGCAGAGGAGGGGGAGAAATAAGGGGGTCAGGGCCCCTTGGGGATCCCAGGGAGCCCATGGATATCCATTTTCCACTCTGAACTCAGTATAGGTTCAAACAGGAGACGCTACCTGCTGATTGGTTCAGGTACCAGTATTTCATGGTCTTCTGCAGCTTCCGATCCCTGTGGCTTGTGATCAGGATGTGGCAAAAGCTGACCAGCACAGGGTTGGTGTGATAATGGTCCACAAAGAGCATGCCAACCCATGCCTTGAAGCCTGAAACCCAGGTGAAAGCAGGTCAGGCTGGGCCACACCTCCCAGCATCGCCCAGTTGTACTTTTTATAATACAATTTCTATTCTTTATTCTTTATTATTATTATTATTAATTTTTGAAACAGTCTCCCTATGTATGCCCGGCCTGGAAGTCACTGTGTAGACCAGGTTGGCCTTGAACTCACAGAGATAGATCTGCCTGCCTCTGCCTCTCCTGTCCTGGCTAACTGCTGGTCATTTTCCTTTGCCTAGTGGTCTGAGTTCTTACAGAGAATCTACAGAGTCAGTGTGAAGATCTGGAAGGATTCCTGGAAAGGATATTCTACTCTGTGCATTTGATGGAGAACTTGAAGCTTGCAGGGGCTGAGAGCAGTCAAGAGAAAGCAGAGGAGATGTCAGCACAGATCTTAAACAGCCGAGGGAATGAGTGACCGGGCCCGGGGCTAGAAGCCCTAATTTCACTTCCTCGGAACGGCTTTGATTTTAGAGTATATTAAACCAGATACTTTCTTCACTAAATGTTCAAGTGACAACACTATTAATTCTGGGATATGTTCTCGTCTCCATTCTATTTGGAAAGTTTGAGTCCCCCTGTCCCACATCTCAGTGGCCTGTGGAATGGGCAGCGTTAAAGAACCTTGAATTCCCTTCTGACCACCAGAATACACATTTGTTATGAGTGATCACATGCACACAGGAAAGAAGAGGTCTTTCACCTGAACCTGGGGCTCACCGATTAGGCTTGGCTGTCTGTCCAGTCAGCCCTAAGGATCGTCCTGCCTGCACATCCCCAGTGCTGGGATTACAAGCAGATAACAGCTTGCATGGTTTTTTGCATATGTTCTGGGGATCAAATTCAGGTCCTCACGCTTGCACATTAAGCCCTTTAATGACCGAGCCATCTCCCCAGCCCAGAACGCATGTTTCTATTATTTGGCTTTATGACCTCTACCAGAAGACAAGTTTGAAGCCTGCGAAGGTGAGAACTCATATCCATCCAGCTTCCACAAAGGTGTAAGGCCAACTATTCCCCCAAGGAGGCCAGCAGGACCTGCCACTCACCCATGTCTGCATCCTCGTAGCCGCTCTGCATGATGGTCCTGTCAATGCGTGCAATCAGCCATGTGCCCAGGAGGCAGCTGATGAGCAGCCTGAAGAGGCAGGCACCCAGGCCCAGCAGCACGTTGTAGAAAAACAGGAAGTAGTTGAAGTTGTGGAACGCTCTCCTGCAGACAGAAGCAAGCAAGAGACAGCCCCTCAGTCAGGCAAGGTGGCCCACACAGCCTGCTCTGGCTTCATCCAGACCAGACATTAAACTCTGCAACACTGTCTCCTAAGCTACGATCTCCTGCTGGATCAAAGTGGAGCTGAGCGGCCAGCTTACAGTGCTGGAGGGATGTGGTGTCCCTGATGGGGGGTGGGGAGCACGAGCACAGGGCAGGCTGAGTGCTACTTGCCTTGTGTGACCTCAGGATACTTGCATGAGGACAAAAGCCACGGGGCTACTGAAGGCTTAAGGGTTGCAACAATGTTGCCATTCACCATTGTCACTGCCTAGGACCTGTCCCAGCCAGAGCCGGTCCTGGTCCTCCAGAGGAAAAGTCCCAAAGGACCACCTGACCACACGGTCCAGTCGCCTCAGGACCAAACTGCATCTGAATGTCACAGGCCCCTCTGACAGAGGACTTTTGGATCTTGTCACTCTGTGTGCCCACTGTGTAAGGACACTGTATGGTGGACATTTGGGGATCTCACTGTTCTCCCAGCACATGAGTTAGTGTCTTACCACTTCTATCCGTGGTGGGGTAGCTGTCAGCCATGCCAGTTCCTCCTCTCCCCTCCTCCCTGCCTCTCCCCTCCCATGTCTCTCCTCCTCTCCCTGCCTCTCCCCTCCTTCCTGCCTCTCCCCTCCTTCCTCTCTCTCCCCTCCTCCTGCCTCTCCCCTCCTTCCTGCCTCTCCTCCTCTTCCCTGCCTCTCCCTTCCTCCTGCCTCTCCTCCTCTTCCCTGCCTCTCCCCTCCTTCCTGCCTCTCCCCTCCTCCTGCCTCTCCTCCTCTTCCCTGCCTCTCCCCTCCCCCTGTGTCTTTCCTCCTCTTCCCTGCCTCTCCCCTCCTCCTCCCTCTCCCCTCCTCCCTGACTCTCCCCTCCTGACTCTCCCCTCCTGACTCTCCCCTCCTCCCTGACTCTCCCCTCCTCCCTGACCCTCCCCTCCCCCTGTCTCCCCTCCTCTCTGACTCTCCCCTCCTCCTGCCTCTCCCCTCCTCCTGCCTCTCCCCTCCTCCCTGCCTCTCCCCTCCCCCTGACTCTCCCCTTCTCTCTAATTCTCCCCTCCTCCCTGACTCTCCCCTCCTCCCTGACTCTCCCCTCCTCCCTGACTCTCCCCCCCATCCCCTCCTCCTCTTCTTTAGATCATTCAGGAATCCATGGCCCTTACCCAGGTGCCAGCCCTCTCTGGTAATCTATGAAGCTCTCAGAGGTGGTGAGTAGGGATATCCCTTTGTTGTCAATGCTAAGGTGGCCTCAATGAATGAATGAATGAATGAGGACTGCATGTATGGGGCTGTACTGTCCATATTTTAGATGTTTCATCCTTACAACACCCCTTTAAGGGATGCAAAATAACTTACAAATGGGAAAGCTAAAGTTGGCACATTTAGTGAGGACATACTTTTCCACTACAGGAAAAGGCAACTCTAGATCCCAGGTCATGCGACCCCGGAGCCTCCCCCTGTGCACAGCACTGTAGCCGCTCACAGAATTCAGAGCCCTCCAGAACCTGCGCACCACTAGGTAGAAGGTGGAAGCAACAGTGGCAGCCCTGCACACCCACCCCCTCCTCCGCCCTCACCTGTTGTGAACAGCCAGCCCTGCACACCCACCCCCTCCTCCGCCGCCCTCACCTGCTGTGAACAGCCCTGCACACCCACCCCCTCCTCCGCCTCACCTGTTGTGGACAGCCCTGCACACCCACCCCCTCCTCTGCCTCACCTGTTGTGGACAGCCAGCCCTGCACACCCACCCCCTCCTCCTCCGCCTCACCTGTTGTGAACAGCCAGCCCTGCACACCCACCTCCTCCTCCTCCGCCCTCACCTGTTGTGAACAGCCAGCCCTGCACACCCACCTCCTCCTCCTCCGCCCTCACCTGTTGTGAACAGCCAGCCCTGCACACCCACCTCCTCCTCCTCCGCCTCACCTGTTGTGAACAGCCAGCCCTGCACACCCACCTCCTCCTCCTCCGCCCTCACCTGTTGTGAACAGCCAGCCCTGCACACCCACCTCCTCCTCCTCCGCCCTCACCTGTTGTGAACAGCCAGCCCTGCACACCCACCTCCTCTTCCTCCGCCCTCACCTGTTGTGGACAGCCAGCCCTGCACACCCACCTCCTCCTCCTCCGCCCTCACCTGCTGTGAACAGCCCTGCACACCCACCTCCTCCTCCTCCGCCCTCACCTGCTGTGAACAGCCCTGCACACCCACCCCCTCCTCCGCCTCACCTGTTGTGGAGAGCCAGGGGCTTCTGCTTGTCTGCTGTGCCCAGCTTGGGCTGCAGGAAGAATCTGCCAGCGATCCACACCTGCAGGACCACGAGGCCCACGACTACAGATAGGGTGAGGCTGAAACACAGGGCAGGTCCACCCTGAGGTGGTCTAGTCTACTGTTCCAGGCCCTTCTCTGATACATAGTGAGGAGGGAGAGGGAGAGAGACAGAGATACAGAGACACAGAGAAACAGAGAGAGACAGAAACAGAGACAGGGACAGAGAGACAGAGAGAGAGAAACAAAGAGAGGGAGACAGAGGGAAGGAGAGAAAGACAGAGAAAGAAGAGACAAAGAAAGAGATAGAAACGGAGAGACAAAGAGACAGAGACAGAGAAAGAGATAGAAGGAGACAGAGGGAGGGAGAGACAGAGACACAGAGGGTGAGAGAGACACACACAGAGAGGCGGGAGGGAGAGAGAGAGAGAGAGAGAGAGAGAGAGAGAGAGAGAGAGAGAGAACCCAGAAGAGCAGCAGCAGAACAAGCCTGAGCTTTGACCCCACCCACGCCCATGCGTATGGTGCACATGAACAAAAAAAAAGACCCACAAAGGGCATGTGCCCCCCAGGGCCACATGCTGACTCTCCAGCTCCAGATCGTAGCCCATGGCTCCCCATTATGCCCCTTTTTGCTAAGGGTGGCAGTGGCGTGGCAGTCTTCAGAACAACACAGCCAAATACATGCGACCCTCTCGCGCAGAGAACGTGTGTGGGAAGCGGCCAGAGAGCGGCCAGGCTAGGCACTGCAGGGGCACGGGAGGCGCTGGGCAAACATGGAGTCAAGCCGTTCAGAGCAGCAGTCCTCGAGGGTGCCACGTGCTGAAGGGACATGGGTGGCAGTATGGTGTGGTGACTGAAGGGAGCGTGGGCTTCAGCCTGCCCTTCTCCCTGAACATAGCTCCTACCCTTCTAGAACTCGTCTCTCAGTGGCATCAAGCTCCCAGAGCTGTTATGAAGAAGAGCATGCATGTCAAGTGTGTCACTGTCTACAGAGAGGGTGTGAGGCTCCGGAAAGGGCAGGAACTTTACCCCGGGCAACATAACACATCAGATAGCTTACCCATGGTTTCTGCTCCTTCCTTCCTGCTGTCCTACCTCTTACTTATCCCCCTACAACTTATTTCCTTGTTGGAAGATGGGATTCTATGCATCATACACTTGATTGTGAAGGCCCCATGGAATGATGGGAGAGGAAGGCTTTTGAAAACATAAGATTCCCTCCCTGTGAGGGTCATCAGAAGAAGACCTTAGGCCCAGGGCTGGGACCCCAGCATCAGTAAGGAGTCATCTACTCAGCACTTACACCCCAAGGCCCAGCCCTCGCAGCATCTCCAGACCTTGGTGGTGGAGGATGGGCAGCACCAGACTGTACATGAGCATCACACCACAGAGACTCTGGACCACATGGATGATGAGGTAGCCTGGAGATGAAACAGAGGGGATCACTAGGGGTCCCTCTTGGCCCATTCCCATACTCCTCCCTGCAGGCAGACCTGACTATGCCCTCTTCCACCAGAGGCACTTGGCACATTTGCTGGCGCTGTTTCTTCTGCCTACCATGATTTCCCTATCTTCCTGCTTGCCCGGCACTCTGCCAGATGCAGTTCAAAGGTCAGCTCCCCTAGAATTCCCTAGAGTCCTGAGCTGGTGTGAGTGCCATTTCCTCCTCTGCTCCGTGGTGCCCAGCAAAGGCAGCCAGTGAGATGAGGGCAGACAGGAGATAATGTATGGTGTTTCTCCACCATTCTCCAGACTCCTCAAAGTTAGAAGCTCTGGCTGCCTCTCCAGCCTTTCCATGTCTCTCCTCACAACTGGGACTCTGTAGGTGCTCAGGGAACATGTGCTGGACTCCATGGGTCCTGGGGTGGCACTTACCCCAGAGGATGTAGGCTATTTGCCAGCCAGAGTACCTTGCAATGGCCACCTGAGGGTTAGAAGAAAAACAGGGGTCTCCATAGGATGAGAGCTCCCTTCCCTCCAAGCCTTGTACCCAGGACCCCATATCTGATCTGAGGGTCACCCATAAACCAAAGCAGGTTCTTCATGTGGCTGCATCTGGGGACTGAGGCCTGGGCTTCTCTGGGGTCCTGTCAGGTGTGGCTCAGCTCCCCTACAGACTCACCACACTCGCTGCTGAGGAGGGACTCTGGAACTTCTGAGGGAGGAAGTCCTTGTCTCCAGCCCACAGCCTCTTCATGTGCTTTCTGTGGAAGAGGAAAAGCAGGTGACACTCATGATCATGGCGCTTTCTGTAGCGTCAGAACTCAATGGAAAGGCCCGTGGAGGCCTATCGCAGTGGGTGTCAACTGTAGCTCCTGGCAAAGTGCTGATCTCTCTTCAACATCCTCAAGGTTACTACAGTTCATAAAAATAAGACATACTGACCAAGTCATGACAGCAATTGAATCTGATAGAGGAGATTATATTTGTTTTCATTCTGCTTTCTATATTTACTGTTATGGTGAATGCATATTGCTTAATAATATTGTTTAAACAGTTAACACCAGGAAGTCAGTTTTGTTGATAGCTGAACCTTATAGCAACCGAAAGACAAACCAAGGATGGGATGGATGGCGCAGCGGGTAAAAGCGTTTGCTGCAGAGCCTGATACCGGAGTTCAACCCCAGGACCCACATGGTAGGAGAGAGCCAACTCCCGCAAGCTGTCCTCCGACCTCCCCACATGCCATGGCACATGCACCCCCCCCACACACATCAGACACACACTCACGCATACAATAATAATACATTTTTTATTGTGTGTGGGGTTTTTGTTTGTTTTGAGACAGGGTCTCTACATAGCCCTAACTGTACTGGAACTCATTATGTGGACTAGAGTAGTCTAGAACTCACAGAGATCTGCTTAACTCTACCTTCTGAGTGCTGGGATTAAAGGCATGCGCCACCATGCCCAGCCCAATAATACATTTTTAAACAAAAATAATTTAAAGGGGCAACAACCCCGTATAGAATCCCGCCCCCACCACTCCATTTCCCACATCCCTGTCCAGTTCCTGGCCTATATGTGAAGACTGGGTTGGCAGTGTTCTGTTCCTAGGCCACACTCCCATTTGTGGGATTCTTTCTTTCTTTCTTTCTTTCTTTCTTTCTTTCTTTCTTTCTTTCTTTCTTTCTTTCTTTCCTTCTTTCTTTCTTTCTTTCTTTCTTTTTCTTTTCTTCCTTCCTTCCTTTCTTTTTTCACTTTGTACTCAATCTCCAGTATTTTTCCTGGCTGAATTCTACTTTTCATGATCACTAAATTGGAAATTCTTAAAATGACAGGAAAAAACGTAGCTCTCAACCCCTACTCCCAGGGAACTGAGCAGATTCTCTCCCACAGCCTTCCGGCCCTTGCCCATCACTTAGTCTCAGCCACCTGAGCACCTGAGGCACTCTCTCCCTGGAAACCCACTGCCATGCCAGCCAGAGAATCAGCCTCACAGCAGACCCAGCTTTCCTCCCTCCTGTGGATGCTGTCAGCCCTCTGTCCTTCTGTCCATCCGCATTCCTTCATGTCAGCCCCAATACCCAGAAACAAGTTTCTACTTGAAACCCTTACTGGTCATACCTGGAAGGGACTCAGAAGCACTCCCTACCAGGCAACCCACAGCCACCACACTCTCCTAAGATCCAGAGAGGATGCAGAAACCAAGGAAGGGAAACCCACCCAACAAAAACAAGACCAGATATTAACACAGAATTACCATCATCTCAAACCCAGATGCCTAGATGCCAGCATAAACACACAACCAATAACTGTTGGGGAATATTATTTTAAGGTGTGTTGCTTTTGTTTATGTTGCATTTGTTTAACTCTGTGAAACTGTGTTATTTCGCCTGTCTAAAACACCTGATGATCTAGTAAAGAACTGGCCAATAGCAAGGCAGGAGACAGGATAGGCGGGGCTGGCAGGCAGAGAGAAGAAATAGAAGGAGAAATTTGGGAGAAGAAAGATCAAGGAATGAGAGAGGAAGGAGGAGGACTTCGGGGGCCAGCCAGTCAGCTACCCAGCCACCCAGCTACATAACCAGCAACAGAGTAAGAAGGAAAGAGGTATACAGAAATAGAGAAAGACAAAAGCACCAAGGCAAAAGATAGATGGGATAATTTAAAGTTAAGAAAAGCTGGAAAGAAATAAGCCAAGCTAAGGCCGGGCATTTATAAGTAAAAATAGGCCTCCATGTGTGACTTATTTGGGAGCTGGGTAGTGGGCCCCCCAAAAGAGTAAAAAAAAAAAATCCAACAACAAATAACAGTCAGGACAATATGTCTCCACTAGAGCCCAGCAGCCCTCCTATAGTAGGCCCTGAGAGATCCAATATAGTTGAAGCACAAGACAAGGATTTCAAAGTACCTATTATAAACATGATCAAGGACTTTAAGGAGAATATGAATAAATCCATTAATGAAATTCATGAAAACCCAAACAAACAGTGGAATGAAATGAAAGAAACTGTTCAAGGCGTGAAAGTAAAAACGGAATCAATAAAGAATGACCCAAACTGATAGAAAACTGGAAATGAAAAACTGGAAAAAAAAAAATGAAAAATGTAGGAACTCGGGCTGGAGAGATGGCTCAGAGGTTAAGAGCACTGACTGCTCTTCCAGAGGTCCTGAGTTCAATTCCCAGCACCCACATGGTGGCTCACAACCATCTGTAATGAGATCTGGCGCCCTCTTCTGTATACATAATAAATAAATAAATCTTTAAAAAAAAATGTAGGAACTCAAACAGGAACCTCAGAGGCAAGCTTCTCCAACAGAATACAAGAGATGGAAGAGAGACTCTCAGGCACTGAAGACAAAATAGAAGAAATTGATACCTTGGGTCAAAGAAAAATGTTAAATCTAAAAAAATCCCAGGCATAAAACATCCAGGAAATCTGAGATACTATGAAAAGACCAAATCTACAAATAATAGGAACCGAGGAAGAAGAAACCCATGTCAAAGTCACAGAGAATATTTTCAACAAAAAAATCATTGAAGAAAATTTCCCTAATCTAAAGAAAGAAGTGCCTATCAAGATATAAGAAGTAAGCCGGGTGGCGGTGGCACTTGACTTTAATCACAGCACTGGGGAGGCAGAGCTAGGCGGATCTCTGTGAGTTCGAGGCCAGCCTGGTCTACAGAGCGAGATCCAGGACAGGCACCAAAACTACACAGAGAAACTCTGTCTCAAAAAACTAAAAAAAAAAAAAAAAAAAAGATATAAGAAGTATACAGAGACAGAGAAAGAGAGACACAAAGAGCGAGCATGAGCATGTGTCCTCGTCCTGCATTGCTGTTCTTGAGGTAGATGCTCCCAGGCCTCTTGACCCCACTCTGATGATTCCTTGAGCTGAGTGTACCTGCTGGGAGGCTGGTGTTATCAACCCTTAACAGCGGAACAGATCTGACATCCAACAATGAGAATGCACAAGAAACACGCAGGTCTCTGGGTATCAGGAGGACTTGCCCCTCTGCTCAATGCTTGAGCATGTCATTTAATCTTGTTGAGTCTCAGCTTCATCAACTGTAAACGCTGAGAGGAAAATACTCAGCTCCTAAGGTTGGGGTGAAGTTGGGATGAGGACTCTAATAGTAGATCATTATAGATGTCCAGCCTGTTAAGCTTATATTCTTCTCAACAAAAGGTGCATTTGACCATACCTGACCCTTATATTCACTTCTTAGTGCCACACTAAGCCATGCAGGTACTGGTCAGAAATTCTGGGTAAAGAATGTCATGCATACTTTTGGCTGAAGTCCTACAAATGACTCCTAGAATTTTCTTACCTGTAACAGGCCAAAATGTGGAAGAGGTAGCTGATGCACGTGAGGGAGGCAGGGAAAATGGTCACCACCCAGGCTCCTGAAATATGAAGGGTAACATGAGAGGGCTTGGAAAACGCACCTGCAGTGGACTTGCAGAGGGCAGATCCTCATCAGAAAGGTGTGGGCAAAACTATTACACTCTCCTTCACCTCATTCTCTGTGGGCGAGCCCGGGCTCGGTTTAGCCACACACACACCCCGTATAGTTGACTGCCTGCATGGTCTTTCTGAAACCTTTGATACTAATATGTTCCAACTACATTCAATTAAGGTTGGGAGAAGTATGTGTTGTTCTGCTATCAACAGTAGGCCCCATCCAGGAAAATGCAGTAATAGCTGACTTCTAATTGCAACTTTTGGAAAGGGGATAGAGTGGGAGTACATTGGTCCCAAGAATAGCTGGGATCAACAGGTTGTAGCATCCACCTTCCATAGGGTTTTGTTATTTATGCTCTGTCTTGGTTACTTTTCAGTTGCTGTAACAAAATACCCTGGCAAATGCTGTTTAAGGAAGGGAGGGTTTTCCTGGTTTACAGTTCTAAGGTAAGGTCAGGCTGGGGGAGTTACAGTAACAGGAGCTTGAGGCAGCCGGTCATATAGCATTTGCTGCCGGGAAGCAGAGGGAGGAGAGTGACCCCTGAGGGCACCAGGCACACAGGGCACACATGTACCTAAAGTAATAATAGATAAATCTTAATTTTTTTTAAAAAAAAATGGGTGCTGCTAAAATGAAAGTATAATGTGCTCTTTGAGTGTGGAGCTCAAGGACTCACCATACTGAACATAAATCTGCATTAAAGATTCATTCACGGGCCACAATAAAACACAGCAATATGAAAGGATGGGTTGTTGCCTGAGTGTTCACTTATAAGGTGACTTTCTGTGACCACAGAGCTATAAAAAAGTAATTCATACCAAAGATGGCCCCTTCTGGCTCTGATGTTCTCCCAGCTCAATCTTAATGGGAAGAAAATCACTTGCCACAGGTGTCTCATGACTTAAGGGACTGTGGTGTTTGAATGAGGCTGTCCCCCATAGGGTCAGACGTTGGAATACTTTGGTCCCCAGTTGGTGGCGCTGTTTGGGAAAGTTGAGGAGATGAGGCATTGGAGGAGTATCACTGTCGCCGACTTTCAGAGTTTAGAGACTCTTGTTTGCGATTCAAGATGGGAACTCCCAATGTCTCAGTTCTGCTCCAGCCACCGTCCCTACTCGATACCTTCCTGCCACAATGGACTCTTACCCTTCTGGAACCATAGCCCCATGAAGCCCTCTATAAGTTGCCTTGGTCATGGTGGTTTTTTTTTTTTTTTTTTTTTGGTTTTTTGAGACAGGGTTTCTCTGTGTAGCTTTGCGCCTTTCCTGGGACTCACTTGGTAGTCCAGGCTGGCCTCGAACTCTCAGAGATCCTCCTGGCTCTGCCTCCCGAGTGCTGGGATTAAAGGCGTGCGCCACCACCGCCTGGCTGGTCATGGTGTTTTATCACTTCGATAGAAAGGGAACTAATACAGGGATATTTGGTGGGTTAGGATCATAAAACATCAGCGCCATAAAATCTTTTGGGAACCATTATGTTGTCTAAGTCCCATTTTACAGATGAGACCAGGCTGCATGTGTGCATGTGTGAGTGAGCAAGCGAGCACACACACCCAGAGTACAACTTTCAGGAGTTGGTTGCATGGACATGTGCATGTGTAGGGGAGGGCAGAGGTCAACCTTGAATATTGTTCCTCAGGAATTGCCCACATTGGTTTTATTGTTGTTGTTTGAGGCAGGATCTCTCACAGGGACCTAGAGCTTGGGCTGGCTGACCAGCAAGCCCTAGGGATCTCCCTGTCTCCATGTCCCGAGTCCTAGGATTACAAGCACATTCCATCATGTCCGTTTTGTGCGTGGGAACTCAGATTGTCCTGCTTGCACAGTAAGCACACTACTCACTGTGGTGGCTGGAATAAGAATGGCCCCCATAGGCTCATATGTTTGAATGCTCAGTCATCAGGGAGTGACACTACTTGGGAGGGATTAGGAGGTATGACCTTGGAGTAGACAAGGCCTTGTTGGAGGAAGTGTGTCACTGTGGAGGTGGACTTTGAGGTTTCAAAAGCCCAAGCCAGGCCCAGTATCTCTCTCTTCCTGCTGCCTGTGAATCCAGATGTAGATTGCTCAGCTACTTCTCCAGCACCATGTCTGCCTGTATGCCTCCATGCTTCCTGCCATGATGTTAATGAACTAGACCTCTGAAACTGTAAGCCAGCCCCAATTAATTGCTTTCCTTTATGCGTTGCCATGATCATGGTGTCTCTTCACAGCAATAAAACTTTGATTAAGACAGTCATTAGTCATCTCTCAGGCACAGGCATTTATCCAGACATCTTGTCCATGGTTTTTTTCTCATCTAGAAGATAGTGGACATGTCCTCTCTCCAAGGAAGGTGGACATATCGTTAGGATATGCTGTTTTCTGGGAAAACCTCTGTCATAAAGTACCTTTCCTGTGACAGGGTCTCAAATAGACAGTCCCCCAAAGGAAGACACACAAATGTCCAGTATATATATAGAAAAAAATGAGAAAATGTTCATTATTCATCTTCAGGGGGTGCCAATTAAAAACACAATGAAAAATCACTTCACAGCTGTTGAGATCATGGTAGGGAGGCATGGCAGCAGGCAGGCATGGTGGCTGTAGCGGCCACTGAGTGCTCACATCTTCAATAACCAGCAGGAAGAAGAGAACAACCAGAACTTTGCAGTGGATCTTTACACTCTCAGAGTCCTCCTCCATCAAGGCCACACCTCCTAGGCTTTCTGAAACCTGAGCACCAGCTGGGAACCAAATGTTCATATAAAGGAGCTTATGAGGGATTGTCATTCGAACCAGCACAGCACGTCTGCGGAGGTTGTCTTGATCGCACTCATTGAGGTAGGAAGATCTGCCCACTGTGGGTAGCACCATTCCCAGGTCCCGGACTGTTTAAATGGAGAAAGGGAGAAGAGCACAGAACACACTTGCCTCGCTCTGACTCCTGACAGGGGGTATGATGTGACCCACTGCTTCAAGCTCCTGCCCTTGGATTTCCGTGTGGGACAGACTGTGCCTTGAACTGTGAGCCAGAATAAATCTCTCCCTTAGGTGACTTTTGTAAGAGTCGTTTATCACCACAATGGGAAAGGAAACTAAAACAACTTCTTAAAATGAGAAATGTCTAAGGTAGTGGTTCCCATCCTTCCTAACGCTGTGACCCTTTAATACGGTTTCTCATGTTGTGGTGATCCCCAAACATAAAAGTATTTTCATCGCTACTTCATAACTGTAAGTTTGCTACTGTTAGGAATCATAATGTAAATCTCTGTGTTTTCCAATGGTCTTAGGCGACCCCTATGAAAGGGTTGTTCAACCCCTAAGGGTCATGACCCACAGGTTGAGAACCTCTGTTTTATGGGGCACATGCAGTTCAACCCCAAATGGTTTTTAATAAAATGAACTGTCTTGAGCCCTCTGTCCTTAGTCAACCCAGGAAGGCACAGGTCAACTCTAACACAAAAGAAATCCAGGCACCCTGGTCAGGCAATTTCAATGTTACATGGATGGTGGGGAGTGGATGGCTTTACCTTTCGAGACGCTGATCAGTTCTTTCACCTGTAGGATGACGGGGGTCAAGGTCCCTGTCTCATTCATGTGGCTGAGGTAGCTCTGCAGCCTGTCTTCAAATATATCCAGCTCGTCTCTCACAAGTAGAAACACACAGAACTCCATGACGATGAACTGGGAATGCAGAGCACAGGCATCAAAGTCTCCCGAGACCAGCTCAGTGTGGGAACAAACAGATTTCTTGGGGGCCTGAGGCCAGCCTCTTGCAGGCAGCCAGAACTCTTAAAAATGACCACGCACAAAGCTTGTCTTTCACACATAATGACTAAAAGAGCACTTGAAAGATAATGGAATCCCATGACGGAGGGGTGACCCTAGGGGCAAGACCAGCCACATCTCCATGGCTCCCTTCACTAATGTAAACTGGAGAGGGTAGTCCACGTGACAGCAACCCTTGCCCACTGTCCTGTCTGCCCACCACCACACTGTTGCTTCTCTGGTTCCCGCCACCTTCTTTCTCCACCAACCAAATCTTGCTTGATTTTCAGAGTGGAGTGCAAGCCGGGTGGTGGTGGCACACGCCTTTAATCCCAGCACTCGGGAGGCAGAGGCAGGCAGATCTCTGAGAGTTCGAGGCCAGCCTGGTCTATAGAGTGAGATCCAGGACAACTAGGACTGTTACACAGAGAAACCCTGTCTCAAACAGAAGAAAGAAAAAAGAAAAAAAGAAAAGAGTGGAGTGCAAATGTCACCATCATCAGGCAGTTTCTTAGTCCAGAATAACTCACTGAACTTCAGAACACTGTCACCAGGTCCTTTTCTCTCCTTCCATGCCTTACTCCTTCTCTTGGACCCACAGCTTCTCCTGGACTAGGACTATGCTGAGTCGTCGCTCTGCCCTCTCCTAGCTCTTAACACAGTGCTTACTATACAGTAGATGCTCAATAAATTCTTAAGACACACCATAACACCAAGCCAAGTGAGTTATTCAACGCTGTGGAGAGCTCCAGTTGTCCTTTTAAACCCATCCTCTGGAGAGTGGGGAGATGGCTCAGAGGATGAGGGCTTGCAGAGCAAGCATGAAGGACCTGAGTTTGATCCCCAGCACCCCCATACAAAGTCCAGCGTGGTGGATGTGCTTTTAACCCCAGAGCTGGGGAGGCAGAGAAAGGCAGATCCCAGGAGTGCAGTGACACACCCCTGCCCCAGCCGAGCCTAATCAGTGATCTCCAGGTCCCAACGGGAGACCCTGTCTCAAAAAAACAAGGTTGAGGGGGTGCCTTGGGAGATGGCTCAGGGGATAAAGCACTTGTAATAAAATCATGAGGATCAGAGTTCAGATCCCCAGCATCCATATAAAAGCCTGGTGGGCATGGCGGCCGCCTGTAATCACGTTGCTAGGGAGTAGAGCCAGAGGATTCCCACAACGAACTGGCTAGCTAGAGTACCGACGTTGCCGAACTCTGGGTTTAGGAAAAGACCCCGCCTAATGAAAGAAATGGAGATAACTGAGGAAGACACCTGATTCAACCTCTGGCCTCCACATGTACAAGCACGTGCGCACACACACACACACACACACACACACACACACACACACACAACCATGTATCCCACACACATATACACAAATGCAAAAGAAAAAAAATGACTCTGAGGAGCAACACCCAAGATTGATCTTTGGGCTCCATACATGTAGACACACACACACACACACACACACACACACACACACACACACACACACGCATTTATACAAACAAGTACAGTAAATTAATTAATTTAAAAAGTCTTTAAGCCTTCTGGACTGATTTCCCAGCCCCCTATGTCAGGTGTGGCACACGACCCCATGTGGACAGTGGAAGAGAAGCAGAAGAGACAGACGGTTCTTCTACACCTTGTTCAGAAAAACCTTCTACAAGCATCTTGCCATTTTCCCTCCATGCTGCTAACTAGGTGGCCTTGAGGTCCTAGGTATGGGGCGGCACATGATAGAAGATTTGGGGTGCCTTAAAGATTGCAAGGAAGAGATCTGCCTCCCCTACCTGCACATGCCCTCAGCACTGGGGTGGGGGTGGGGAGGACAAACATGTATAGTGACAAGTCACTGGCATTTGAAAGGTGTGCTTTGAATGTAATTGAACCCATAGCTCATAGGGAGTGGCACTATTAGGAGGTGTGGCCTTGTTGGAAGAAGTATGACCCTGTTGGAAGAATTCTGAATTCTGTCTGAATTCACTGCCTATTGCCTGCAGATCAAGATGTAGAACTCTTAGCTCCTTCTCTAGCACCATGTCTGCTGCATGTTGCCATGCTTCCTGCCATGATGACAATGGACTGAACTTTTTAAACTGTAAGCCAGCCCCAATTAAATGTTTTCTTTTATAAGAGTTGCCATGGTCATGGTGTCTCTTTACAGCAATAGGAACCCTAACTAAGATAAAAGGCATCGGAACTTCGGTATAACCTAATTAATGCACTCCCTTAAAACTTTAACCACAGATTTACTCTAAAGAAACACCATCCCCCTGCCTTAAAAACAAGCGAAGATAACTAGGCTTTACTGTCTGCACTCTGCACATTACAGCTGCCTTTGACTCAGCCATTGGACTTCCAACGACTTAGACCATGACCAGCGTTTTGATTTTATAGCTGATAAAATACTGAAGGGAGAATTACATCAACATTGAAAACATTTTCTTGAGAAAAAAAGCAAATGAACGATATTTCAGTCTTGATCCATAGGGTAAACCAATTCTACTTGTCCACTTTCATCTTTAATTTACTGAAATTATTTTTGTGAGAATTAATTACCTGCTGGGCAGTGGTGGTGCACGACTTTAAACTCAGCACTCAGGAGGCAGAGGCAGGCGGATCTCTGAGTTTGAGGCCAGTCTGGTCTACAGGGTGAGTTCCAGGACAGCCAGGGCCACATAGAGAAATCCTGTCTCAGAGAAAACAAAAACAAAAACAAAGAGAGAGATAACCAATTACTTTATATTTAAATGACTTAATTCTTCACAGTATAACTTACTATCTATAATTGTACATTTTCTTTGGAGATAATTTCTATCAACTTTCCTGGGTCAATTTTGCAAATTAAATAATATCAACCATATTTTTCCTTATCAACTGTTAGTCAATGCTAATTTTTTTAGCAACTCTTTTTATATTTTAATGATTTATTTTATCTTTCTGTACATTGGTGTTTTGCCTGCATGTGTGTCTGTGTGAGGGTGTCGCATCCTTTGGAACTGGAGCTACAGACAGCTGTGAGCTGCCATGTGGGTGCTGGGAATTGAACCTGAGTCCTCTGGAAGAGCAGCTGGTGCTCTTAACCACTGAGCCATCTCTCCAGCCCCATCAATGCTAAATTTTACCACATGGATTTTTTTTTTAGACGTAGTCTCACTATGAAGCCCTGGTTAGCCTGGAATCATACAGAATAATTAACCTTGAACTAAGAGATCCACCTGTCTCTGTCTCCCGTGTGCTGGGATCAAAGGTGCAAGCCACCACCAGTTTTATTTGTCCTGGATGACTGTCCTGTGACTGTCACCGTCGGGGTGAAGGGTCCTTGCAGGTAAAATGGTAGGCTGAAGCATTGTACCTCCTCAACTCACCACATTCTATTCTGACCCAAACTTCAGGCACAGGCTGCTTGTCCCAAAGACTGGGTGACCGCAGCCCGGATACTTCTCTGTTTACAGAACAGGAAAGGATTTCCATGGAGCTACTTACAAGGTACAGGCAGATGAATGCCAGCACGAGGGTCCCAATCATCCTGCTGGGGAACTGGAAACAGGGGTCCCACTCATACACCCTGGCTTGAAACCAAGACTTTTCTCCTTCTCTGTGAATGAACGGACACCAGAAAAGGAACTCTGGGAGTTTCCACCACTTCTCACCTTCCCTTGTCCTTAAGGACAAAGAATGGAGGGATTTTTTTTCCAGGGCGGGGGGTGTCGGGGTCGGGAGGCAACACACAGAAACCCCAACTTCTCTTGCAGCTTGAGGCTCTGACTAGGTTCTGGTCACCCTGCGTGTGACATGGGACTTAGGGGAGACTTCCCAGGTGGAACTAACACAGACACAAGCCCCTTTTGCTTGGTCTTGTTTTCTTCTGCCCTGGGAAATACAGACTAGTGGCTGGTCCAGGCTGGCGCTTCAGCAACCACACTGGACCATGAGACAACACTGAGGAGGAGAAGTCCACACTAAGATGCTGGAACAGAAACACAGGTGGCTTGTGGGCCGACATCATGGGCAGTGTGGGGCCACTATGGACTGCTCACCTCCAGAGTTCTCATATGTGAGAAAATAATACATCTGGGTTTTGTTAATGCCAGTATTATTTCAAATATTTTGATACAGGTCTCCAAAGCTAATTCTCATTACAGTAGGAACTTGGACGCTGTGTGACCTGGGACAAGATACATCCCATCTCTGGGATCTCCCCAGTATGAACGGTGGCTGAGGCAGAGGTGGGCTGGAGGACTATCTCAGAAGCTCTGGTGAGAAGCTGATTACCCCCACCCTGGATCTTACTTGTTAAGTGAGGCTGTCACTACTCCCTGTCCCAAGAAGTGAGACAAGAAACATGTAACTCAGGCTCGCCAATCTCTGTAGGCCAATCACCTAGACACAGCAATTATTTTTCAGCTGGAATTTGATCCAGTGGGATATACTCAAATGACTTATTTTTAAAAATGGAAAGTGAAATGTCTCTTTCCTCTTGGAGACTGTAGTGCAGAGGAACTACCCAGTGTGAGGCCCAGACAGTTAAGAGCACAGTTGGAGCTCTAGGAAGACGCAGTTCTGAGGTCGTCTCTTAAGGGCCCTGGTCCAGTTGGCTTGACCCATTCCCTCTCGTCTTTTGAGAGGCCTGGGCCTCCCATTTCCCTCCCTGATTTTGTCCACTTTGGGTTGGTTCCTGCTATCTCCACAATCCCAGGGTCTGTCCGGTGGGCCGGGCTCGAACCGCAGGGGTGAAGGGGCAGAGCAGCACTTACTGCGGGCGGGGCTTTCTCAGGAGCCGCTTCACATGCTCTGCCTGGTGGGCCTCCAACACGGACTTCTCTTCCTGTGAGGAAGGAGGGGATGTGCTGGCTCACAGGTACTTGCTAGGGTTTGGCCTCTTAAGGGGTCATTGCCATGGAGGCCAGGATTTAGATTCAAGCTTTGTCATCCCAGCACCTGGCATCCCTCGGGGCAGGTTTCAACTTTGTCAGGCTCCAGCTTTCCCTGATAGGTCAGAGGTCTGGCCCTTCTCAACTCTCCTAGCCCAGGCTGGGCCAGCCACTGCTCTGAGAAGCTGTCTCCCTCACCAGAGAGGCTGTGCAGAAGCAGTAACAGAGCCCCCCTCCCCCTCTTGGGAACTCACTGCCTGTGGCTCCAGGCCCAGGTGGGTTGGCAGAGCTTTAAGGAACATGTACAGGAAGCGACCAAGCAGGAAACCCAGGCACAGCAGTGAGGGCCAGTAGAAAATGAGGGTCTCGAACCTTCCTAGAAACTGCAACAGAAACAGAGGTGGGGTGGGGGATTAGCAAGCTGTAGTGAGGTAAGGCTGGGGCTACATCTATGAAGACATGGTCAGGACTGTCTGTCCAGAGGCTCCCGCCAGGATCCACCTTCCCTGAACAACTAAAGCAGTGACCAATCCTTGCTCTACATCGTCAGCCAATCACTGACTGTGCCCTCTCTACCACATAGCTGACCAATCCCTCTTCGCTTTCCCTACATGGTCAGCCAATCTCTGACTGCCCCCCCCTTCCTGCCATATAGCTGACCAATCCCTCCTCTCTGCCCCTACATGATCAGCCAATCCCTGCTCCCCCTCCCTACATGATCAGCCAATCCCTGCTCCCCCTCCCTACATGGTCAGCCAATCCCTGCTCCCCCTCCCTACATGATCAGCCAATCCCTGCTCCCCCTCCCTACATGATCAGCCAATCCCTGCTCCCCCTCCCTACATGGTCAGCCAATCCCTGCTCCCCCTCCCTACATGGTCAGCCAATCCCTGCTCCCCCTCCCTACATGGTCAGCCAATCCCTGCTCCCCCTCCCTACATGGTCAGCCAATCCCTGCTCCCCCTACATGGTCAGAAGAAAAATAGATTTGGAGTCCAGCAACCCCCGATGGAAAACCTTGAGCCCTTTTAGTTCATGAAAACAGCTTGTTTTGTTTGTTTTAATCTAAGAAAGCAAATGTCCCTTTTGGTAAACGGAGACTGGAATACAGGGGTGAGGAGGTAGATGGAAGGAAGAAAGGGGGTGGGGAAGGGAGAAATAGAACAGAGAGAGATGAAAGAAGGGAGCGGGGACGGCAGTGGAGATTGAAAGGGAAGAGGGAGGTGGAGAGCAACAGGTTTCTCAGGGGAGTGCTTTCAACCTTTTTAAAATGCCTTTTTTTTAAAAAAAAAAGCTGCTTTCAAACGCTAGTGGGACTCAGCTTTCACAATGTACTGGTTGGTTTCATGTTTTGTCACATTCTGGGGGCCTAGTTCCTCCAGGGAACTGGGGTTTGGTGCTGTGATGTAAGGGTACGGGATAGAGCGGCCCTGAGATGGAGGTGTCAGAGTTTCCTTCTTCTCCAGTCCACGCTGGCTTGCCGTGACCACAGCCAGCATTTTCCTGTTTCTCCTCTGTGTCTGTATGGCCCTCCTTGGACATTGGAACTTAGCACATGGCAGCTCAGAATGAAAGACTCTGAATTAGAAGATCCTACCCTCTCCCTAAGCAGCCCTAAACATTTGGAACTTCAAACACACCTCTGGGAGACTGAGAGGTCAAGAAGAGGCCAAAGGAAGGCTGTGACCCAGAATCCAGGCCCTGCAGTCAGTGGTAAAGAAGTATCCCTGGGTTTGCCAGGTGTGCCCAGGCCCGAGAAGAGATGTGGAGGGAATGCCCAGCCGCTCGGTCTCACTTTTCTAATAGGCTCTGCGCCTCACGTCTCTTTATCACAAGCATCTAATAGTTACTGTTAAATCCTGGGAAGGGTGTAAGGCCTGGGTTCTAGGTCCAGATAAACTCCCTGACTCCCCCAGACAGGAAAGAAGCCACTTGCTGATGGTGTAAGCCTTTACTTTGGGGAAACCTGCAGAGAGGAGGCTTCATCAGGGCCCACTGTCTGCTTACAAGCTGGGATAATTAGGGCAGAAAGGGCAGGACCAAGGAAGGAGGTTAAAACGCATCTGGCTTTGGCCCCAAGTTGGCCATTGCTAGGGGTAACCAGTGAGTGGTCAGTTAAAGAGTGTCCACAGATGACAAGCACCTTTCCTGGCTGGCCATTCCTGCGGTCCACGGGACAGGGAAGGTAAAAATCTAGAGAAATGCCTTCAATTACTGCTAGAAACCAAGTGCACCCAGAATTGACACAGTGTAACCAAACGGAGCTTTTGCAGAACAGGGTGGACTGGCTAATAGCATCCTCTTCAGTTTGCTCCTTTTCTGGGTTTGGAAAACCAGCTTGCAACTTTCACTAACTCTGGGAAGGGCAACAGGTGGTCCTGCTGGAAAACTTCCCCTGTCTGATTCTTTGATTTTACAGCGAGAGAAGCTGGGACCGAGTGGGGTGGAGAGGGGCCTTGACATTGGCTGGGCCCGGCCTCAGCTCCCAGCTCTGCTGACGCCTGTGACTTACTCGGCAAAGTTGGCATAGTCTCTTCACCTCTAAAGTAGGTTTGATGAGCTGCCTTGAGGACCGAATGAGACAGCGTCTGCCGGTGACCAGAGGGGCAGTGAATGAAAGGCACTACACAAACAGCCAGGGGAGTAATACCCACTCCCCTCCCCCACAGGTGGGGAAAACGAAGCCCAGGGAAGGCTTGTCTGAGCTCACAGAGCTGGGTGGCCCTGAGGTGGTGACTGAACATCCTGAGTGAGGTCAGCAGGGACTTACCTGCCCATGGGGACACTGTGAGATCTGAAGAATGGTGAGCACAAACCTGCAGGACAGAAGCAGGTTAGGGTCGGCTTCCGTCCCAGCACAACCCAGAGCAGCCTGGTGAACACAGCCCACATCTTGCCTGCTATCCCTGGGAGGGCCATGTTTGTGCCTAGCTGAGCACTGCACTTGCTGGGCCTGCCCTAATGGGGGGCACATCTTGGAGTCCTTGTGGACCAAGGAGGAAGACAGAAGTGTTCTTCTCCCTCTCTAGCATTCAAGGAAGCGGAAGTCCAAGGCCAGCAAGGGATTTACCCAAGCCGCTTACAGACACATGGAGCCAGGGCAAGGTCTTTGGTCTCCTGGCTGTGACTAAGGCTCTTGCTGAATGGAGGATTAGGTGGGTGGGTGGGGGAAGGGGAGCAAGGGATGAGTCTCAGAGACTTAGGAGTGGGACTGTTCCAAGGCAGGTTGCTCAGTTGACAGAAGTTCTCTGGTGCCAGCTCTGCATAAGTATGTAGGGCTGAATGAGCCAAGTATCGACCCAGGTGGGAGAACGGTGCCCCACCCAGGAAAAGGAACCCAGAGGCCCAGGAACCAGAGTATAGAGTCCATGAGGCTCTTTCTTGCTCTCTCCCTGGCTTGCTGTGGAACATAAAGAATGGTTGTTGAGTGACTAAATGGAGAGGTAATGGGCTATAGGTGTGACTGAAGATGTGTGCTGGACATCCTTAGGGCCTGGAGAAGGAGGAAGAAGAGGCCAAGCCAGGATGGCCCTGAATGTCAAGCAGAGACACGACAACTTTCTCTAGGAGAAGCCATGGACATGGGCTCCGCCGTCTCTATGACGACCACTGTCAGTTTCCTTAATTCCTGACGTCTAGGAATATTCTAATCACGAACATCCTCCTAGGATGCACACAGGGTCCTGGACAGACCTTCAGGAGCCTCGGAAGTACCCCCAAGAAGAAGCAACAATGGGGGATTGGGCAAGTCACCTCTGTCCACTCTGGGCCTTGTTGCTCTCCACAAAGAATCCCATACCATCTCTGTCCCCCTGCCTAGATTTCAGCCATGGCCAAAATGGCCAGAAGAAGGCCAGCAGAGTCATCTTACCAGGTCAGGGAGTAGCTGAAGCCCAGAATGGAGCTGACCAGCCGGAACTCTGAGGACAGGCAGGCAAAGAAGGGGAAGTAAGACAGGCCGACTTCCATGCCCCCCAGGAGAAGCACGAAGGCTGTAACAGATGAGACCGAGATGCTGTGGGCTCCTCTGCTTTCTACTCAGAGGTAGCCAGGAGAGCTGTGGTGTTCCATTCTGAGCTCAAGTCAGGGCCTCAAGACCTAAAGAGCCGACTGGAAGAGCTCTAGGCCATGGCAGAGGAATGCAGCAGTATCCTTCATTCAGCCACAGCCCCTTCCTGCTCTCCTCCCCAGGGCTGGTGCCAGCTGACCATGGAGATGAATACTGGAGTCTTTACATGTGAGTAGCCAGGTAAAGCCACAGAGACAAGCCAGCCAGCAAACCAAATCATCTATGAGGATAGCACCCAAGTGGATCATGGGGGCCCACACAGACATGTTGTGTGTACTGGACAGCACTTGCAGGAAGGTGGTGGTCACACTGGTCCACCTACTGTACACACTAGGGAGCACTCTCTATGGAAGTGATGGTCACATTGGCCCCACCACTGGCTAGCTCTGAGATGGACTGACGGCATCTGGGAAAGGCCCAGTCACCCAAGATGACCCTTACTATACGTCAGCTTTGAGATGCCCCTGGGCCGGGCACTGCCTGGCAGAAATGGCCAGGGTTCTTGCTTTGAGATACTGGCAGTACAATGGGGAAGGCTGGCGGGAGTCTGAAATGAGCTGCAACAGAGGCACATTCATCCTGCCGCAGGGACACAGACAAGGAAGCCATTGACGCCCCATCCCCAGGAGGCAAAGAATGGAGCAGCCTCCCTAGAGGGGTTGACGGGGCTCCAGCAGTGCACAGAAGGAGTTTGTACAGTGGAGAGATGGTCCTGGAATTGTACGAGAGCTCACCAAACCTGTAGGTCAGAGTAGCTCCTTTAAATAAGGCATGGAACCTGGGGAGAGAGGCCTCGGGCCAGCGGCCAAAGAAGCATGCACCATTCCTGGAGGAGGAGCCCCAGAAACTGCTGCTGTTAGAAGGCAACAGCCCCGGGGACTGGCTGAGGAAGAGGAGGAAGATTCTACTTCCTGTGCCTTTGCTGTTTGTCTAAAGCACCCCTCAGTGTAACTGGGGAGAAGCCCCCCCAGGCAAGCTGGGAAGCATTGTGGGCTACTACGCATTGACTTCGGGCAAGTAATAGGCTAAGAAGAATGTGGCTGCTCACAGAATTTATCCCTCCACACCACCCCCATGGCCTCTGAGAGCAAGTACGTCCAGGTGACATTCACAGGATGTGTGAGGCAGTCCTGGTACCTTGGGCCCACTGTGGGACCTTCAGGGGCTGGTAGCCTTCTGAGAACAGGAACATGACCTTATTGGCTGTGGCCCCAAAGGCAACTCCATAGGACCATCGGTTGCTGAAAGTCCCCACGAAGTCCAGAGGCCTGTAGACGACAGAAACGATGTGTGAGTCTCTGGAGTACCTTGAAAGCAGCCATCCCACCAGTTGGAGGGATTGTGGGAGAGGGAGCTGCTCATTGCAACCAAGGTCTGGAGCTAAGCACAGATTCGGGGCTCTAAAGCGAGGAAGACACAGTTCTTCCCAGAGGACCTCCAAATCTAGTAGGGATGGAGCAAGGATGCTGGGAGCCATGACACCTAGCAAAACGGAACAAGTGTTTATTAGATACAGACAGTGTGACTTGAATGCCAAAACAAGGAGCATGTCTCATCAGAATCAGGGAGACTGTTAGGCACCCAGACACAGCCTATGAAGACTCTCTGATATCTCTGATGAAGGTCTGGGTATCATTGGCTAAGCTAGTACCATGTAAAGGAAAGGGCTAAAACTATGCCACTTCAAAATATGCCACTTTGGCATATGGGATATTTTGAATTAAAGACACTTGACCAAAAAATGAGAGTTAAAAGACTGTAGGGGCTGGAGAAATGGCTCAGCACTTAAAAGCAACGGTTGCTCTTCCAGAGGGTCCTGGTTTCATTCCCAACACCCATAGGATGGCTCACAACCATCTATAAATCCCAGTCCTAGATTATGCAAAGCCCCTTCCAGCTTCCATGAGCATTGCATGTACATAGTATGCAGACATACATGCAGGCAGAACACCCATACATATAAAATAAAAATTAAGGTTAAAAAAAAAAATCTTTAGGGGAAAAACCATACACAGAAAACGGAACGAGGGGCCAGAGAGCAGACTCCACAGTAGAGTGCATACCACTCTTGTGGAGGAGCTGAGTTTGACCCCTAGTACCCTGTCGGGCGGCTCACAGGTAAATGTCGGTTAACTCCAGGACCAGGGGGCTTTGCCACGTCTGGACTCTGAGGACACCTGTACTCACACAAATAAAAATAAATCTTTAAGGAGCAATATAAAAATATTTCTCTGACCAGGTTAAAAATAGCAGATGAAATTTCCATGTAAAAGATGCCCCCAAAGATTATTCTCATGGATGAGAAGTTAAGACCAAGAGAATTCCACACAGGTCTATAAAATAACACTCATTGGCTACTTACTCTCAGTTACTTTTCCCAAACTTACTGCACACACACACACACACACACACACACACACACACACACACACACACACACACCTTTTAAAAAGCAGTGTGTGTGTGTGTGTGTGTGTGTATGTATGTGTGTGTGTGTGTGTGTATGTATGTATGTATGTATGTGTGTGTGTGTGTGTGCATGTATGTGTGTGTGTGTGTGTGTGTGTGTGTGTGTGTGTGTGTGTGTATGTGTGTGTGTGTGTTAGTTATGCACATGGAAGTCAAAGGACAACAACTGTGGGAGTCAGTTCTCTCCTCCCATCATGTGGGGATCTAGTGAGCATCACTGAGCTTGGTGGGCAAGTGCCTTTACCCACTGAGCCACCTTGCTGGTCCTGCTTGTCCAACTTTAACTACGTCTTAGAATCTCCGTGTCCTTATGGGCTCCTGTGCCTGTAAAAGTCACATTAAGTAAATGAATATGTTTTTCCCTGCTAATTTAACTCTCTTGACATTTTGGTTGTGAGTCTAGCCTTTAATGGCTGAGCCATCCCTGAAGACTTCAATTTAACTCTCAACCCAGCTGGAAAACTCTGTAAGGGCAGAGGTGGACGGTGGGTCACTGCGGGAGTCTGGATGCACCAGGCCAATGTCTGGCCTTGTCTTCTTCTCACTGTGACCCTGAGGCTATTAGCTGTTGCAGTCACTCCAAGTCAGAGTGCCACCACAGAAGAGCCAAGGTCACAGGAAAAGGAGCACGGCACAGTGGCTCAGAGGTGCCCCGGTGACATGGAGGGACAGAAAAAGACGAAGTCGGTCCCCCTGGGGGTCTCCTCTCAGCTCTCAGGAAATCAGTTACTGTGAAAGCTTTGTAACTTTCTTTTAAAAATTCCCTCTTTCTGTTTCCTGTGGTTAAATGTAAGGTTAGATACTGTTTCTCCTAAGCAAAGGAGTTTTCCTGGTTCAGAACAGCAACTGCATTTGGGAAGGGCTCTCCAACAACCAGAATCAGAGCCTGGAGCTAGGAATCCTGGGGCAGTCCTGGAATCCCAGCTCGTGGGAGGTGGAGGCAAGAGAATCAGGAGTTCAAGGTCATCCTTGGCTTCCTAGTGAATTTGAGGTTCGTGTGAGTAACATGATACTCTGTCATAAAGAGAAAAACAGAGTGCACTCTGGTGACCGGAGAGCTGGTCACTACAAATCAGAGTCCTGATGACCACTTCCACCTTCTGGTAAGCTCAGCCTGAGGAGCTGTCTTCATCTCCTGCCCCAGCAGCCTGTCTCTGCTGCTTTCTGCAGCACCAAGTTCACATTCCTGCTTCAGTAACCCGCCCTCAGTGTCACCGTCGAGGAAACTGTAAAGTCTGCAGAAGGAACCTGCAGGACCTCGCGAGGAACTCCAGCTCAGTGCAGTTTGCAGAGACGCATCTTGTCAAACTCAATTCCATCAAGACCCAACCATGATACTTAGGGTGTACATGAGACTGTTTCCCAAAGGGCATTGTGGTTGGGCTTTTCCTGCCTCCCAGAGTACCCTTAGCCCCTGTCCTGGCATCCTGGCCTCTTCTCCTGAGGCTGAGATCTCAAGACATCTGCTGCGTGTGTTTGATCAGATGATGACATGGGAGGATCAGGGAGATCAAACCAGTCTCAGGGAGAGCTGTGTCACCAGTTAGCTGTGTGGTCATTTAGCTTCTCTGAGCCTGAGTGTTCTCATGTGTGTCACAGCTTCCGCTATACTATGTGAAAAGTTGATGGAACTAATGTAAGCAACGAAAATGGCCCAGGACCTGGGTCAATAGCAGTGCAATAAGTACTAACTCCACGGTGATGATGGCGATGATTCTGGTGAAGATGATGCTGATGATGGTGATGGAGTCATGAGACAGAATAATTAGAACTCAAGAAAAATGTGCTAAGAGGTACCAACATGCACAATGGCAGAACTAGGAAGGCCCCGGAAGCTGGGCAGGATCTCACATGTGCTCCATGATTCCATCCCAACCAGAAGCGTGACCACTTTTGGTCATTAGGGACCTTTTGCTTCTTGTTTCCTGAGGTGGCCACAGTCCCCAGAGTGGGAGGGCATTATTGGTTTGGATGTGGACTATTTCTCACTGTCTTGTGTGTTTGAAGACTTGGTCCCCAGCCAAGGGTGTGGTTTTGGAAGGCTATGGATCTTCAGAGAAGGTTCTGGATGGCAGAGTGGGGCAGTAGGAGTGGGCCTTTGAAGGTTAGAGCACAGTGTTGCTTCCTGTCTAGCCTCTGCTCTAATCTGGCTGCTATGTGAGGAGCTCTGCCACACACCCCTGCTGCCACAAACCAAGCTGCTCCAGCCTCCACACCCTCCTCACCATGATGGACTGTGTTCTCTAAACTGTGAGACACAATAAGCCCCAACTCTCTTAAGCTGTCTCGGTCTCACGGCTTGTCATAGCAGTGAAGGAATAACTTTCATGGAGGGCCCTTTCCATGGCTGTCTGGATCTCCCTGAACAGTTTCTTCCTATCTGGGCAGCCCTGGGTGCTGACGGTGGCAGTGACTTGGAAGGTTCTGGCCTCTCAGAGAGTTGTTTAGGGAGGGGATGTATACTGGCTACTTTTATGTCAACTTGCACAAACTTGAGTCATCAGAGAATGGGGAGCCTCATCTGAGAGAATGCCTCCATAAGATGAAGCTGTAAGGCATTTCTTAATTTGTGATGGATGGGTGAGGGCCCAGCCCATTGTGGGTGGAGCCATCCCTGGGCTGCTGGTCCTGGGTTCTATAAGAAAGCAGGCTGAGCAAGCCACAGGGGAGCAAGCCAGTAAGCAGTCACCCTCCGTGGCCTCTGCATCAGCTCCTGCCTCCAGGTTACTGCTGGTTTGAGTTCCTGTCCTAGCTTCCTTTAATGATGGACTGCAACGTGGAAGTGTAAGCCAACTAAACCCTTTCCTCCTCAGCTTGCTTTTAATCACAGTGTTTCATCACAGTAACAGAAACCCTAACACAGGATGGAAGAGTAAGATGCGTACAGCGGGAGAAGACTGGATCCTGGGAGCTACTTGGCCTTGTACTTTGTGTGGGTTCCAACCACGGGATAGCCCAAGCTTCAGAGGATGGCACTGAATCAACTCACATGATGATTCCAAAGTGGTCCCCCAGGAGGTAGAAGGTGTCATCTCTTTGTCTACAATGCTCTCGTCTTTGGAGGAAAGACAAGACCAAAATGATGAGAAGCTGTAAGGAGAGAACAGTGTGGTCAGGGGACCCAGTCACCCTCAGGGTAGCCTCAGGGCCTCACAGGAAAAGAATATGTGGGCAAGCGGAGAGCTTAAAGCGACTGTGACACCTTAAACTCCACGGACTTCAGAGCTACCAGAAGGTTCTGTACTGACCTTTCCTCTGTGTGGCCCATCACAGACAGAGGTTCAAGTCCAGCCTCTCTCACACACTGCTGAGAGGGAGGTGCATCCTCCCTGTACCTTGGTTTCTGTCTGTAGGGAGGCAGCCATGCCTGTCAGGGTTTAGATCTTTCTCCCTTTCATTTCTGTGGATGTGGTCATATTCTCAAGCACCGGATGCATCTTCTTTATCCTACTTTTACCAGGAGTTTCTTGAGAATTGTCTGTATGTGCTCTCTCAGGTTCCTTATCTCTAATGGCCCCTCAGACCCTGTCATTGCGTTGAAGGCACCATGACTGACGTCACCGGCTGCCGTTTTACTGCTCAAGGCAATGCCCGACTCCAGCGTCATCTGCCCACAGTGCCCCAGGCAGACATGCATTCTTGCTTTTCCCGTTTTTCCCCCAAGCCCCCGACCAGCTCATTCTTTCCCTGACCTGGAGAGAGAGCTCCTTGTGGCTTCGTCCAAGCCTTCTCTTCCTC